ACCTTATGACTTTGGCTTTCAGAGGATTTCAAGGACGAAAAATGCTTGATCGAGTCCAAGAAAAAGTATCTAAAGCCTGCGATGACAGTTTGGTTGTTCTTGAGAAAGACGAAAAATCTGGACAAGTAAAAGCCTACGTGCCACTAAATTACACCTCAACCGCTCTATCTGTTGTGGAAGACCATTTAGAAGAAACCAGGAGATCTCTGAGGAGCGAAGACAGAGAAGAAAAATTGAAAGGAAGTTCTGGTACCAGGATCGTTTGGGGGAAAGGCGGTGAAGTGCAAGAAGTGTTGATGTCTCACATGTTTAGGACTGTCACTGTTGGTGACGTCGAGGATGGGAAAATGGTTTTAGATTATTTGAGGTCCTTTGGAGATGTTGTCAGACACCGGTTCATAGAAAAGAATGGCAAAACTCGAGTTTTTGCGACGTTCAAAATATCTGATAAAGCTGCAAAGGCCGTTGAGAGCTCTGCCGATATCAAACCAAGCGATGCGACGCCGGATGGGGTGCACGTACAACTCTCCCATTTTGCGGTGAGAGCCACGTGGGTAAGACGTCCTGGTAAAGGCACTGGCAACATAGAATTTTTTAATGCTGAAGATTACTCTCACACACGTAGCAGTATTCACTCCCTCATGATAAAGTCGAGGCGGGTTGTATTTCAAGTGGACAGGTTTTGCCCAGAAGAAAGGCTTTTCATGAGAGGACTTGACCCTGAAACAACTGAGGAGGACGTTATGTCTGCCATTGAAGTGATGCTGCCTTCCGTGAAAGTAAAAAAGGTCATCTTACACCGAAAACCAGGTTTTGAAACCACAGATGAGACACTTGAGTCACAAAGAAAATTCCTTGCAGAACGCGTTGGTGACTTCACCACACCACAAAAACTTTCTATATCTATGGTTAAACCTCGTCCAAATAATTTTTTGGGCTGTGCTCATATTAAGTTTCAAGACTTTAACGAAGGTGAAGCAGCTGTAAGGGGTTTAAATGGAAAGGGAATACCTGGCATTGGAAACGTCACCCTGCAACCCAATCTGTCAACTAAATTGCCATGTCCAAGGAATGTCTTCAGTATCATTGAAGAAGAGTTGCAAACTGTTATAAAGGAATTGCAGGAGAGGTTTGGAAAGGCTATCACTGTCAAGGTAAAAAATCAGGATATATCCAAAAGGGTTCTCCTAGAAATCCATAGCGACAGTACGGAGCACTTTCTTCTTGCCACAAAAGTGCTGAACGAAAGCCTCAATGGGGACACAATCGACTGCAATATTTCAAACTCGTTGGAAACCCTGTTGACAAACCCAGTTAAAGAAGTTCTTCGATCGATTGAAAAAGGTACTGGAGCAGCAATTTATCAAGACTGGAAGAACAAAGTTCTCAAAATACATGGAAGTCAAGCCAGCCGCGAGTCAGCAAAGCGTGCTATCAACGACTTTCTTAATGATTCAATAGTAAATGACAGCCATCCATGGCAGATTCATCTTCGAGGACCAAGCAAGCCCCGGGGGCTGCTTAAAGCACTCTTCAATAGATTTGGAGTAAATTTGCTAGGACTTCAAGAGATCCCCGGTGTACAACGTATCCACGTGGAATTTCACAATCACGTCCTTCAGGTCGTTAGTTCGCATGAGGCCCAAGAAACAATCAACCGTTGCCTAGAAGAATGCTGCCAAAGTATCCTTTCAGACTCTCCTCAAACATTACAGTGTGATTACCCAGAGCCCCAGATATCTTGTTGTATCTGCCTATGTGATTTGGACGAGACAGCTGAAGTGTATAGACTTGCTTGCTGTGGCCATGCTTTCGACAAGACTTGCGTGATCCAGCAAATAAAGTCTGGAGATGTTCCACTGAAATGTGTGGCGGAGAGCTGCGGAGAGCCTCTTGTGTGGAGAGACTTGCAGAACCTTCTGACTCAAAGTGAAAGGAAATCACTTGCTTGTAGTGCCCTAGATATGTACGTCAGACGTAACCCTGATACTGTTAAGTATTGTCCAACAGCTGACTGTGAAATGGTGTATCGCGTGTCGTCAGATGGCAGATGCTACAAGTGTGAAGCCTGCTTGGCTGAAACCTGTACATCTTGTCACACACAGTATCACAATGGGCTTACCTGTACCATGTTCAAATCTGAAAAGAAAGTAGAAGGAAGTCTGAAGGAGTGGATGATGAAAGTTCCTGACAATAGGAAGTGCTGCCCTAAATGTAACACTCCGATTGAAAAGAATGAAGGCTGTAATCATATGACATGCTCACAGTGTAAGTCGCACATGTGTTGGTTGTGTCTGGAAGTCTTTCCATCGGGAGAACAGGTGTACGACCATCAACGACACTGCCCGAAAAGGACTTTACTTTCCGGTCTTGGATTATAACAGCAGTGGTGCTCAAGACTGCCAATACTGACAATTCGTATTTTATAACTTGATCAGTTTTACGATGTCGATGAATATAAACCACATTCTATGGGACATCAATTTTGAAGCTAGTCTTGGAGTCTGTTGTCTGGATGGTACTGCAATACATTCTTCTCACAGTGTTTTAAGTCTTCATCTTAATTTAGTCGTAACGAAAGAAGCTTAGTCTGGTAGTTGGTGTCAAATACGGTAGGGGCAACGTTTGATGGCCCCCAGTAGTTTTCCTTAGTTTTGTAGTATTACTAATGGGTACTCATAGACTGCTAAATACAAATGTCATGAATGAAACCGTACACTTAGCGGTCCCCAGTTGTTTTCAAAAGGCGGATGGCGCTATCCACTAGATATCTGTTTATCCGCGTTTCCGCGGGATAGTGATTTATGTGGTGGATTTTGCTATCCAGCTTTTCAACAACCGGGGCCTTTGTATGAAAAATTGGTCTGTAGAACGCCATGTTAAAGACTATGCAATTGCATGTTCCGGATAATGGGCTCCTGGCTAATTTTTGGTGGGTCACCGTTTAGTTTGATATCATAAGAAAAGAAACAAAATAGTCCCCCAGCATCATCCCCGTAGAATGCTGTTTGGGTCAAGATACTGTAAAGTAGAGTGAAACTAGTTATGAACAAAAGCTTGTTATTGGGACTAAATTGTTAGGCCTCGTAGGAAGGTACTATGACTATCAATAGTAATTTTAAAATGTTGAAGCTACGATAATGATGTTTACAGGGTTTGTAGCTCGTCAGAAAATGTATGTTGGTGATTTTTGGTTATTTTTGTGATGCAGACATGCAGCAGTGACGTCATATGACACACGGAATGCGTCATGACTTCAAATGATCGGGGGTTAACAAACACTACTATTTCTTTCCAAAGAAAGTAAGCAAGCAAATTTACTGTTAAGACATTGCAAGTTACCCTAATAATTAAATTCAGTTTTATTTGCAAAGATAAATGCGATTTGGTGATAATTTATTATCGCACATTTTGTTTGAAACGACTTTTTTCAAGCTTTTGGGGGACGTAGCTTCCTTAATTTAATATAGTAGTGATACTTTATCGAGGGATAATGAAACGGGCGTCAAATGCAGGGGCGGATCTAGGGGAGGTGCAGGGGACCTCACCCCCCCGAGATGACCTGAAAGTGGTATTCTGCCCAAAAAAAAAAAACTATGTGGTTTATTGGTGTTGTCAAATGTAAAAAAAAAAATCCTGGATCCGCCCCTGAAATGTATGGTAGTTGGTAACACAAAGCATTTTTCCACAGGGAGAGTAGAGAGGAAGTGGATTAATAAGTGAAATCGTTTTGTTCAGTCACTAATGGATGCTCACGTTTTATAGGCTAAGTAGTTCAAATTTAATTCATCTGTAAGGCTTTTTTTTGGTGACTTATTGTGGAAAGGCGAAGATATTTAAATACGTTATCAAAAAATTTGTTATCATTGACAATCTGATATTGTGTCAAGCACGCCAAGTAACTGAAGTAGGCCAAAACACAAAAGTAAGCCAAGTAGCTCAAGCACGCCAAGTTACTGAAGTAGGCCAAGATACTCAAGAAACCCAGGACACACAAGTAAGCCAAGTAACTGAAGTAGGTAGGCCAAGACACTGAAGCAAGCCAAGTACCTCGGTACACTAGAAGAACGACTCTATATATCAGTACACTGTAGGAATCATATATGAAGTATCTACGAGGATAACCGCACTAATCTTTGAAAGAAATGTAGAAAATTGAACCTGAAACAATTTCGTCTCGTGTGGTCTTTGTTTGAGCTAAATACCGTGTGGCACGAAATTTTTGCGGTTTTTCCAGCGATCCGCAAAAATAAGTTCCCGCAAATAAAAATTACCGCAAACATTTTTCCCGGAAAAATTTACTCAAGAGTAAATATTCTCTAACTTAAATAGTATTCGCTACACAAAAATACAGTACTGCGAAATCGTGTCTGTTCAATCACAATTTGTCTCCTTCATTCAGAAACAACAAAATACTGGTTTATTGTTTGAAAATATGTTTTTATTGCACGTACTCAATAAAAACGAAAATATTATCAATGCTGGGTACTGGGTACTTTCTGAAAATCGCAAAAATTAATTGCCAGTTAGAAGAACCAACCTGTCCTAATCGCAAAAATTAGTTCCCGCAAAACACAAAAAATCTCCAATCCGCAAAAATAAACTCCCGCAAAAATTTCGTGCCACACGTTAGATCTCGATAGTTTGTGGAACAAGCCCCCAATTGAGCAAACGATTGATAGAGCTATCCACCACTTCTGGTCTGTACCACTTCCCTTTAAGAAACTTGCAGTTTAGACGGATTTGTAGAGTGATTTGTTACAGTTTGTTTCATGACTTTTCAGCACTCACAATTTAACAGCACATTACATTAAATTTCATCTCATAATAATGCTTCTCGGCTGACACGTAAGATAACACCAGAGATGAGACATACCACATGAAAAAATGGTCAGCAAGCCAGGACTAATCACTGTCCCCTACGAACTCGGCTGATATGAAACCGGTATGTAGAAGGGGGAGGTTGAAAACGCCGGGGGATTACATATTGCCAGAAGCATGTGGTTTTAAAAATATTCGTAAAAACCTCATTCTGTCAACGTTCTTTGTAAATGAAAAAAAGCTGTTGACACTTAAGGTAGTTGGTGTTTCTTCCGGGCTTTTAGATCTGACACAAATGAATACAAAACGGTTGGGTCTGTAACTATGGACGATTATTTCTCGTTCCTCAAAATAATCAACAGCGCATATAATTGGCATCGTTTATGTGTACAATTAAGGTAACATAAAAGAACAAAAACAAAAAATGCTATCAAAGACTTGGAAAACTACAGCTTTACTCTACAGGCAAGCGTGCGAAAAATGAATTATGTACACGTTAAATTAATTTTTTATTTACAAGTGTCGTTAATGCTGGCTGTCTGTCTAGAAAGGAGTGTCACATTTACGTGTACTTGTTCGGATTTTACAACAGCTTCGAGTAGAAGCAACGTTTTATAACTTTAAATTAACTCTTTTTAGAATCATTTCAGTCATCATCATCCTCATCATCATCGACGTCATCCATATCTTCAGCTGCTTCCATTGCTTCCTCCTGAGCTTTCTTTAGTGCCCGTTCTTCCTCAACTGTAGGATCATCTACTTCCGTTACTTCTGGTACAACAGGGTATTCATCCATTGCCGCAGGGGGTGGTGGTGGGGTGTAGTTTTCCGCATCAAATTTGTGTCCCCAGCCAACATAAATGTTTTCGTATTTTCTACCAAAGAAACAAACACCACCTCAGCGTATTTTCTGTGTATTGTTCATCTGCAATTATTAACACCTGAGACTAAAGGGTTCTGATATCTTGAGTCCCGAATGTATACGGTATTTGTAAATGTTTCTGACCTATTTATGATGCCCCTTAACACAATGCAAACATAAGCAGGAGATCGAGACAAACTACTTTATCGTTAGTAGAACTTGGCAGGATTCTTAGCATGTTACTTGACGATCTTAAGGTGTACATGTATTTCGATTTCTTTATTAACTGTTCTCTGGTAAAAATATATGGTTAATGTTAGCTAGGATAAAGACGATTCAACAGGAACAATAAAGCACAACAGGCAAGGTTAAGAAAAACCTGAGGCGTAGTCCATCGTCACTGTATTTGTCTTTCCCGTGATTAGCTGCCAGGTCTGACTTTGTTTTTCATGAACGTCAGCACCGCACTGTAAGCTCGACTCACCTGTCCTTTGCAAATGCTACAGCACCAGGCCATCTGTTGGATCGCATGATAGCGAGGGCGTACTGAGGTAACAATTCAGATGATACACCTGGTGTCCAAGCCGGCATACCATTCACAGCTGCAACAACAAAACAGCAAAAGAAACCGAATAAAACATTTGCCGGAAATGCTACGAACAAGTACGGGAATGAGCTGATCAATAACCTTCGTCTTCAGCGATGGATGTTAATAACTGCGGCCCTGATTCTGGTTTTGGTTCTTCAACATCTTCTTTTTCCTCCTCTTCCTCCTCTTCTTCAAAATCATCCTCTGGTTTTTCTACTGGGTTATGCCAAACACAGCGACCCTAAAAGACAATGTAGGCTGTCTAGATCACTATAAAATGGCAATTAACTTATTAGAAAACCAGAAACCAATTTAGAAAGCGTTTGAAATAGCAGCTTTGTGTGAATGCCACTGTCTGTAGTCTGTACTGCAGTCCGCAGCAGTTCCTACCTGAGGCAGTACATATTGAACATGATGAACCCAGTTATGAAGGGATGGATCAGCTAGCTCTCTCACACTGACTCCCTCAAAGTCAACATTCAACATGTATGAATCACGCACTGTAAAGAAAAAAAAAACGAACAGTGGAAATGGCGTTTTACATGTGACGGTACTTACATCTGCGTACCTGTATCTTATGTACATTCGACAAGTATCCATTTCCTTCCATCTACGATAAGTTCTCATTTGTACTCTTATTGCTAAGCTAAGGAATTGCCCCGCCGTCTAGCTAGTAGTTCATACAGTTTAAAAATACGAAGTATGAATTAACGGACAATTCAACCACTTGAACCACCGATTCCAGTAAACCCATAAAACTCCTTTCCGAGACCTCTTAGACCACTTGGGAAAGAGGATGCACTTCTAAGGAAGGTGAGGCGTTTTCATTTTATCTAAATCTCGTCAAAATTATGTGCCTCTACAATAATATAAAATATCGTTCTATCTTCCTTATGTTACGACGGTCGCGCAATAGTGCCGACGCTTGGGTTACCTGTGCATACATTTGATCCGCACTCGCCGAGGTCTCTGTGCGCACCACTTGCTATTGTTTGATTATTGCTATTTTTGTTGAGTTACCCAGCTAGAGCCTTTGCGGAGGAGGGTGGGATCTCTCCTTGCAGTCTCCCCCACCCAAGACCAAGGACGCCGGAGATTTGTAACGACCCTAAGAGGTTCTTTTCCGTGTTTAACTTTCACTCTATCACACCAAACATTAGTTACTGGTTACCATGTTGAGTGATGAGAGGTGGTTTGTATTTTACCTTCACCCTCCTCCTCCTCCTCTTCTTCCTCTTCAAACATGAAGTACCCAGCAGGACTGATGTGAGAACCAGCAGAGATCCTTGCAATCTGCGCCCTCAAATAATTCATTTCATTGCCAGGAAATGGTGGATAACTAACAATCTGTGTACCGGGAAGAATTCCGTATTAAAGTCACACCATTTTCACCGTCTTCTAGTTCAGTGAGTCCTGGACTCTCTAGCAACTGCCGTTTGAAGAATTATGTTGCAGCTTTTTACAAAAAAAGCAAAACAGTATTCAAATGTAATGGCTCAAAAGCTTATGTTTGCTTCTACGAGCAGGCTTTCTTTGTATGTGATTGTAAAAAATGCTTATTTATTATGTCATGTGTCTCCACTAAACTCAGAAGATCAGATTTTGCTTCAAATCTGGCAGTTAATTTAAAAAATAATGTACGCTTTCATGGAGTTTATCTCATGCGGTTTATCAAATATAGTACTGTTCGTCTGGGTTTTATTTATAATCTTTGTAGCATCTTATTGATTACTGCTAACTCTCACACATGTACAAGTAATACTGCTTATTTATCTTACTGGTGCATCCAGTCGTCCCGTAAAAAACTTCTTGATACATCTTGCAGCTACTATTTGTGCTGGAGTGACAGCAGGGAGCTTAACCCAAGGTTTACCAGCTATGAACAAATAGGACATGATCAGTTTTGAACATTTAAGGACCAGTTTACTAATTAAAGCTTTCCTCCTCTTAAACTTAATTTTTGTCACCAAGGAAGAAGGAAGTATGACACAGTCATTTAATAACAACAACAAACTGTACGTTTTAGGTAAAATTAAGGAGCAGCAGATCTGTGTGGGGGCGTAAATCTGCGCCACTGTCAAGGCCAAAACAGCTTCACATGAATATTAATTTTTTTTAATGAGGGCAGATCAGTATCAAAAGTTTAAATACTTTTATTATTCATTCAAAATACTTCTCAGATTCTGATTGGCTAAACATGCTAAAAGCACACGCATAATTCACCATAACCAGCTACTGATGACCAAATTTGGAAGAATTTTACGGTTAATGCACCGATGACGTCAAAAGTGCTGCTTTCTTGCGGGTTAATGCACCGTTAACCGAGAAGACCTGGGGACGAGGTTGAGTTGTTTTGTGTGAAAACAAAATGGCGGACATTTCACTCGTTTCAAGAGTAAGAACTAGGCGAAATAATAGCTAAAAACATGTCAAGAACAGCAAGACGACAACTCGAAGGGCGACGTCTGCTATTTGGAGAATGTTTGCGGAGCTCAACAACCCTAAACGTCCACTATCGACGATGAACTTAACAACGATGGAGGTAAGCACGTTTTAGCTACGTTTTTAAACTAGGAATTATTTTGAATGAATAACAAAACAATTATTGAATTCGGCTTTCGAATCATATGAAGAATTATGGAGATCTCGGATGGTGTTATCCACCTCAGCCTACGGCCTTGACGTATAACACCCTCCTCGATCTTCATAATTCTTCATAAGATATTCAGCTTAATTCATTAATTGTTGAATAATAACCTGGGCAGACTTTCCATCAAAAGTTTAACAATCATTTATTGTTATTCATAAACCTAGTTAACTTTTACTGGGGACTTAACACTGAGGTTTATTTGCGAGTTAAATAACTACCTTTTGATTTGTCACAACTTTGACGAATAATACACATGTACATGTACATTCATTAAAGTTATTAAAGAAATAAGCACTGTACATGTATTATCGCTTCTAGCAAAGCTATTTCAGATGGGTAGTTCATAAAATTATTATGTACAGAACAATAAAATTACGGCTGTCTAAGACAAGTATACAGCACCGTTTTTCACACAAAAGTGACTTCGGAAAAGAATCATAACTTGTAAACTTAATTGTGGAACAGTCTACCTCCTCATTTGATTAATCAACTAAACCTCAAAGGCATCAAGGCTGGCCTGGCCTGGACAATTTTAATATTAATTGATATATTAATTTGATTATTTTTTAATTTATTTAAGACTTTCTTGTTTATTTTGCTTCTTATATCCAAGTGATGACTATGCTTTTCTGGATTATTTCAATAAATATAGACATAAACTATAGCTGAACACAAGCAGAACTCTAAACTATTTAACATCAAACCGACAACTAAAAATAATAACACTAAAAGATTAAAGAGTGTATAAAAATACTACGGAAACACTAAGGAAAATGAAGAATATGTCCGAATCGTCAAACTTACGTTCATTGGTGACAAAGAACGTTCGTTTGTTGGTGCCAGTTCTGTTCTCTTCTTTAGGAATAACTGGAGGAGGTTTCCATTCTGACTTGGGAGTGTCATCTTCCTCACCACCTTCTTCATCTATAGAACATAAAGAAATTTTAATGAGCCACAAACTATGGCAGGTGTAACTATCTTTTTAAAAATTTAATTTCATTTTTCTCAACAAATCCTACATTAGAAGGGTCCTAACATACAGTGTAACCTCATTGGGTCAGCCTAATTAAGTCTGCAGTTTTGAAATGATGATCAATGTCTAAGAGACATTTTGAACATGTTGACTGGACTGTCACACAGATACTTCAACAAGCAGAAGAAAAAAAAAACAGGTAACAATACATGTATGACGTAGATTTGAACTTAGTAAATTAAATTAACCAACTCCAAACTAACCTTCATCACCTTTGTCTTCATCCTTTGGCTGATCATCACCTTCACCATCTGCCTGCTAATGACACCACAAAACAGACCTCTTAGCAGCAGCAATGGAGAACCTTGATGGTGATCTTGATGGTACGTGATTTTATAATAGCTTACATTTTGAAGCTGACAACTCACCTCTTCATCTTCTTCATCTTCTTCCTCTTCACCCTCACGGTATTCTACTTCTGCTATATAATAGTTGGTCTCAATTCCAAAAACCTTGCCTGCAAAAGACCAAAAACATCTTCTCTTTAAGGATATTTTGAGTTGATGGTAGGTTGGGGATAATCCCAATTTAGCTTCAAACTTTTCTCTTCAATGTTTTACCTTTAACACCGTGCCCCAGTCCCCTCCCATTTTAGAGAATGTTGTATTTCATTAGCTTGGCATATGCTAAATTCAGAGTTAACAGCAAAGATATCATATTATACCGGTATGGTGTTATTAAAAAGAAAGTATCCCTACCCCAAAAGCGAACCATTTGTAGTGGTTTAGTATCCACAAGCTGCTTCAGGGCAAGGAATATTCTAAACATTTCTTCACGGCTCAGTCCAATTCCAGCTTGTTCAAAGTAGAAAGTTAAATTCATGAGATCAGGAAGAGGTGTCTCAACATCTTCTTCAGCTTCTGGTTCACCTCCCTCTGCATCTCCATCTTTCTATACATGTTAGAAAAGAATTTTTACAAAGCGTTTAAACAAATTAATAATAATATATTACACGTTTCAAAGTCTAGCCAATCAGCACTGGCAGCCATTTTGATTCTAACTACAGCTCAAAACTTCATAAAATACTCAAGGTTATTATGGTAAAAAAAGATGGACATGTTGCAGTAGCATTTCAGTTAGCCTGCAAGCAAGACCACTCAAGGTTACAATATGTGATTTACATAATATCATCTTAGTTGCAAGATCAGCAGTGTTGTTGAGAATAAAATGATCTACTCCAGCAATATTGTAATATTAAAATCAGATTCCTGGTAACAACATTAGACAATTTATACATATTTTATAAAATAAATGGCCTGATTTAATTTGAAGTTACTCTTGATTTGTATGAAAGTGCCATTAAATAAATTAATCATTAATTATTAATTAATAATAAATGATTAATTTAGTTAATTATTGGATGAGGTTTTCGTGATATCCAGAATAATTGAGGTCGAGGTAGGGGTTATCGGCTGAGGCTGATAACCCTTACTGAGACCTTGATTATTTTGGATTTCACAAAAACCAAATCTAATAATATTGTTTTATTATACATTGAACAAATCCTTTCTTTCTCGCTTCAACATAAAATGTTTTCAAAGTTTGTGCCAACTCTTTCTTTTCCTCAAGTTCTCTCAGTTTTTTTTTCTTTCACGTAATCAGCAAACAGCTCCTTCGCCACCGTCGTCGACCTTTATGTGTTTGTGAGTCCTTGTCTTCAACTACTTTTTCGATGTCTTACTCAGTCAATGAAGCAAACCTGGAAGTCATGTTTTTGCTTCTTCATGCACTGACGGTAAGCAACACAAAGCGCACAAACTTGACATGATTAGCCTTTAATAGAAATCATGCACCACAGTCATACATTACATGATTACCCGTGACCTCGTCTTGAGTGTCTTCTACATGATTATTGTATAATCTGCAGCTAGATGATGTCCCAGGCGCTGATTTCGAAAATTCACTGTACACTTTCAGCAAATCAGAAAAAAGATACTGAGTTCAATGTATAGTAATAACCCATAGCTGCACTGGACCAAGAATGGCCTCACCTCAAATAGCTTCTGGTGTACTTCAGCAACTGCTTTGCTTTCTGGGTCTTCTCTGAAATCCTGTAATTTGAAAGCAAACATACAATAATTCAAAACTTCTAGTTGCAGCTCATCTGAGAGGTCAGCGTTCTAATGCTTTATGTAAGGTTGCTTTTAAACATCAGTTAGGGTTTACGGGAGTAGGGGGTAGTACAGTTGAACCCCCGATTTCTCTGCAATGGCAAATGGTTTCCAGCAGACTCATTCCATCTTAGCTTCACCTCCCTACAATGCAAGGCCTAGGGTTTCAAGGTTTCAATTCCTACAGAAAACAATTTTTTGTTTCCCTGCCCAGAGATTGTGGGAAACCATTTGTAACAATTTTTTGGCTTAGTGAAAACACATGGGAACCCACCTCTTAAATGTTTTCAATGTTTATAAGACCACTGTAATGACACGCTACCAGACACTATCGTTATCGTGAAATCCTAGGGCTCGCAATACTGTTCCTACAAAGAGCTACTTACTCCTGTCCTCACTATAACTAGGTAAGACTGTAATTAACCCTTTATATTACAGTAATTATTACTGTAATATAGAGGGTTGCTAATTATTGCTTTCCACTTCGCTTTTCCTTCATTGGCTTTCTTTATTTCCCTATTCACAGCTCTCATCAAAACCAGCAGATGCTTACAACTAGTAATACAACCCTTACCCTAACCCTAACCCTAACCAAAGGTTACAGAGCGTGGGCGACAATGATCGAAAGTCAAAATGCTTTTGCTCCATTGCTGTGACAGATCATCAAAACGTGCATGATCAAATTACGAGGGCTAGAAGGTTGAAACATGCATGATCGAAGTGCTTTCTTTCCATTCATTCTTAGTGGAAGTCCAAACGAATGCTGGCTACACATTAGTAATAACAACCTGGAGATTAGGATTGCAGGAGACAAGAGCAGCCCGTAAAATTCCACATTTCTTCCTGAACACCCTAAGAGTGAATCAAATCTAAAATTTACATCCTTTAATGAGATAATGAGCATCCCACCACCCTCTTGATCATCCCTTTCAGGCTAATTAAATGGTATCTTTCATCTACTTGCTTCTTCCAGTTTTAGGGGTATATCAAGCAAAAACTGGGGTATCCAAGACTGTCATTGGTAGCTAGAATCCAGCTTTTTTAACCAGCTACTACAGTAAAATGAGCCTGTACTCTCAGTTTCAAAATGAGTCACAAATAACAAGTAAGGCTTTGGGGGATAAATGACCAGTAACTTTCCCTGAGAAACCAGCTGCTTTAAACCTTAATGACAGGTCTGGGAATAATTTTTTTTTCAGCCGCTAATATAATGATAATATGCCATAAACCCAATGGGTCAACCCTGATACAAAGGCAATGGAAACGCAGTGTGTAAGAAAAATAGTCACTAAGCTTTTACACATCATACTCATATATTTAATGCATCATTCGATTCCAGCGACAATTTGCCATCAAGGCAAAATCAAAGGGCTCTATGAGACAACTCGTGAATCAATTAAAGGCTTTGTGTTAATCTGTTTAAAAAGTAACATTTTACAAGATGTTTGTGTTGAGGGGGGAGGGGCGGTCTCCAGTCAGTTAAGGGTAGCTGTGTCTAGAGAAGATTTTAAGAAAAATTTTCAAGGTAGTAGAACTAGTCTTATAGCTAAACTGCTCAGCAAGTTTTGACTCAGCTACCATAGTTAGAGAGTTCGCCACCTGCCTCTATACATCGTACACTGCCTTGTGACCCAATTTTAAGGTCATATGCCGACATCTAAGGTCTAGGAGTAATGAAAGTCAGATTTCAGTATTTCCGTTTTTAGACTGGAAAAATATTATAACGTTTACTGTTGGATACCTGAGCTTGCCCCTTCCGGCAACAAGTGCAACATTAACTTCATGTACTCAACAGTAGTATGAAAAAAGCAATAATTGTTTAATGTTAAGTGAAAATTTTCAATGATGGCTACGCAATTACGCAGTACAGGTAATTTCAAGGAATCATCCACAATTGAAGGCAATACAAAGCGGCTTAAATATAGAGACTATGATAGGTACCAAGGAAACATCACTGAAAACGTCCACTATATTACATGTTGCATGACATGTTTAAGTATTAAGTGTCAATCAAGTAAAACTACGATTGCTCTCTCATAAAATGGTGTGATTACTGCTAGAAGTACAACATGGTGTCAAGAAGTAAATCGCGATTCTTGCAGCAGCAAACGCTGTGATCACGACGCGAGTTCTACCACGGAACTGCACAAACAAAAGTCAGTCTAGGAAGACAGAAAACAATCCCGAAACCTCCAGGCAAATGAGGAGAAATGCCAACAGACAGCCAATCAGCAACAACGCCCCCCATTCCTACTGCTCTAAGCTTCACGTCCAATTTCCCAGTACCGGCTCTCATGAAAGTCTCTGGCGACTGAATAAATAATTGGGAGTTCTTCAGACAACAGTGGGAGGACTACGAGCTCGCCACTGGCCTTGACAAGCAACCTGAGGCAATACGATTAGCAACGCTACGATCCGTAATGGGAAAAGATTGTCTGCAGATATTTTTAAATCTTAAGTCCACAAGCGTAATTGCTTAAGCCTAGCAGCTTTGGAAGCCTATTTTAAGCCGAAAACCAGTGTGGTTTACGAAAGATATCTATTCAACTCATCGACTCAAGGCCCAGATGAAGAGATCGATGAATTTGTGAATAGACTAAGAAAACAAGCGTCATCATGCAAATTTGGTATGTTCTGGGATGAAATGATCTGCGACAGGATCGTTATTGGCCTCCATTTTCTGATTGGGCGTTGCCCTCACGGGCTGCCCCCCCAAAAATGCTTATGCCCTGGGCTCAGGCCGGGGGGGGGAAGACTGGGTGCTGCTGGAAAAAAAAATTTAAAATATGACCCTCACGTTTAAGGCAAACATTACCTCTGACTCTTCTTTCTTTTCTTGTTTTATACTTTTGCTAATGTCTTCAAATACATCTATTTTGGAACAAATAGGGTACTAATATTATTAACAGAACAAATTATCAGGGCAACGGTTTACATGGCTTGCCCAAAAAGCTAAAATAAGCTAATTGAGCATATTAAAATGTTTTTCATATTTAATACATCCAGTTTCGCTAGAAATAACGTACTCAAATGCATTCTACCTTTGCTTGCTTTGATTTTGAAACCAACTTACCGACACAATGATTAGGTCTTTCGTCTAAAATTTTGCTCAGTACCTCACTTAAATGATCATATCTGGTTATAAGAAAACAACAATCAACTACAACCACGACTCATAAGCAACAGCAAAAGGCTCATTTTAGCTCTATTGAAATAACAAACACTCAGAAACTTACAGATTTTTGTTTGACACTGAACTTGTTTTCAAAAGAAAAGCTTTTGCTTTCTCTATTTCTTCCTGCATGTTAAAAATTCCCATATGCATACATGTACAACTTGCATCCACTTTCAGGCAGTCGCATCAATAACGAAGAAAACATGGCGGAAGTTCCCATGGCAACAAAAAATGGTCTCCAGTCTCTTTTATTGAGCCGCCACTAGGGGACCACTGGGGTGTGACAGTCCTCCGGGGTGTAACTGTTAACTTGGGTGCGGTGGTTTTGTCGTATGCAATAAAATATGGCGTCGGAAGCACAAGAGGTTATAGCCATTACTGGGGTTTCCGCCGGTCTGGGCCTTGCGATGGTTAAATGGTTCATTTCCAGGGGCCATACAGTGGTAGGATGTGCCCGATCAGCTGAAAAAATAAGTCAGTTAAACGACGAGTTTTGCAGCGGAAACAAACCCAAGAAGTTTTCTGTAGTCAATATTGTTGACGAGACAGAGGTTAAGCATTGGTCGCAAGATGTTATTTCTCGGTTTGGACCGCCAACTTTCCTTCTCAACAACGCCTCTGTGATAAATAATAACAAGAATTTGTGGGAAATACCAGCAGAAGAGTTTAACAAAGTTATTGACGTTAACATCAAAGGAACCACAAATGTGATTCGCTCTTTTGTTCCAGAGATGATCAAAGCAGGTAAAGGTATAGTTGTTAATTTCAGTTCAGGCTGGGGAAGGAGCGTGGCGCCTCACGAGGCACCTTATTGTGCTACCAAGTGGGCTATAGAGGGGCTCTCCAAGGCAATGGCCCTTGAGTTGCCAGCCCCATTGGCTTGTATACCGTTAAACCCAGGAATCATCAACACTCCTATGCTACAGATTTGCTTTGGAAAACGAGCCGCAGACATGAGAACACCAGAACAGTGGGCAGAGACAGCTTGTCCATTTATCTTATCTTTAGATCACTCTCAGAATGGCAGCAGCCTCACAACTCCTTAGAGGCTCATGGAAGTGGTACATATTTTTGTTTAAAAGTAGTTGGACACCTTTGTTCCTAAAACAGAGTTGGGCCCTGTCTTTCTTCAGTATATTTTTTTTTACTCTGTAACACTGAGACATACGATGGACCCTTGGTGTTGGTCTCAAGGTGTCTGTTGACTTTTAACAGTTTTGTGTCAAAAAATAATGAATTTTGTAAACTGAATTGAAAAGGTATTTTAACAAAATGGCCAACCCTGACAATAGGCCATTTGCACAATGAGGTTTTACTATTAGGACCAGATTCAATTAATTTCGTATTTTCCTTCATATTTAAATTTGGTAATCCTGGCCCAGTGCGGTTTAAATGACAAAAACCTTAATTTGCACAAGTAAGCAAAACCCTGAAGGATTTTGGTAGTGGTGTTGAAAAATGATGCCATTGTGAACATGGCCTATATTTGTTTGCTGTTAACAGCATCAAAGCTTGTAAAGCAGGTGCCAGATTTTAAAAGGCGGATAGCTTTATCCATTGGTGAAATCTCTATCCAATTGCCAAGGCATTAGGTATGCAGAATTGTGATTTATCTGTTGGAAAGTGCAATCCAAGTTTGAACAACTGGGACCAGAGTTAAATACTATTGTTAACTCAAAATTGGCCCTAAGACACAGGCAATGATAAACCGGATCAAACTAAAGTAACCAATCCTCCAAAAGTAAAGAGGTTACTGGCCATTTATTACTGACCATACATACATGTAGTTGGGCCAGTAATCTGGTAAAGGATAAAGACAACTGCCTAGTTTCAAACCAAGAGGGGCTGGTACAAGTCTGTTTATTATGGGATAAACGACACAGGACCCATATAGTCAGAAAGAACACATTGAAATTAGCAACAATTTCAAGTTTGTTGTTTATCAGGCCTATATTGAACAAGATACAGCCATTCAAAAACTCCAAAATTTACTAAGAAATATATAGACGTCTGAACAATGTGTCCAGCAATCCATACATCTCTTACAAATTTTCAAGTTTATAAATAGCTGTATCTTGTTCAACATTGGCCTGATTGACACCTAACCTAAAATTTTTCATATGACTATGTGGGTCTCTTGTTGTTTATCATATAATAAACCAACTCATAGCCAGCCCCTCTAGGTTTGAAACTAGGCAGTGGAAAGTAACTTAAGGAGGAAAAGTGAAAGCAACTACTTTGTGAGTAAGTTTCAAAGTAATTAAGGGAAATTGTGTCCAGACCTTTTTTCACTACATAATAGAGTCCAGACTGTTGTATATAATAAATAATTATTGTAATGATTATTTCGGTAATAATAATACTGATGCTATCATGTGCCATGCCTTATAACAAGATAAAGTTTTTTTCCTTAATGATCACGTAATGGTAATTTTAAAAAGCTTCTGACTCCAGATAAATTAGCCCGAGTCTGAATAGATACTTAATCATGAATGTAACATTATTTCTTGTGGTTTGGTTTTATTCATGTACTGAAAGTTCGAATCTGTTTTGATCTTCTGAACTTTTACACTTTGTATTCTAGCTCTTTATCAAGAATAATAATTGATACCATCTTCTGGTTGTTTCAAACAGCAGGACAATGCCCTCTTTTACACTAAATTAAAATAAGGCCCCTTCAAATGTGCTTGAAATAATTAAGTCCCCCAGAGGAGCTTAATTGAGGATTTAAAGTAAGTAGTAATAGTCCGTTATTTACCCTCAGCAGTATTTATAGCACTAATGGTAGTGGGCCAGAGCAGAATGCCTGAAACAAATAATTTAAATTGAACTTAACAGTGTTAAGAATCCCGACTGGCCAGAGGCAAACCAGCTGGCTATTTACAAGAATGGCCAAGGATTTGAACTCAGGACTGCCGCGAACAGATCCAGCTAGTGGTTGGAGCAGGACTTGAACTTGAGGCCTCTGAATTACAAGTCCAGCACTCTAACCACTCAGCCACTCTGCCTTCCTAGATGTGGTGATACATTTTTTTTTTCTGTTTGTGTGAAGGAACAATCTCAAAAGAAGGAAGAGTGAATTGGTGGAACTAAAGGGGGGGGGGGGGGCGGAGGGAAGGGGAGTTTTGAAGAAGTTAGCAAATTCTAGTAAATCCAGAGAACTTAAGAAGACTTTATTAACTTAAGAGGAAAATATGGCTACTAAAGAATGAGACATACGGCTACAATATCATAAATCTCCAAAACTCACAAAAATTAATGATATTTGTATATGTTAACACAATTTTTGGCTTCTTAAGGTGTTTATTTTCTTACAATAAATAATGCAATTGAGATCTTTGACGTTTATATCCAACAGGGAAAAAAGAAAAAAAAAGAAAACAATGTTAGATATACAGATCAGTAGTGATATCTGAATATGATGGCAGCCTCAGCCATTGGCTTCTGATATTTCATTTCTCTGTGTCACCCAAAGAGTAAAAGCCATTCTAAAATAGAAAAAAATAGAAAAACTGGGTGAATAAGACCAAAAGACAAACAAATAATACATGTCTAGCTGGATATTTGAAAACAATTATGCATGTGTTTGTCACATGTAGACTTGACAGTTGTAATAATTTCACTATTACATGGGTTACGGGAAGAACCTTATCCAAAATCTTTAACGAGTCCCAAACTGTGCTGCACGACTTATCATGAAAGAGAACTTCACTGGCTGGTGGTTAACGAACGTGTTATCTTTAAAAGTTCTGCTTTTCACCTATAAAGCCCTAGATCACTCTTTACATACAAGATCTATTAACTATTTACTCTCTATCACCCAAACTTAAAAGGAGAAAATAAAGCTTCCCCTCTCCCAACCCGTCCATGCCATGTTGTGCCGCTGTTCAAGCTACCTGTAGAAAACTAACACCACAATTTTGAATGGAGGTGAGGGGGAATGGTAAGGATTGTTTTGTTCTCCGATGTTGACCCAGTAGTGTCAACAATGATTATAGTTTTGAATGAGACAAACTGGGCAACATTGGTGCAGTAACAGTTAATGAAATTTCATACACCTAGCTACATATATAAAATATAAGTGACTGAAAAAGCAAGCCTGTAAAATTTGACACACATTTCAAAAAATTCCAAAAACGTTTGATTTACCAATTCCTTACAAAGTTTTACATCAAACTACAATTGGCAGCAAAATTGTTGAGACACTGTCTGTAAAAGGGGAACTTTGGACAAGAAAACAATCTCCACCCTTCCCGCTTCCCTCCATTTATCTGGGGTGTTAGTTGTTTCTTGCAGGTAGCTAGAGCAGCGGTACAAGATTGCTTGGCAAGGGGAGGGCAGGAAAACTTCACTTTTATCTTTTGAAGATGGTAAAACAACAGTCCCAAACAATTGTGTCAGCAATTGTAGAATTATCAAAGATTTCTCTTGTTCAATAAACTTTTGCACTGGCTAACTTTCCAAGATCCTGGGTTGACCAGCCAAGATCATAGCAAGTAAGCCAGTCTGCCTTCTCATGGAAACACAATGGACATTTTATGATGAATTGAGGCATGAACAAAGCCAGCTTGCTAACCCGTTGGCTCACTTTATACAAAAAGGCCCTAAGGGTCTTAAAGCAAACTGACATAAGAGAAAAACCTGATGTAAATACCTGCAGTGTTTGACAATGCATTCATTACTACAGTACTGGGTTCCACGCTCTTTGGTTGTACGTGCTGGCTTGTTACAGCCATCACACAAACAGATACGCTGACTTATTGGGTTGACAGTCACTTTACTCTTCTGTAAAGAAATGTTTTCTTTATATTTATGTTATTATGGTACTATTTCTTTAATACATTATTATGGTACTATGAGCTTGAGAACATCAATAAAAAAGTACAGTAAAGAAGTAAAAATAAATTAAATGACTTCACTTGCAGTGTATTCACTAATTACAACGCCCTTCACCTCTAAATTGACTAAATTACTGAACGATATGAAGTAAAAAAATATCACAGTAAAAGAAATGGAACAGATAAATACTGATGATATCAATAGTGCTCATAATAATCCAAATATCATTTTCAAGAGGAGATGAAAAATAAATGACAAGTTGAAAATTAAAATTCAAAAAGTGTTATCCAGGTTCATGAAAACTAGTTGCTACAGAGATGAATGTGACTGATGGGATGAATAGTTTTGCAAGCACATGGTTTTTGTTGGAAAATGAGCATGTTGTTGGTTGTCATAAAGGTTACATTTATTTTACGTAACACAACTCTTTGGGAACAAATTATCGATCTACAACAACAGTAAAATAATAACATTATTGTTGTTTTGATATCAGCACTCATGTTCAGGGCCAAGTAATAATATCTACAACAAAAGTGTCTACACCTTACTGAATGACCAGTGACATACTTATATAAACACCTCCTCCTACACAACATGCATTCAAGAGTTAAAATAGCATCTGATAAGGCACTTAAGTTTATCAGTCAGCACTCACCTTAGGTTTTGCTGAAATGTTTGGTTGAGTGTTTGTGTTTATTGTTGTTTTGGCAGCTGCCATGGGTGGTACAGTTGCCACTGGTTTACCAGCCATAGCTACTTGTGTTGGGGTGCGGTTTAATGGTTTACTGTTAGTCACGGCCACCGTATCACTAATAACCTCCACTGATCCGCGTGTAGCTGCTGCAGTATCTGATCCTGGAACGGAAGTCACATGGTCTACTGCCACTTCCACTTTCTTCAGTTTTAGAGTTGGTTCATCCTGAAAGAAGCATTTGCCATTGTACCAATAATTATTATACTGCCCAATACATATCATTCTGAGATACCATTACCTAAAATATATCATTTTAATATACCCTTTACTATATTAATGAATTCTTGACAGTCTCGATAATATAGATTCAAAATTAATCAGTGATAAAGCAAGGCTCAAATAATATTGCTTAAAACCCAAGTTTTGCTAGACATCGTCTTGACTGAATTGGCTCACTATCATGTTAATCACTATCATGTTGACTCACTATCATGTTAAGTAAATGAAAAAAAAAAGAGCGAATAAAGTAAGTCAACTAGTTCTAGGATGGTATATGAAAAGATTGCACGTGTTCAGCTAGGATTGGTTAACAGAGACATTTGATATTCTCTTGTCTAGATTATTTCCTTCATAATAATGATTTTCACAGTATTATTAAAAGTAATTAATGGCTCATTAGTAGACTGTTTGGCACTGTACCTGCTGTGTCAGCCTCTTAGCTTGGAATTGATTTTCCAGTTGTCGAGCCTTCTCTTGATAAGCCTGATAACAAAGAAACCAGATTGTTAATTTATCCTTCACAAACCAACAGGGTTGTCTTTTTTTTTCAAAAAAGAATGCTGTTAAAAAAGCATTCAGTCTCGCTTGCTTGGAGATCACCGCTAAATAAGACATGAGGAGGCAATAAATTCTACATGAAATGGGATTTCCTCGCGAAACGTTTTTCCCTTCCTACTTTATTTAGAGTCTATTATTCTTCAGGATATTTACTTTTTATATCGTATTCGACGATGATTGAGAAAGAGTGTATAAATAAGCGAAAATCAATTCAAGAGAAATTACATCATTGTCAGTGACCAAAAACGTGAAGAACATGGTGCGTCATTTCAGTCATCACCAAAAATAAACCACATGCTCATCACAAGACTCATTTGCATACTCATTTACAACGCCCGATCAGTTTGTAGCCTCACCATCAAAATTCTCACTGAAATATTCACTTGTTCTAAAGTAATAAATACTTTCAAGCAATAGAATTCATGGCCCGACCTGTTCCAGAAAAGCTCGACATCTTTCACATTAATCTTTCCTAAGCTTTCTTCACAAAATAAATTAAAGCATGGCGTTGTGACATGTCACGATTCTTATCTTCAGTTTCCACAGTCTCTGCTAGGAACGCCTACAACCAGGCCCCCATTTTGGCATGTACACAAGAAAAAAAAAAAGAAGAGAAATGCTTGCAAGCAAGACTATTATTGATCCCCACTTTGTCTAGACATAAGTGAGAACCAAAATTCACCAGACATTATAGCCACAATGCTTCTAATAATCAACTCCACAAGCCAATCAGCTTCAACATCTGCATGATGAGTCAAGATCAAAGACAAAATGCTTCTTATTACTTTGAACTACAAAATAAACTAACAATCTAGTTAATGCATGGCAAAAAATCTTAATCCATGCAAGTACACCATTGTTGTAAAGGATAGGGTTGACCTCTTTTATGCAATTAAAACTTGAGAAAAAAGCCTGCTTGGTTTCCTATTATTTTGTTGACAAATTCCACATACCAGTAAAGGAGGTCCCACCTTTTTGTGATTTTCATTTAAAGTATCCCACATCTGATCCACAATTTTCTTGATGTCCTCAAACTGTGCCTATGGAAATGAAAAGTGCGACAACAAAGAACAACATGAAGTGCAGATTATGGCTGTGGCGGCACTTGGCAAGTTAACTGGGTTAGTTTTTGAATAACCTGGTAAAAATATACTTAGAATGTAACCTGGTTAAAAGAGTTTAACCAGGTTAATTTTTATCAGCGGCTGGACTCAATTTAGACTTCCACAAAGTCATTCAATGTCACACACTTTTTTTTCTTGCTCGCTTGGTTCGCTCATAATGTTCACATAAGATTTGAACCTGTATTAATGATAAAAAGAGGTCATCTTCTTAAAAGTCTTAACCCAATTGTGTTACGAAAGAAAAGCTAAACTTGGAGCGAAAGAATTGACTTCGAAACTGTTGTGCTCGCGTGCATGGTACAGAGATTCCAACAATGTCAACTGAAAAAAGGGAGGCCTGCTTGTAGAGCACCATAGCCGTGCCCATGAGTGCCAAAAACAAAAATTTTAAGATCTGTGCCTCTAAGATGCCATTTCCTGCATTTTGAGATCACAGTCAGTGGAAAGAGTGGACTTTTTAACAGGCAGTGGTTGCTAGGGCCTATTGGTACCTATTACATCAGTGCATTAATGCACCCAAAATTATGGCAGGCTCATGCTTGGATGCCAAAAGGGTAAAAATGGCTGAGAAACCACAGAAAAACGGAAAAGAATCGTGCTAAAAAAGACTGGTTAAACAATAAAAACATTGTCTTTCTTGAACTACGGATATCTTACGGCCTCCGCCAACTTGTAAACACAGAACTTGAAAATCAACCTTCGTCACACTTGACTAAACACACAACTCCAGCTTGTGGGAAAAAACTTAGTTAGTCAAAAGAACTCGCTTGGAACTTGTACACCGTTTGACATAAGGTTCTAGAAAAGACTAAACAGGCGAATAGTAGTAGCTTTTCGACATATTTTATGATTTCAGTAACTGATGCAAATCTGCTGAGTCATGCTCAAATGTAAACATGCTCTAATTAATTATTCATGAATAATCCAAACACGTAGAGAACGTTCGAGAAAGTCTCGCAATGCATGAAAGCAATTTATGATGTAACACTCAACAAAGACAAAATGTCTTTGTGCAGCAATTTGTATCTTTAAATTCATCATAAAACAGTTCCAAAGGAGCGCTCACTCACAAAATGTTTTTCAACACTCGAAGAGAAATTTAGTGCCATGTCATATCCTCTATTTTATTCCTCGAGTAAATTAAAGACTAAACTCAAAGTGATCTCAAGATATCATGAATTAGTCTCGTCTCATTTTATGAAATAGCCAAAAAAAGCCGAAAAGTCACGCACTTGTGCGGCCAATCTTGTCCCAAAACTAGTGCATAATTTCATAGCTATTTTTCAAATCCCGAACTACCTTGGGTCGCAGTAACGTAATCGGCTAATCCCTCAACTTAGAGTCTCCTCTGATCTGACAGGTCACACAGGTGAGTCGGTTCAAACCCCGGGGAGCCAAAATAATAATTCTTTCTTCCTCGAATAAGTTAAAGAAAAGAAAAAAAAATGAAGTGATCTCGAGATATCTCGAACTAATTGGGCTCTCACTTCCTCAAATAGCCGAATAAAACCGAAAACCTACAGACTTTGCATGCCCAATCTTGTCCCAAAAATATCAACTTTGATACATTCCTGAGCGTCGCGAATCCTTTACTTTGCGCTCTGCCGAAGTAATAATAAGCTGTAAGCAAGTCAAAGACAAGAAACATCACATTACTTTAATTTGAATGAAGATGATGCGAACTGCGGAAATACAAATTTAAATGAAGCTATGATCGTCGCAGTGGTAATTTCAATTTAAGCAATTGCAAGTTTGCCCCCAGCCCCCCCCTCCCGCGTTAACTTGCAATAATATTGCTTCAACTGCAATTACCACAGGGAAGATCATATGTTCAGTTAAATCATATTACTCATCTCAGGTTTTTAGGCCACATTTTTCATAATCTACAGATTTTTATTCCCTCATGTTGCCAGGTATATTATTTAACAGAAAACTAGTATAAGACTTTCTAAATTAGTATAAGCAGATTTAAATGAGCTTGAAATGTTCAAATCAGTCTTGTGAACATACCAAAATATTAATGCAGGTTGTAACTGCACAGCTTATAGCATTGTTTCTGATTCCTTCTTACCTGAGGGTTTTTTGTTCTTACAGCCGCCTGGGTTTCCTTGAAGAACAACTCATAAGCAGTTAAAGGCCTAAAATAAAATCAAATAAAGAAAACACAACAACTAAAATTTAGGAAAACAAAATCAATCCAATGTAGCAATATAGTAACAGACCTGCAAAACACCGTTAAGAGAACTAAAAAATAATGTTCAAGGCTAGGCACAGGTACTAGAATGATACAAGTTAATCACCCATAGCTCGAGACATTACCAAAATTCAGACAAAGTCTCTAAAACTATGATATTTATTGCACTAACTTGTTTCCGCCTTGAGTGTCCTTTTCTTTCCCTTTTCTCTTTCGTTTACTTCCTTTCTCTTTGTCTTTCTTTTTCTTCTTCTTTTTCTTCACCTCATCACCACCCACTTTCTTTAGGTTTTCAGCCACTTGGGATAAAGGAGTACTATCGTCGTCATCGTCATCATCATCACTGTCTTGTTGATGGGTTGAAGCTGGCTCTAATGAAGGTCTTACCAGTGGAGTGTGTGATGAGGATTGTAATCCAGGTGCTACTGTTAATGACTGTGAAGCTGTAACCATGCCCTGCAGGCTACCACCAGATGATGATGCCGTTACTGTAGCTGCAGGAGAAGCAGCTACTACTTGACTGATTGCTGTTGCTTCATTGACAAAAGTTATTTGAACAACATTGCTACCAGATGACAAAGGAGTTTGTAATAAAGGTACACTATTAGACTGTGTGGATCCCAAAGCAGTTGAAATCTGTTTAGTATTTGAATTAGTGGCAAAGATTCCTTCAAATGGTTGTTGTTGTCCCGGCACAGAAGTTGGTACTTGATTATTATCTACAGTTGTATTCAGTTGTACAGAACGTGTGGAATTGTTTCCATCTATAATACTGCCACTTTTAACCTCTGTTAATGTCATATTTCCTGTTTCAGCCAAAAAGGGTAGTTCCTTAAAGGCTGGACCTAATACAGCTGTTTCCAATGCAGTTTTGTATGTTGTCTGGGCTAGCTGAGATGAACTAGATACCACCGAAGCTTTACAATTCAAGCTGGCACTGGAAGGGTTGGTAATGACAGTTTTAGGCAGTTGGGGTTTTAATGAAACTGAGGATTTTAAGGGAGAATTAGGATTCACCAGAATCATCTTAACTGGCTGAGATGATGATTTGGCCTGTGAACTTTGAACTCCGGATGCTGGGCTTTGAGGAACAACATAGCAGATGAGTGGTTGTCCAGTATGAATGTTAGGTGTTGTTCCCTGCTGTTTTGCCTTTGGCTGCCCCATGGCCTTTACAAGCTGTCCCAGCAATTCTGGGTTGGACAAAGGAATGGCCTGAATAGGTTTGTTACTGGACTGAAGCCTAGTTGCACTAATATTAGGACCTTGTGCAACATTCTGTGAAGGCATCTTATTAGAAGCAGCAGCAGTAATGATGTGTGTTTGGATCTGAGAACTTGACTGAGTCACAGGTGCGGACAAAGTAACTGTTTGACCATGAGGATTTGCTGATTCCATACTTATTTTCAAGCTGCTAGCAGTACGGGGCTGACAAGATCCACCTTGGGCCTTAGAAGATACTGCCACAGCAGATGGGACTGCCATTTGTAACATTTGTGAGGTAGTACTCAGAAGCTGAGAATTTGTTGATACGAACGACCTTGTACTTTTTACTACTGACTGTGGAGCAGTAGTCTGCAGTGGAGATCCAGGCTGAATTATGGATTGGGCATGTCTCATACCTTGATTTGCAGTTCGTATTGGAGCAGATACCTTCCCTGCATGGTTTGCTTGTTTTACTTTGGGACTTGGACTTCTTGATGATGCCAAAGGACTTCCTGGACTTCCAGCAGAATTCAATGGACTTCCCCCAGTTACACCTGTCATAGGTAACTGTGATTTACAGGTAACATTACTTGGCGCAGCAGCTAACTGCCCTGGGCTTGCTGCTTGAACTGAAGTTGCCGTAAGCCCCTTCTGTAAAGCATTTGGTGGAAAAAGTGAATGAGTTGTAGAAGGACTGGGCTGCTGTGAAACATGAGTTGCAAATACAATGGGTTCACTGACACCTTGTGGCATATCACGCTCAACAATTTCATCAATTAGTTCGTCGATATTGGGCCCTTCCACCATTGGACTACTCACTTCAGATGATAGTTGCTGACTCATTACAGGGGGTAAGTTGGGTGGTACAAATGGTGACAGCTGAGAATGTACAGTTGTAGGTCTATTAAGGTTTGACATTATTGGCATCCTCACTCGCTGTTGTCCCACGGGAAATGTTGAATGACCCTGCATTGATCCAGGTGGAGTGATAGGGGGCAAATCAAAGTTTTCAGATGGAAAAGTTGGGGTTGGTGGTGTTCTAGATCGTGCAGCAAGATTCTGAAGATACTCTTGTCGTATATCTCGTATTAGAGAGTTGGGGTCTCCTGGGAACACAGGATTTATGGCGGATGACTGTGGCACCTTGCAAAAAGGGTAAAAAAATTCATTTAGTGGAAAAATATTCTTCCAAGGTCAAGCAACTTCAGTAGTTGTCAAGACATTTGAAAGAGTTCATACATTTTAACATTGGGTACTTAATAACAGCAGCCTGGTTCTCCAGGGCTTTATTGTGAAGAGTAGAAAACTTTGATAAAAAAAAATTAAAATAAACTTTCCTTGACCTGTAGTGTGACCTGTAGAAACAGTTGCCTTTGCAGCAGTAAGAAATAAAGGTACTGCCTTTGCTCAACAAATGGCTACATGTTTGCAGCGCTTGGATGGCCATGTAGAAATGCAACACCTTTGTCCAGCACAAGACATTAAAACTGTGTCCTTATTTAGTAATTTAGCCTAAATTCACTAATACTTAGGCAAAGTACCGAGGGTTTTTTTTATTGTTGTTTTTCATTCATTTTTAACTGAATGGTTTATCAAATAATGTTCATGTATCTTTCTTATTATCTTGTAGTTTTTGTATATTTTAATTACATTTACTGTAATACACTTTAATTCCCATTGTTTATGTATTATGTAATCTAATCTAGGACTCTGAATAAAAAGGTACAGGTTGAAAACAGTAATACAGTCAACTCTTTCCAAGACAGACACCTTTGGGACCGGCTTTAAGTGTCCGTCTTAGAGAGGTGTCCATCTTATAGAGAGTCAAATAAAGGGAATAAGCAAAGGCAGGGACCAACTCTAGGTGTCCGTTTTACAGGTGTCCGTTAAGAGAGAGTCGACTGTATCAATTTACATTTCTACAAATGTAATAACATTAATTATTATGAAGCAGTGAGAAGTTTGTATGTTACTCAGTAAAATGTGTACGGAGACATACCTGTGGCAAGCTGACAATAGCTGCCCCAGTCTCCCTATGAGGAGCCAGTAGTTGGCTCCCAATAACCAGACCATCTCTGCCACTATTGTTTAGAGAGTTAGTTGATGATGCTTGTGATGTTGATGATCCAACATTGCTCACTTGCACTTCTAAACCCTGAAGCTGGTCAAACTCTATATCCTAATTAAGAGGACATTCAGAAAATAAGCAACAAACCACCACTTTGCAGATCACTGATCGCTTTACAGTATTGCTCCCCCTGAGGCCAAAGCAATAAGAAGGGTTTTAAAATAACTCACAAATGAAAGTGCTGTCTTTGCTTTGCAAATTACTACACCTTAGAGTGTCTAAGATGACCTCATTAAATGGTGGTCCCAACACAAGTAAGAGATGTTAAAATATTATGTCCTCAAGTACAACTTTTGTGCTAAAGTACAGTGCAATCCCTGTAAAACATGATAGTGCAGACATGCAGATTGGAAGAAAATTGCACTCAAACGTTAAAAAAGCTGAGCCTAAGAAGTGACAGTCATAACAACAGCTTCAAAGAAAAAAATAGTTCAAAATAAAATATCTTACATTCAAGACGAAAATGTGCAACGTGTTAAGTGGCATAAAAAAAGTTAGTAAGTCTTGCACTTTGTTAAATTTGTAAGACCGAAACTGAAGGAACTGTTTTTATCAGGCATTTAGAAGGAAGTATGAGAATGTATAAAAATAATTTATAATTCAGGTAATTCCTGGCCGTACAATACCTACTCGAAGATATCAGACCTGTCAACGTTATGTTGTATTACAATATGAGAGTTAAGCTTAGTCAGCTGTCTTTCCGCGACGTAAGTCAGGCTTAGAATATTTTAAGCGAAACTCCCTACAAATTCCGATATATTCATTGACTTCAACTTCCCCTAAAGCGTCGTGTAAATACTTCGGCAAGAAATTCTTGATCGAGAAAGGATGAAATATTCTGGCGTTGTCCTCAACTCGAAATATCTTTTTTTTATAGTGGGCGAAAGAAGCAAATTTTCCGGGAAAGCCTGTATACTTCCCGTTCGTAATTCGAGGTATGTAGAACTCCTCCACGAATAACTAATTCTTAGTTTTGAATTAAGCTTTAAAGCAAGCTTGAGACTATTTCAATCACACCAGCCGCAGCGGGGCTGCCCCAATGGTCTCGTTACTGGAAAACAGGTCTGCAAAGACCTGTTTTAATGATGTTATGTCTGAGGCAACTTCACGGGATTCCGTGGACAGTGACTTGAAATAACGCTTCCCTCGGTATAAGCGAGGGTGTTCAACTTTGGTCGACTCTTAACCGATTTATTGTCAGGGAAATCGTTCGCTTTTCTTGTGGAAAAGTTACTTAACAGTTCACCCAACAGACCTTTGTAGGAATATCGTGCTGGTCCCAATCTATAACTTGATCTATATCAAAATCGGCGATTTCATTCGCGTTTGACTCCGTCGCCATTACATCCACGATTGCCAAACTATAATGTGCGCATACTCGGGCATAACGCTGACTAGAAATTTGCGCCTGCGATTTTTAATCGCCTCGTTCCTACGTCTGTTGTGGAATCTAGTACCCAAGCGACAAGCACTTTCCTCTACACGTCATGGAAGTGGGAAATGGGGCCTAGCTAGATTCACTCTTTTTTAATGAGAACACTATAGTTTTATAAGAATATATATTTTATTAGAATATGGAGGCTGAAATTTGCGAATTGCTAAGAACATTTTAAGAATAAACCCCAGGCATAATTTTGAAAAGGATTTAAAGTTGTGTGTTGAAAATCTGTGAATACAATACAATTACATGTTTTTAACTTATTCCTTTCTCTAAACGGCAAAACTAGCCAACAAAACAAAAAAACCTGCACTTATTATAATTCATACCCCAATCAAAAGTACTCCCTTACCCCAATACATTCTTAAACGGAAATGTCATAAGGTATACTTAGATGGGGATTTAAGAATCGAATAATACAAGAATATTTTCAGCCTATAATCAGCGGAAAATTAAGAATACTCAGCCTGGGCCGGAAAGACAACATGCTTATATTCTTGGTTTGCAACCACGTGACAAGGCGGCCATGTTGGGGGTCAATACAATAGAGTTTTTTCTCGAAGAATTTACATGAAAATAGAGTTTAGTTCCCAGAGGAGAGAAATGCTTTTGTTCTTGACCACCAACATGGCCGCCGTGACGTCACGTGCAAACCAGCAATATATATATAAAAAGAAAACCTGTTTGAATGGAGAGGTCCACACAACACGTAAATAAAACTGACTGGTTGCTCTTGCTGGATCTCTAATTAAAGAGATGCTGCTGCTGCCAGACGTCACTTAAAGTGTAAAATAAAACAATTGCAACAACTGCATTCAGTTTTGTTTTACATATAACTAGTAATAACCAAAGGTTACGGAGTGCAGGCGATAACGGCCGAAGGTTCGAAACGCTTTTGCTCCAACGCTGTACTTTGCGTAAGTTTTACGTGACAGATGGTCAAAACACGCGTGATTAGATTACGAGTGATCGAAGGTCCAAAGGGGCGTGATCAAATTGCGTTATGTTCATTCCATTCATTCTAAATGGAAGTCAAACATACACGCGACGTATGCGTAATAACTAGTAATAACCAAAGGTTAGGGAGTGCAGGCGACAACGATAGGAGGTCCAAACGCTTTTGCTCCAACACTGTGATTTGCGTAAGTTTCACGTAACAGATGGTCAGAACACGCGTGATCAGATTACGAGGGGTACAAGGTCGAAGTTGCGTTTTTGGCATTCCATTCATTCTTAGTGGAAGTCCAAACGAATGCTGAGTACATACATGCGACGCATGCGTAATAACAACCTGGAGATTAGGATTACCGGCTCCTCTTGTCGCCCGCAAAAAGAGTGTACAGACCATTAAATGTTGGAAAAAAAAGAGGTGTGAAATGTGCAGACCACGAGTAAAACCCGTTATAGAGGAAGCGTTAAATCAGCGGACAATCCCACAACTGTTCTCTTCAGAAGGGCCAAGAAAGTTAATAAGCCATTTCCGAGTTCCCCCGAGCCTTTGTATCAAAGCGAGGTTAACTGCTCAGCCTTTGATATGGAAATGATTTTCCATTCTCATGCAAATAAAACAAGTTGTGCACTTGGCCTCATTTTGAAAGTGAGGGTCTTTGAACTCGGAAGTGGACTATTCAGAGCGTACACATTGCCCCAGTCCCCGCGCATTTGTTAGGTTGTGCTTTACTGTACTGGGGTGAGGGCCGCCCAAGTGTGGGTATTTGTCATGGCTAAGGTTCATACTTTCGAAGCAAAATATCACGGTGGCAACAAAAGAACATATACCCATCCTCACTGAAGAAACAAATGACAAATTCAAAAATTTGGGTTTTATTAAAACATTATCGCCAGATAGAGCACCGGTAAGCGCACAACTGTTTGTTTTGTGCTTGCAATTTCATTTACTGGAGCGGAAACTCAAACAAAAGAAAAGAGAGAGAAATCTCCTCAACCAGCGTTAAAAGAAACCAGTCGCTAGAGCAAAACATATTGAAAAAGAAGGCCGATCAAGCTTTAAGCAAGACCAACTCAATATTGGTTTATAATTTCTTATTTACAGTTTGTAACTAAATATCTTTGTCTGCAGTCTAAAGAGCACTGATGTGATGAACTTGCCGGGCGTTCATCTTTTAGTTTTTCTTTTTTTAACTGGCCTCTCCTCCCACCTAAAAAGTAAAAAGAAAAAAAATTTAAAAGGAGGGCAGTTTCCGCTAGCTCATTCTTGGGCTCTCTTGCCATCAGTGATTTCAATCACTACAAACCGTAAACTAACACTTAATGCATGTGTACAATGTTTCGGTAAAATGATAATATTCACCAAATGGATGAAACCATAGATGAAACCGGTAAAAGACCCGAGACTTCCGTCATTGTTTATAGTCGGGTATTCATGTCAGGAAGGGACAGAATGTTTACTGACAAAGAAATGTCCCCAGTTGGCACTGAAAAAGTTGAACTAGTTGGGGTTCAGAAAACAGACATTTTCTTTTGTTTTCGGCAACACGCCATTATTTAAGGCAACAATAAACAACAAATTCAAGCCTTAGAGGATAGCCACAATAAAGGTGGGTCCTTCCGAGAAGATTGCGGTTGACATGTCCAGGAGGAATTCATGTCACTCATTTGCTCGCTATGCAGACTTATAACTGAGCTTCAAACTGAGTCAGTTCAATCGAGTTACCTAAACAGTTCCTCTGCTCGCCTCTCCTCTCTTTGACGTTCCGCATCAACCTACAGAGGAGACAAAAACAACACATTAGTTCTATCTAGTTTCCTTTCTCGGTCAAAAGTTTAAGTTTTTACTCGGTACAATGTTGTCGCTAAGAAGAGAAACACAGGCACACAAAAAGCTAACAAATGAGTCTGCACAAGTATCCTAGAAAGATACATAGATACATACATAATCTTTATTTATCCACGGTCAATTCATCAGCCAAAAAATTACAATTCAAAAAAGAAAACATTATAAACTATCTACATCATAAAAAAATAAAAGGCTGCTTTTCAGGAATGCCGTGCCCTAGAGTACTTGTTTAAGAAGACATTTGAATTTCGTACGGGACTCTGCTTGCCTCACAGTACAAGGGACTTTGTTCCATAGGATGGCGCCAAAATAGCTACAGCTATTTTTGTAATAATTTATCCGTGGGAAAGGGATGCAAAGTTTATTGTCAGAGTCTCTAAGGTTACATGCCGTTTCTCGTATTGCAAACCTAGAACACAAATATTCTGGAGCCAACCTGTGTAAAGACTTATAAACCATCGTGGCTTTTTTCAATTTCATGATGGCGCGCTAGATTTTTCCATCATAGGAGTTCAAACAGGTAACCAACGTCTTCATCGTAGTCTGAAAATGTCAAAACACGGGCTGCTCTATTGTGTAGTTTTTGAAGTTTGTTCCTTAAGATTATCCCACAGTTTCCCCAAACAGTATTGCAATAACTGAAGTGAGGGTGAATAGGAGCTTGGTAAGTAAGTTGTAAGGTCGCTTAGGGGACAAGGTGCTTACTCGCTTTATGGCCCCGATGCCAGAAGATACTTTCTTTATTATCTTCTCCATATGGCTACCCCAATCGAGATTATCATCGATGGTCACTCACTCCAAGAGATTTCGCAGTAGCGACTTGGGCAACTCGAAAATCATTAATTGCAAGTGTTGGGGAAACTGTTACAGTACTTAGCCTCTGCCCAGATCCAATTAACATGAACATGAACCTCAGGCGCAAATAGCTTCATTTACACTAGCGATTTCAAGTATTAAAGTGCAATGACGAAAACTTTTCTTCTGTTGTCAGAAGCATTGAAATTTTATTTCATCGAGTAAGCCAGTTTATGGTACGATAGAACAGTTGCATTGCTCAAGGGCATCACAAGTTACGGAACAAGATTTTGGACTGCAACACAGTCATATCTTTTCTGTGTTGAGCAAGAATGGAAATCTTAGTCACTTATCACAAGCAAATCAGGTGCTAAGTTAAATGTTAAGTATAACTCTACCTCTCTAGCTTCCAGGAACCACTCGTCCCTCTCCAACCTATCAGAAGACTGGTAAACTTCCAAATCACTGCCACCAATAATGCGCGGAAGACTAACACTGGAACCTGGATAAACTTGCTGCAAAAAGAAAAGACTACTGTAACGGCCAGAGTTTCTTTATCATTGATTTGTTTCTCATTTCCTCGATATTAATCAAGTTGAGCATAAAACAGCGGCAGCTTATTTATGTGTTACTATGACTGAAGCGCTGAGAGCCACACACGATAAGTTGATAAGTCGATGATCAAGTATCCGGCAAATTCTAGCCCTGGGCATGGTATCCAGTTCATGTTAACGGTGTTCACGGCCAAGCGGCAAACAGTCTCATCAAGTCGTAAATTAAACATTATTCTGAACAAATAAAACCACATTTACACGCGCTGAAAAAATCGGCACCGCACGCCAAATTTTTGGCACCGTGCCTCGTTTACGCGTGGGAGGTAGTCTCGGCACCCCTAAAATTTTGAGCACTGGTGCCAAACTACATTTGGGACCGATACGTTTACACGTCGAAAAATGGGAGTGCCGTGCCTTAAAATCGTCAGCACGGTGCCAAAAATTTGGCGTGCCGTGCCGATTTTTTTAGCACGTGTAAATGGGGTTTTAGTTTACGGCCGCGGGTTTGCTTTCCGTTAAGACAGGTTAAGAGGAAGCTCAGTCATAAGTCTGATAAGTGAATGTTAATTAAATTACGTCTTGTGAAGGTCCCAGCAAATAAGGAGATAATTGTGCCGGCTTTAAAGAGAAACACGGCGGACTCAATGAACGACTTTCCCTTATACTTATTCAGTCCTGCTCACTAGTGACTCCGTGGCAGATATTTGACGATATACAAGCTTATCTTTAGCTACTTCTCATTCGAGATTAAATATAGTATATGTATGCATGTGTGTATGTATGTATGTATGATGATATGAAAATTACATAACTGAAATATTCAAGGAACAAAAGAAATCAGAGTTTAATCAGACCTTTGCAAATTTCTTGAAGTTTTTGACAGTGGTATTTCCTGGTCTCTTCGGTGCAGTAGGTGCGACATTGGCTGGCCTGCGAACTACTAACGACACTTGTTCAACAACAAAAAGGTCGCGAGGCAAATGAGCATCTCCATCTTCACAGGTTTCCTTAACCACCTTCAAAGACAACATCGAAAATCACAAGTCAGCAACAACAAAATGATGTATTAGAGGAAATAATAGTGTTTACTAGGAGTTGCCAAGAATTGTGCCTTATATGCTGAAGAAAAACGAAGAAAAACGCCGGAGATCAAACAAGAAAGTGACACGAAGGTCTGCAGTTATAGTTTTCTGTTACTAGTCTTGTCTACGGGGCAGCACGGTAGGAACGCGCCCAAACTTTCCATTTTGCTTGTACAGTTGTGTTTGTCGTTCAACTTAAGGTGGCCCGAACCTATTTCAGGGGCGGATCCAGAAAATTCAGAAAGGGGTGGCCGGGACACTTGCAAGCTATATAGATAATTTTTATTTTTCTGAGAATTCTATAAAAATAACACAAAATGTCAAAAAAGGGGCTGGCCGCGGGCCCCTCGGCCCACCCCACCCTTGTATTCTTATGCGAGCTGGTTGTGTTTCTGAATCGCCTTTTTCAACAGGAACGATTTAACCGATTTCTACGGTCTTTGGTATCCTTAAGAGAATACCCTTTCAGATAGGAGATAGTCCGTTAGCACTCTTCCCCTCTGCCAAAAATCATAGAAATCGGTTAAATCGTTCCTGCTCACCGAAAAACGCGATTTAAAAACGTAAATAACACGCACATTAAAGCTTATTTGCAGTTGGTTAATAAAATCGTCATAATGGGAAGAGAATTCTCTGTTGAGCCTCCCACCCAAAACGCCAAACCCAAACCCTCATAACTAAGACCAAACAGAAGCCACTTGCTCTTGCATTTCATTTTCCTTTTCGTAGAAGAAAGAATATAAAGTTTAGGCATATGTAGAGGTTTATTGCAACTGGAGCTCGACAATTGAGCTAGACGTAGTTGATCCAGAAATATTCTACCCAAACTGTTATTGATGATTAAATGGAGGAAAGAGCTGTAATGAGTAATGAAAGTGACCTGGAACAAGATTACATGCAAATGTGTTCTATACATGCAGCAGGTACGAATTCCATAATTTCAAACCTTTCTTGGCATCTTAGAGCAGAGAAATCCAGCTTGAACATGTCTCGAATCAAAATGCTGCTCATTCACAGGCCAGCGTCTATTTTCTTTACTAGTTTCTTGTTGCTCTACGTGAATTTTTATTTCTTCAGGCTGGGCATCTCCCGGCTTTCTCTTAGTATCTGCAGTTTCATCAGCAATGAAGTGATCCGGATTACCATCCAAACTATCAGGAATATTTTCCGTTTTAATTGCAGCGATCATTTCATGTCCAATATGTTCAGTTCGTTTTGGTTCTTCATCATTTTCACAATCAGTGCCATCCTTGATCTCTAAGCTATCGGCAACCAAACTGTCCGCCACAGCAAGTTTGAGCTGAAGGTTACTGAGGGTTTCGTCTGTTGATTTGTTAATATCTATTGAATCTGGTACCAGGGCTGTTTCTGCTGACCGTCCTATAGGCGACTGTTCAGGCTCAAGTAGCTTCCTTCTCTTAGTTGATGGTGGTCTTTCTTGATTGTCAGTTTGGCTTTCAGGAAGAGATTCATTAATAACATCCGGCTCACTTGTGCTTGTGCTGCATCTGCAATAACCATGATAATAATTACCAACTTAAAAGAGCGATAATAATAAAAGTTTGGAAAAGAGTTTTCCCCATTTCTTAAAAATAAACTAAAAACAATATGGCTGTTTTGTAAGAGCAAAATCTGGTAAAACGAAAAAGTTGACCTAAATGACACCTGTTACCAACCGAACACTCTGCCAAAACAGTGATTTATATCGCTGGTCAGTTTAATAAAAAAGGAAAGAAGCAGCGCCCTTTTTCTGAACTTTTTGAAGCTCTGATTGTATAATTTCTATCTTTTCTGATGCATGTTCTTTTCTGCCGTTCTGGGTGGTTTTTGAGAACGTGAAAAGTCCAATTAAATACGTGGAGCTAAATGGTAATGCTATCAACATAGTTACTATGCTTTCAATAAATAGCTGCAACTTCAAATTTGGCAGAGTCGGATTGACTGCAGTAGCTAAGCCTTTGTGTGTCATTGCTTGTGCTCTACTATCTTATTATTGTAGTTTTTTTCTTGTTTTCCCTATAACTTTTAAAGTTTCATAATGTAATAATTATTAATATTTACATTTACCAGTGGCGGATCCAGAAGAGGGGATCGGGGGCCCGCCCCCCCCCACCCCCCTTTATTTTTAGATGAAACTGAGGCCCAAAGGGCCGAAAAAAAATCTTTTTTGAGAGTCTCCTTTGATCTGACGGGTCACACAGGTGAGTCGGTTCAAAGCCCGGGAAAGCCAAAATAATAATTCTTTCCTCCTCGAAAAAGTTAAAGAATAAATAAATTTAAAAAGCGACGTGATCTCAAGATATCTCGATCTTATTCGGCTCTCACTTCGTCAAATAGCAGAATAAAACCGAAAACCTACAGACTTTGCATGCCCAATCTTGTCAAAAAAAGTCAACTTTGCTACATTCCTGAGCGTCGCGAATCTTTTACTTCGCGCTCCACGGAAGTAATAAAGCTGTTGTTAGTTGTTGACATAAAATTCCACGAAAAAAGTTTGAGAGAAACTGTCCATGTGTCCGAGTTATTAATTCATTAACCTCAGGCAATGAACCAGCAAGGAGAGAAGATTTGAAATGATTCTTTTCTAGTACATGCAATTTAGGGCGATGTAACGCTTACCGGTCGTTTCCACACAAGTTAATTCGGTCTGGGTATAAATAGTTTCGCGTAGTAGGAATATTCACGACATATGTTCACGAGGACAACTTTACTTTCAAACAATAGACCCCTTTTCTTTAAATGATCAAAATTTGTGTGCAGCTTATCAATCCTTATCTCTAAGACATGTATTGGAACGACCGGTTTCCAAAGTTACTTACATTCGTTTTGATACAAACTGAAGCAGTGAAATTGCACAAAAATTTTGATTACTTTGAGCATAGTTTGCATGCAACAAGAGAAACATTTTGGGTGAAAATCCTTTGTTTTTTAAGCAAAGTACTCAATAGAGAAAACCCGTATCGAAACAACTTGAATCAAAACGACCGGCAACCGTTAGTACAAAGTATACATACACTGTACCTTTTAGTCTTCAAGGAGTTGTGGACAGTTGTGCTGGCCAGGCCAGTTTCTTTCACAGAACTAACACTTTCACTCTTGTCCTGTCTGACATGCTTCACAGGTGTGATTGGTTTTTTGAACTTTCAAAACGAAAGAAAGAAAAGAAAGAAAGAGAAAATCCCAGTCACTGATATTCTACCAAAAAAATACCAGCAAACATAACAAAGCTTTTGAAGGTTTCAGATATCTGCACTGCGATCATGAAGTGTCTCAGGTAATAACCCAATCCATCACTTGACATGAGCATTTAACAAAAGGCCACATGATCAACCAAATGCACAAAGTTAAAGATGTTTACCAGGGAACATGTAACTCAAATGTCCCTGGGAATAAACAACTAGCCAAACAATGCCCTGTCTGCTCAACTGCCGGATATCAGCAAACCAATACCTGAGGTTTTCTGAATAGTTATGGAGATGAGTGTGACTGAGACATCAGACCTTTTACCTGATCATCATCAACCTTCACAGCTTCACCGGCTTCCATTACTGTCTACAATTAGCTACCTCCATGTAGACACCACTCAATACGTAATAATAAACCATAATTATGATAATGATAATGATAATGATACATAAAGATGATAATAGCAGTCAGGGCGGGACTTGAACTTGGGGCTGCCAAAAAATTGGTTATACCTCATATGTACCTTTCAAGGAGCTTTCCAGATTTTAGATATAGCCTACAGGTTATGCTATGCACACAGTGTGGCCAGTTTTTCACCCTATGGTATTTATAAGTTTTTACTACCCTTTAAAATAGTAAAACTACTATCCCATTTTTTACCCTTGACAGTATTTATAGCTTAGTGACTAGCAAGGACAAGCAAACAATAATTATAACAGGGTTTATAATCCTGACAGGCTGGAGGCAAACCAGTTGGCTATTTGCAAGGTTGATTGAGGATTTGAACTTGGGAATACCAAGAAGAAATCCAGCTAGCTGTCAGGATGGGAGTTAAACCTAAGGTTGCCGGATCACAAATCTATAGCCTAGGATCGGACCAGGGTCTACAGTGGGGAAAAAAGGCGAAAAAAACCCGGGGAGTCTGGGGGATGGTTTGCTTTGTTCACCAATTTTTTTTTTTTGCTGTATCACCTCCTTTTTTCCCTCATTGCGAAGCCTGGTCTCAGGCTAGCAAATCTAGCACTCTAACCACTTAGCATGTTGCTTCACTTCAAACTCACATGACAAACAAAAATGTTCAATGAAAAAGAAATTTCAAATTCAAAGGTGTCTACTATGGTAGGTCCCTAGTAAAAAGTGAAGACCAAAAATTAAACCAACTGAAATTACCTTTGGATAATTGGCTACCATCTGTTGTGACATTATATCTGCAGCTTGGAAAGACTGGCTGACAAGATTTTGCGTTAATGTTGGAACTAGTATGAAGGAACAAATATTTACAATTTGTGTGTCAGGACAGCTGCTTGTACACATAACCTTAACAGAGGAACTGTTGTCACAGTCAAATGATGAAACACTGTATACAAACCAGCAGTAATACTTGGATTACAATACTTGTCCAATGAAACAAATAGCAAAGCTAAGCCAATCTCAGACTCTGGGATAGGACGACATCCATGTCTATCAAAGAAATATTGAAGTCTTTTGTTACCCAAAACATTTGGTTTGATTATGTAGTCATGAAGCAGGTCATATGGCATTTTTCTTTTGTAGTACATTTCTAATAACTTTGTTTCTATTAACATCTGGGTCTCATTTCTAATAAGTTTCAACAACAGTTCTAAATAAAATAATGCTTTCTGATGAAGTATTTAGAAAAATCGCTTAACAAATACATTTTAGGCTCACAATTTGCTGATCCACTGTTCCTGCTTTCTCTTAAACTACTGATGATGATGATAACTACTGTCAAAACATTTCACTTTTGATACTTCAGATACTGAAAAAAGTCTTCAATGTACTGTTTGGTTAGGTAAAGAAAACGGGATATGTAATTCACAGCAAAGTAATGAACCTATGCACAAACCTTCTCAATGCTTCAACTACATGTAAGACCCACTTTTGAGACTCTGTTGGCAATGAGTTTTGTTCTTTACTATCCATCATCATAACACAAACATCTTTAGATACCAGACCATCATCACTCTCACTTCCGGGTACATCCCTCAATAAAACAATGCCACCACTTGAGCCAACTGCATTCTGCAACCGTTTGTACTAAAAATAATGTTGTAATAACTGAGATAACAATCCTGTATGTACCTACATGTGTGCAAACACTATGTAGAAAATACAAAGAAGTGGGAAGGAGAGAAAGTAGGTGCTTGCAGCACAAACATGGGAAGCTGTCCATTAAACATTAAGCACAAAAACTTTAAAACAACATTTTGGAATGGGCAGTTTTAGTTCTTTCCAGCCAGATAGTGACCAGAAAACAGCTTTACTAGCTTCAAACAACAAATGGGGTAAATGTGCTATTTTAGTTTTTTAAGCATCATTTTTTTAGCATCGCCATTTGAGGGGTTTTTTTAAGCCAACATTACCTTATGTAAGACACTAGTTATAAACAACAGTCTAGCTGCTAACCTGCTTTTTACTGATAAAGATGAAGGTTTTTCCATGGAACAAAGATTTTCTGGCTTCCCTGGGAAGAAAACTTGCACCTTGAGAACTAATAGTCTCTTCCTTTAGGGGTGGAAGGTAGCTGCTACAAATCATAAAAAAAAGTTTCAGTGAAATTATGGAGTTAAAATTATAATTCACGAAGAAAAAAAAAATTGTCTCTGTAGCCATACCTTTCCACAGGGAGAGGAGCTGGACCTGCGTTAGTAGAATTTATAATGTCATCAAAATAGGATGGTGTGACAATTGGACAACACTCAGCTAAAGCATGAATCACCTGCCGAACAGTTAGGCAAAAAAAGATAAATTAACAGACAATTCAAAAGTACCAAATCAGCTGTTACCATAGGACCTTAAAGTATCTGTTGGCTGTAACAACTGGTCAAAAACATGTCATATGTCTCAGGTTTTATGCCCCAACACAGCTTTACCGCTTATGAATTGTGTCAACTAAAATATATTTAAGGAATGTTTTCCCGTGAAAATACACAAGTGTAATCAACATTGCATTACTGGTAATCCTCTGTTAAGCCCGCCCCCAGGGGGGGGGGGGGCTTATTTATTTCAAGCCCATGTGAGGGGGGGCTTAATAGAGACAGGCGGTTTAAGACCTAGAATATAAAGTGGATAAGCTCAAGTACAAGAAGGTTGGAGTTCATGCAGCTAAGGATCAAAAACAATTCCAAACTTCCAGTTGGTAAATAAACTATCCTAGATCAGTTCACACGAAGTTCAACGGTCATGATTGATTAATATAGTCTATAATTTATTACTGAAGAATAATAAGGGGAGGGTAGGGGGGCTTAATAGAGAAGGGAGCTTCTTGACTTTCTTCTCCCTGAAAAGGGGGATTTATTAGGGGAAGGGCGCTTATTTGAGATGGGGGGCTTAATAGAGGATTTACCGTATTAATGTTTAGGATTGTTTCATTGCCAAACCCACTGTTAACACCCTTTTATATTTCTGCTGTACAAGCAATCAACACAGCAGTATAACAGCAATGACCTATGGAAACTGTGAACAGCAGCAATGTTTTTGGAAAGATTATTGTGTCAGGAAATTTAAAAGAAGTCCAATTATCAAGTGTGAGATATCTCAACTCCAAGGTTTCACAGTATCACGTCTGATATGTGGTGTTGGGTAGTTAGTCATAACATAAACAACAATCTTGGATTTTTCAAGGGATTCACCATTTTGTTAATAGTTTGACAGTAAGTACATAACTGCAGTGTGCTTACTTTTATAGTAAATGTCAGTCCATCCATTACCAGGTGAGTTACAACAGTGTTTGCCCTCCAGTCATTGATCATATGACCACCTAGCACACACATAGGCATAACAGTATTTAGGACAGTGTAGGTTATCGTATATTTTGTATTGTTAAAACCGCAAATAATGAGCTTCTCTTTTGATGAAAGTAGCCCCTCTTTCCCATCTCTTGCCCCTTTTTTCCTGTTAAGGTAAAGTTAGTGTGCTTATCTTAACGATGTAGTTGTTGCTGTTGGTTGCAATGTCCAACATTCATTTGTATGTCATAGGACAATATGATTCAACCAATGAGGATTCCCACCCCCTCCCCATCCCCAAAATAGATACAAAATCGAAAATAAGAATTCTCTGCACAAAAATATAATTAGACAGTTTCTGGTATGGTACCAGTAATAATAATAAAATTATTATATTATTACTAGCCATAGTTACATACATACATACTAACTTTATTCAAGATGTAAACAAGCTTATTTACAGGAAAAACATAATATCAAAAGACATCTTGAAAGGGAAGTTGAGATGTTAGCCCTATATTAGAACTCCCAAACAGAAATAGAAAACCCTTTGACAAGAAAAATAAGAAGTTGATGGATTTCGTTAAGCCTCACAACTCTCACAAAATAGAACTTGTGAACTGGGAAATTCCTGCATTTATTCAGTTATAACAGTGGTCAACACTCCTCAATACTATTACTACTGCTGCAAACGTTTTAGTTTTGAAGTAGACTGCTGATCCATGTAGCTCCTCTTTAAGGACTACTGACTCACTACCTACCACCCCTTCTCTGAGCTAACATAGTGGCCAGAAATAAAATAACAGCTCAATAGCTTACATACCAAGTTGAAGAACATGACTCTTGAGCGTATTTTTCTTTTTCTCATCAAGACAAGAGGTGACAACAACCAAGGGAATATATTGTAACCTGAAAATCATACATTGTCCATTAAGCCCTAAGAGTATTTCAGTATCAAATTTCTCCTTGTAATATCAATGCTTTGTAAAACAGAGTGGTCATGAGAATTATGGACATAGTCACACAAGATGAATTTTCTCAATATTTTATCAACTTCTCCCCACTTCTTCTTTAGGAAATGAATAGAGGGAACAAATGAGAATACCAATTTTGATCTTAGGGTTTAAAGGGTTAAAAGGTATTGTAGCATAAGTAATGAAAAAATTATTTGTGGATGATCTTGAGACAAACAAAATCATTACTTTACACCTTGCTTTACAAAAATGTTCCTTACCTGTGATTATTGTTTTGAGTTAAACTGGAATTTGACAGTGATCACTTTACACGAAATAGTTACCTGTAGAGACTGTTGTTTTTTCCAAATAATAATTCATCACCACTCTTCACATTAACTGTCCCGGTGATTCTAATGCCATTTATAAAAGTCCCATACTTAGAGAAGTCTTCAAGAAACACTTGTGACATTTGACAAGGATCACCCTACAAAAGACCCACAAGATTTTTTAAAACATCTGTACCTGACCTCCTCTCCTTAGTGACCTGACTTTCCAAAATACCGTCAATCAAGTCACTGCCAAGAAAATTACTTTGAAGAGTACTGACTATTAAAGACCTCTCATTTATTAATTAGACATTGGCATACCCAAGACAACAGAAAGATAATTTACCTGAGGAAAATTGAACTACAACACACCTACCAAAATCAGTAATAATGGTTTCCCCTTGGTAGGGCATTTTGGAAGGCTTACAGTGTACAAGGATATTTTCTGAATTAATTCTCCAAAAAGATTACAGAAACTTTGAAAATAGAGTATTTTTTTAGGGTTTTTCGGAATTCCAAGCAGATAATTAAATGCATCTTTTTACTTCTAATATTATTTTTTTCCTGAATATTTATTTTCTAATAAAACGTATTGCATAATATTTTTAAATTTGACTTAACTTATGACGATTTTCAAAGTCAACATGAAGATTGGATGACAAAATGGGAATGTTAATGCTTACTTAAATAATCCCCAAATTCTCATGTTTAAAATCTGAAATTCTGATACATGTTTCTTACTCTCAAATAATCATCAACAAATATTAATTATTACATTAATTTATGCTTACTGTACTTTTTCACTCTATCTAGGTTATGCAACTTTAACTTGATGTAGTTTTTTTCTATATCACACATACCAGATTGGCCTGGTCATGTTGAACAGTTATGACACTGTGTTTCCGACTAATAGAAGCATCATCATGTATCAATACTCGGCAGTCTACAAAAAAAGGATTTCAGTTTGTGTTTTAATCAAAGAATGTTAACAGTGCAAAGAAAAGTGACAAGGTCATACACGTCTTTTCTACTGCACAGTAACAACTCAGACTAGATAGGCTTCATTAAAGATTCTTTTCCTCAAACCTGCTAATCTCCCCAGGCCAGATCCAGGTAAAAAAGGACTGGCAAATGACAAACAGCTAAAATCAAATGAGATTATAGTAAAATTTTCCTTCTCATGTAACTAATTAAGTAACAATGGTACAATATTAATGGTGGCATGCAGTGGCATATATTTTCTTATTAAACACCAGAGACATCTTAGTCAGTCTCAGCAATAAACAAGGTCACTGTAATTCATCACTATTTTTCACTGAAACATACGTTTTTTTCAAGTACATTACAAATTACATCAGGAGAACATGAGCGATGGCATAGCACATTGTGCATACTTAAAAAGAACTTGGCAGTGACCATGACTAATGAGCGAGAATCCGCACAATGCATTACGCAAATTGGCTTAAGTCTAACAACCGACACCTTTGCACGGAAGCATCCATGACGTCTCCTTCTTGCTAATAGGGAACTTAAGCAACAATGGAGGTGAAGGCTAACAAAACGTCACTTAAAAAGTGAATTTGCACTGCTTCAAACTTTATCGCGCTTATTCCATCTCGTTTAATTCGTCAAATTTGGAGTTTAATTCTAAAGGACTGTATCAAAGTTCAGGAAAAGAAAAGGAAAGTTGTTGTCTTGTGTTCCACTCCTCGAAAAAACATGAAATTAGGCACTTTCATGTTGTAGTCGTGCAACAACGGCTAAGAAATGTACAAAAAAGCATGATGCATGTGCAAAGTTGTTACTTTGCCAATCTAAACCTATTGGTTTTTCGCTGTTTCTGTTGCCATCGCTGTCGTTGTTGCTTAAGCTCCCTAATATATTAGCTGAGTAAACGGAAAGTCACAAGACTACAATGTGTGTTTTTAACTGATGTATTCAACAATTATTAACATATATACGTTTTAAAGTCTATCACACTATCTCTTCACTGAAAGTGAAAAAATGCCACTTGTAACTGTTATTGGAAATTTGTGCTTAGAGTCACAAAACGGAATTTCTGAGGACCTTAAGTATTAAAGTTTTCCCGGGGAGAATACCTTATACCCTATGCCTTCCGCAGGCCATCTAGTCAATCTACAATCCTCGTCACAAATCACTGAAACAGAAGCCATTTGTCTTAAATTTTCTCCAAATTTCTTACATTCACTCTTCACACCTTTGTTCTCACTCAAATGTGCCCCCTCTCCTTCCCCAATGTTGAGCCACGTGTATTTTGGAGCACTGATCGAGATGACTGCAATACCTAAATCAACATTGGGGAGGGGAAAATCACACAAGTGTTTCAAGATTTCTGACGAGTATTGTAGACAAAAGTACCACATTAGCAACCCCTCTATGCAAAAATGCTAGCTACGCCCCTGAAGTGCATATAAGATTTGCTGCCTACAGGACAACCCTCCAACAGAAAACTGAAAAGGCCAACTGAAAACAGGCTGCTTACTTGATCACTGCGCGCTGCAGGACTACGGGAGAAGTTGATAAATATCGCTTTGATTGGCCGGGCCCAGAAACTTGACTATAATTTTAAGAGTTGAGTACCTTTTCTTCCGACCACATGCACGCCCGTGGTGAGCACAAGACCTGCGAGTGGAAAAAGAAATAATTTTGCAATGATTTCCATGGAAATTTTAATTTCAAGTTTGATAAATATTTCAAGTTCCATGTTACCTTTATTTTCTGACAGCGAGCTTTTCCTTCGTTCGACGTCTTTGATTAGAAGCCACATTCAAAGCGCGGAACCGACAACACAAGGTTTATTCACGTATAAAACAACTGGGCGTTTTTTAGCGTTGACCGCACAGGACTGGAGCTAGTGTGTTCCAGGCTCTAAGCGATCAAGCGCGGGGAGCTGTGAGATTGCTGTGAGACCTTGTAATGTGTGATGGATTGAATGGGTTGTGATGGGAGGGTACTTACACAACAAGAAAAAACTTCACCGGGTTTAATGTTGCATCTTGGTAATCATAATCACGGCCCCCTGTTTGTTAACCCCAACTTTCACTCGAAGTAGTAGAAATGAAAGATTTAAAGAGGAGAAATTAAGGAGGGGCAATCATTCGTTCATTCAATGGTTCTCATCCATTAAAATCATCGTCAAGACAGCCCAAAGCTTCAAGAGCAAGGGTATATTTTATTTCTCGAGCGATCGAGCAAAGCTAAGGAGGAAGGTTTGAAGCAACGCACGTAGAACCTGACGAATAAACAATATTTCGGATGATACTTTTGGAATTTATCATCTGTACATATGAAACGTGCACTCTCACAGGTCGTCAAGTGATCCACGCGGCTGTTCCACGCTCTTTCCACGCGTGGAAACTCGGGGTTGCAATGCATCGGGGAATCATTTTATATGAAAATCATATTGACTCTTAAGACATTTCCAATATTTTCCAATAGCATTTCATTTTCAAATTCTCGGAAACAGAAATTTTAATCCAGAATTTCCGCCTGAAAAATTTTCGTGCTGCCGTGCACGGCATCAACTGGTGACTTCTACACGTGTCTCTCACGAACCAATCGATTTGCACGCCCTGACTCCGTCACACAGCACCTCTTCCGTAATATACCACGTCTGATTACTTTATAAGCAGCCTCAAAGCTTTGCACGGTACGTTTTTCTTCAGCTTCGTTTGGAAAAGGTATAGTTTTGGTGGTCATATTTTGTTTTCAGCTTTCAAAGCATTTTTTTTATTGATTTTCTCGCCTTTAAAATGGCCTTGTTTTATCAACAATAGTCTCGAATTTTAGGTGACCCATTTTTGTGAGCGCTGACTTTTCTTGCAAATGTAATATTTCAGATAATCTCGTTCCAGTAGCCTCAGCGAAGGAAAATAGCTTTGAGAAATGGCTTCCAAACTACCGCCGAATTTCCCTGTTATCTACGGAAACTTTGAAGACTTAGCTGTTAAGGTGCAGGATTTTGTGGCAGACAAAATCCACCTCTGTCAGCCCGACAACCTTCACATCTGCGATGGATCCAAAGAAGAAAACGAGGGACTTATCAAAGAGCTAATGGATGCTGGAATTGCGACTCCCCTGCACAAGCACGATAACTGGTAGGCTTATTTGGCTGTTTAGACCAAGGGGGGGTTCTGGAACGTGAAGTTTTCGAAATTGCGTGACTCTTTGCACGGCCGGTTGAGAAGTGAACCTTCTCTTCAAGTCAAAAAACTTTCTCTTGTCTCTGGAAACCACAGGTCATGAACCGGATAATTGTTGAATAAAGTTGGAAAAGTTTTCCAGCACCAGTCAACGCGTCTTGGATACCCTTTTGCAGTCGGGGATAATTTGAAAATTATAATAAAAAATATATCTCGGCAGTTTTTGTTTGTCTATATTACCCCCATGCCTAAAGTCATTTAGTGCCCAAAATATGGACCTTTAAGCAAACTATCCTTGAATTTAGTCTTTCTGCTGGCTTTTATTTATTATCTCATGATATTGCATAAATTTGTATAGGATTGGTTCAGGATGGATTCTACTTCGCATTTGATGCTATAGAGTGTTTTCACTCACGTGGCCAGCATCTATGCAAATTTATTGGAACAAAAGAAAGCGTTTGCATAAGAAAAGAGTTCAACTCCCAGAGGATTGGTCTGGGACACCAACATGGCCGCCGTTTCATTGTTTTGGGACACCAATATGGCCGCCGTGACGTCATGTGAAAACACTCTATTTGCAGAAATGTAAACATTTTAGGCATCCTAGTGATGAATAGTTTCGACATACAGATATTTTACAGAAGCAACAATACGCTCTAAGAAAATTATTTTACTAAATTCATTTTAGCTTGAAGATATTAGCATTACTTTTAAATATCCTTCAGTAAGGTTTTTTATTTTTCTTTAGTTTTTATGCATGATATTGAATAATACATTTATGGCGCTAAAAAATTGAACCAATTTGTTAGGGATAATATTGAAGCACAAAGTAAGTTTCCTGGCCATTTTTACAAAGTGTGTACTTAATTATCTCAAGTAATTATGCATCAGTCAATTCCAGCTGCACCCGTCCCCCGGCTACTGTGGGGCATTTGCCCGCCTTTTCAGTCCCAGGGGTGGGGCATTTGCAAATTTTGTGCTGCCCGGGGGCCGGGCATTTGCCAACCCCAGGGCTATTCCCGAGCTTTTGACATGCACACGGTTTCCTATCAGAATATAACCACACAGAGGATATTACTGGGAAAAAAGCAGATTAGCTCATCTGTCAAAGACAGGAGGTTGTAAAGGCATGTTCTCAATTTTATGTGCGTATTTCTTCATTACTTATCAAGCCAGAATTACATAGCGAAACTCAGGAGCTACCGCCGTGAATCAATGTTTTTTGGTTAGCGAATAAAATTTCTGTTGATATTATTAATTTTGAAGAACATCCTTTCATATTTATAACCTATATAACTTTACTGCACTCTGTTGATTTTAATGTCACTAATTTTATATCAATACCAGCGCCGTAGCTAGTATGAGGCCAACCGAGGCACTTGCCTCGGTAAAATTTTGACAAATTTCACCGATCATTTTTATTTTACATAAGCGATCATCGGATATTTTTAACGCATCATGATGTTACAAAGAATTCAGCAATTCAGTCAATATACTGTGAAAAAATTACCATATCATCGATCTCAAGGGGCTACGTACGTTAACTCAAATTTTTTTTGAACAAATACTGATCAAAACCATTGGCGAGGTTAACGGTCACCCAGATTATGTAGCTTGTTTCTGATTATTGCTTTTTAAATTCCACTTAAATTAACTCGAAAAAAAGTTACCGAAAGGCCCAGAAAACGCTGCAAATCGCATTTCCGAGAGACTAAAGTTCAAAATTTCTCTGGGGGGGGGGGCATGCCCCCGAACCCCCCTAGCAACTGCCGCCTGCCTCGGTTGGCCATTTGGTCTGGCTGCAGCACTGAATACTAAAACCATAAACTGGTGCATGTCGTCGCAGTGTGAAGTCTTAACTAGAATCCTAGCGCTATTACAAAGGAAGATGTTACTTGAAAGAAAAAGTCGCAAATTAAAATGTTTAAAACGGCACTATTCGAGTGTGCAGTCAATGAAAAATGTTGCAGTGTTGACGGAGGACGGGGCATTTGCCCTCTTTTTTCGTCCCCACCCCAGTGGATTTGACAGCTCAAGAGTCCCCACCCCGGGAATTTGCCATCCAAGGCAAAAAAATGCTAATGCCTGGGGTCAGCCCTGGGGGGTGGCTGGGTGCAGTTGGAATTGACTGATGCATTATCAATATGGTACTTTTGTTTATGTTTTACTTTAAATGAACATTTCCTTGCTTGTACTTAATTATATCATTGTCAGCACTGTTTTTTAATGTTTTTCCGTTTTTTCAGTTACACTGTTCGTACTGATCCCCGTGATGTGGCACGTGTGGAATCTAAAACATTTATTTGCACAGAAGACAAGCATGAATCAGTTCCACGAGCCAAAGAAGGTGTTGAAGGTCGGTTGGGAAAGTGGATGAGTGTCAGTGATATGAATAAACAACTTGGTGAAAAATATCCAGGCTGCATGAAAGGCAAGTTTTAATTACATCAGTTAGCCAGTAATGCTATCCACATTCTGATCATAATTTCATTTTCTTCAGTTTATCTGATTGCAAATGTGGTTATGTTTTTCAGGCCGCACCATGTATATGTTGTGTTTCAGTATGGGTCCTGTTGGATCACCTGTCTCTAAGATTGGTATTCAAGTTACTGATTCCCCTTATGTTGTTGTTTGTATGCGTATCATGACGCGTATGGGAAGCAACGTGCTGAAAGTTCTTGGTGATGGTGACTTTGTGAAGTGTCTTCACTCAGTTGGTGTTCCTAAACCTGCTCCCCCCTCTGACTATCCATGGCCTTGCAATCCAGACAAGACTGTCATCACTCACTTTCCACATGACCGTGAGATCAAGTCATTCGGGAGTGGATATGGAGGAAACTCTCTTCTGGGAAAGAAGTGTTTTGCTCTCAGGATAGCAAGCACCCTTGCTCGTGATGAAGGATGGCTTGCAGAACATATGCTGGTATGTTAATTTCTTGTGGGGGTCCAGACAATCTGCGAACCAGCAAGCCATAGGAAAGAATAGAGTTTTATGAAATTGTAAATACGTGAAAAATATTTCCTGAAAGTTCCCTATGGGTATGTGAGGTTTTGCTGTGGGAATATTTGCAGAATTACGCAGTATTGGTTGATTTTGATTGATTAGGGTTAAGCACTCATTTCACTGACTGGGGTTAAGCACTGACTTGCTTTACGGATTAGGATTAAAAGCTGTTTAGTGGTAAACACTTTTGGATTAGGGTTAAGCGCTTTTTAGGGTTAAAAAAGCTCATTTCCAACGGTTAGCTTTTGGTTATTTTTTTCACTTTACTGCTTTTTGATTTTTTTTGTATTCTTCTTTTGCATGTCTCGCATGGCTTGCTGGCTCACACTGTATCCTAACTCTTTTTGTGTAGGGGTAATGCTTAAATGCAGAGATACATAACTATTAAGTAGTGAAAATGAAAGACACGATTCATCAACCTGTAAATTTATGAATCACCCCTAGCAGGCCACTACTTTCTATATAGTTAATAATATGTGTTGTTGTCAAACTATTCTTGGCTCCTAAATGAGTGTTTCTTTGATAAATTTTTCTGCTCCTTTTAAGATCATGGGCCTTACAAGTCCAACAGGGGAGAAGAAATATATCACAGGTGCCTTCCCCAGTGCTTGTGGAAAGACAAATCTAGCCATGATAACACCCACCATCCCTGGCTGGAAAGTTGAGTGTGTTGGAGATGACATTGCTTGGATGTGGTTTGATGAAGAAGGTCAACTTCGAGCTATCAATCCCGAAAGTGGATTCTTTGGAGTTGCACCAGGTTCCTCATACCTAACAAATCCAATTGCCATGAAGACTTTCCAGAAGGACACTGTATTTACTAATACAGCTGAAACCAGTGACGGTGACTTCTGGTGGGAAGGTAATAATATAGAAAGTAAACTCTGTTGTATGATGAAGGGGAGGGGGGGAGTGCTATTGTCAAGTGGAATTCCAGAAATATCCACAACCTTCTCTTGCCTTCCCATTTTGATACGTCGATGTTTACTTTCAAGGGTAAAATATCCCTGAATAGGGTGATTTTAGACAGGAGAACCCTAAGGGATGGGTTGGGTTGACTCAATAAGTCATTCTTTTGGAATGAAACACCAGGTTGCAATAACATTGCTGTCCAATAGCCTGGGCTATTGGAATGACGCATCTGCTAACATGTTGTAATTATTAGATGTCAGATGGGGAAGAAAATTTGCAGAGGTAAAGTAAATGTTATTGAAAAGGGGGCTTTGTAAGCTTGAGTACTCTTCACTAGTAAACTTAAGCAATAGCTTGCCTGAAGGGCAAGTGAATTTTTTAATTTTCATCTCACCCTGAGCACACCACACTTGGTACATTCATTAGGTAAAAAAAAGGTTTCCTTACAGTGTAGTTGGTTACGTCCCATCTGTGTACAGATCTTATTATTTTTCTGTTTTTTCTCAGGACTGGACCTGCCAACAGATGTGAGTATAACTAGCTGGTTAGGAGAGAAGAATTGGAAACCACACACTGGCCCTGAAACTGGCCCCAAAACTAAAGCAGCACACCCCAACTCTAGGTTTTGTGCCCCAAGTGATCACTGTCCAATTATGGACAAGGACTGGGAAAATCCTAAAGGAGTTCCCATAAGTGCCATTCTTTTTGGTGGCCGACGCCCTCAAGGTGTGCCCTTGGTCTTCCAGTCATTCAACTGGCAGCATGGTGTATTTATTGCATCATCAATGTCATCTGAAGCTACATCTGCTGCCGAACACAAAGGCAAAGTAGTGATGAGAGATCCTTTTGCAATGAGGCCATTCTTTGGCTACAACTTTGGCAAATACCTGGAGCACTGGTTAGGCATGGAGAAAAAAGGACGCAAAATGCCAAAAATTTTTCATGTGAATTGGTTTCGCACAGGAGAAGATGGCCATTTCCTGTGGCCAGGTGAGCTATTGCTAAAAGTTATACAGAAATAATGTAGTAGACCTTATTCTAAATGTTGATAACTTTAGTATCCTTTCATGTTATGCTAAGTAGCCAACATTATTCCCAGGTTCTCTCACCTACCCGTCCCTAAGTAGCCTCTTTGCCACAGTCACATTTGCAAAATTCAATAGTGGACTTCTCTGATAGGAACATTAATAATCTACCTCATGATGTTTGATACGTGTAATAGTTTCAAGGACAACTTGGCCTGCCAACCACTAGTCATGTTGATTCAGGTACATTACCAAGATAATTTGGTACTACAGGTTCTCTAATTATTAATAATTTATCAGCAATATCATTATTCGGTATAAGGAACAGAAACATTACGTAAAGATGGGATATCCCGAACGTACAATTTACCGTGCTGGTAACGTTTTTTCCTCCGCAGTTTTTTGAAGCCTGTAGTCATTGTTCTGTCCAATTCCATCTTGGGACATCATGTGCTAACACAAGAGACTCATCTCCAGGCCTTCAGTGTTGAAATTCAGCAGCTGAAAAACGTGTTTCCCTTTAGTTCACTGACAATTTTGTTAATGGGTTGGAGAAAGCGGTAAATCCCTGAGACATTCCTGTGGTTGCTGTCTGCAATTTTACAAAATTTCTAATACCCCCACGTCTTTCTTTTAATCTTGAAACGATGTCTTCAAATTCCCCTTTCGCCAATGGAAGAGAAACCAGTCCTTCCCCTTGTATTGCCTGACACTGATATTCCCCTACCCTGGGGCAAGCCGAGATACTCATCAGACGTGCCCACCAATCAGCAGAATATTTTGTTTGTTGATAGGATTTGGTGAGAATTGCCGTGTCCTTGAGTGGGTCTTGAAGCGTTGTAACGATGAAGACGTGGCTGACCCGACTCCTATTGGCTACGTCCCTAAACCAGGCACAATCAACACTGACGGCCTTGATAAGCCTGTAGACATGGAGAAACTTTTTGCCATCCCAAAAGATTATTGGCTGGAAGAATGTGAATCCCTGCGAAAGTACTATGAGGAACAAGTTGGTGAAGACCTGCCGAAAGAGATCACAGATGAACTGAACGCCCTTGTAGCACGTCTTAACGCTGCTTAGGTTCATGTCTACTAGCCTTCAGCTTGTTCAGTAGTTTGTCATGAAGATGAAAGTAGTTAAAAAGATATATGCGGACAATCAAAGAGAAAGGTCATTGGCAAACATGTCCCATTTTAAAGAATGTTTGTAAATGTGTTTTGATCGGTTTAGGTAACAATTTCTTTTTTGTCACCAGTTACAAAGAATTACCAATTACAAGAACAGCCACAACAACAACTGAAGTAAACTCTGTTGCATTTTTCCTTGAGTTCTTGTTTAGTGGTTCTCAGATAAAAAATTGAGAGTTCTGTTCTTTGTAGATGTGTTCTTATATTATCTGCTTGGTTTTGTTTTATTAAAAAATAAAGTTAACTTGTAACCTTTGTTTCTTGAGTATGATGGTTCACAAACCCCGTAACTGACTCGGCTGTAAAGTAAGAAGTCTGTCCAAGGTGCTATCGCCGCGCATTAGAGGCCGCTGAAAGTAAATTTAACACAACTTCGAATTTCCGGAGCATTAATTGAGCGCGAATCCTTAATCCACAAATTCAAAATTTTGAACCGTCATAGATGCATGCAGTCTTCATGATGGACTCTTTCGGGAGGTTGAAGACGTGTCAGCCGATATCAGCTCGTCTTCACTTTCAGCGCTTTTAACAGAAGCTAATTTTTCGCAGTTGCATTGACTACTTTTCGCACGCCAGTGCATATTGCAAAAAAGTGGCCTTTGCTCGCACGGGCCCTTACCAATAGGGTAACTTCGAGAGTGTTATTCTAAAAACCGCTATCCAGAAAGAGTGAAATAAACAAACGCGAGAATACATGCAGTCGATAATGCAGTCCATTTTTGGAAGGGCCACCTTTAGGTGGGCTCGGCCCAAGGGCCTCTCAACCCTAAATCCTTCTTTCTTAACACCGTGCTCTTGAGCACAACCTGTATGCTCGCACATGCTCGCAGGGCCCGTAGTTTCCTATTTTGTAGGGGTCTGCACAGATGAGATGAAAATTAACGAGAGAAGGGCCGGTTATACGTGCGAATACATGTCGGGTCCCCACAGTATTTTTAATCCGTATAGAACCGAATTTTCCTTAGTTTGCCCTAACCCTGAAAGCATCAGGTAGGTCTTTTGTTTTTTATTATGGCTGTTGCTTAGAAAAAGCCGGGGAGTTTTATTTTGTACCAGTAGTGTGTAATAGGGAAAAAGTATGGGGAGTTTTAGAATCTTGAAATTGTCCACAGTTTTTCTCTTCAAATTAGTTTCGTAGATTAGTTATTGCCAAAATGAGACGATAAAAAATGACTTTTCTCTGTTGTTCGTAAGAGTGGCAGTAGTCATGGCACTATTGAAAGGGCATGTTTGTGGTGCTTGTTCCTCCATGGCTTCTTGTTTAAGCTGAGATGGCTTCTTATTTAAGCTGAGATACGACACAATTCCCGTTTTAGTCAGTGGAGCCGGGTTAGAATTTTGCGCGTAACTTATGACCGCCAAACAAACTTAATGACAGGATGAAAAAGAGAAACGAAAGAAAGGGTGGGAATGACTTCAGTTTTAGCTATCAATCGGAGTTTGTTTTTTTGTCACAAACCTTTGAATCATGAAGACTCGGGCACGTGAGACGGACGAGCGATCGAGCAAGCGCATGCACACAAGCCCCGCGCATGTTTTACCGTCTTGTTATTTGTTTTCTCTCTAGTTGTACTTTATTTATGGTTAGTTTCAAACTCATGTTATTTTTATTCTTTTTTCATTTTTACTATCCTTATATTCCTTCAGTCATGAATTTGGTACAGTTTCTGTCAAAGTTTTTTTTTTCAGTGTTTAGCTTCTCTATTTCACGTGATACTTGTATATCCATCTGTTTGGGCCACTATCAAACATTTTCGACAAAATCGAACAAAATCACGGAGCGCGCCTTATGTCGCCTTTGACCGTTACTGTGAAGCCGCTGTCACTTCAGACTTCAGAACGACATTTTTCTTTCCTCTTTTTCTTGGTTGTCAAAGAATGCGTGTGACTTGATTCGAGTAAAGGAATCGCAGAAAAAGAATGGAACAATACAAAAAAGTTTGTTTACAAAGCCTGATAAAGAAGCAAGGCTGATTGTACAGCTATGAGAATGTCTATTGTTGGGGCGATTGTGACATCGCTGAATTTACTAATACTATTTAAAGTTCTCCTCAGGGAGATCGCGCAAAAGGTGAAAAAATGAACTAAAAAAGAAACAAAACAGTATAAAACAAAAGCAACCAGCCCTAATCACCAAGAAACTCGTAAATTTTGGATGGAAGATTAATGATATGCTCACTTTTCGGGAATCAGTCTCTGACAGAAAATTGAAGACTACTTACTTTATGAGGTGGTCCTTTCATTGTCGTTTAATAGTACCCACTAAACAGAATGTTGCTTTTTTCCATTTACCAATTCCTCGGTTCCTTACTCATGTTTCACAAACTCACGCGCCTTTTTTGGATTCAAACCGTGGACGGAAGTCCGGTAAACTACATCATCGTAAATCACTTACCGTTGTGTTCTAGGATCCTTTTTGCAAGTTTAAACAAAGCTGGAATTGGCACTGCAATCGGGCTTTTACGTCTTGACTGCCTACAAATTGCATGCTTTGTAGTAAAAAATAATTATACTTTTTTCAAATAAGCATGATACACGATACATATTTGAAAAGGTGGACCGCTAGGACTCAACTTTAAAAATATTGAAAAATTTAAAAAAAACGCGCGTAAAAATCATTAGTGCAGGTACACTGAAATGGTATGCCAGGGGCACCCAACGAGAATATAGTTCAAAACCACTTAAAAATGGCATTGTTAAATGTATTTTAGTATTTAAACGGTAGATATGGGCATATTTTTATCCCGTTAAAATTTTTCATCTGTTCGGATTTCCTAGCTGAAAGTCTAGTGATCAGAAAATTATAGGGATCAAAACTTACCTTTTCGAAAATTTCAGCCAGAAAAAAGGTTCCCAAAAAGTCTAGGTGACCTTTTTAGGGTAAAAATCCGTTAAAAATCAGGGGCACCCAACGAGAATATAGTTCAAAACCACTTAAACATAGCATTGTTAAACGTGTTTTAGTATTTAAACAGTGGATATGGGAATATTTTTATCCCCTACAAATTTTTCATCTGTTCGGATTTCCTAGCTGAAAGTCTAGTGATCCGAAAATTATAGGGAGCAAAACTTACCTGTTCGAAAATTTCAGCCAGAAAAAGGCTCCCGAAAATTTTAGGTGACCTTTTTAGGGTAAAAATCCGTTGAAATGGGCAATTTTACCATTTTTTAGATGTTCGAAAATCCTAGGAGAGGCAGGCAAGCAAGAAATTTTACAACAAATGTTCCGAAAATTCTAGATCTCAAATCGTCTTCCGAACAGATATTTTTCCGAAAATTGTCCTTGAGTGCCCCTGAAAAATGGGCAGTTATACCAATTTTTAGATGTCGAAAATCCCAGGAGAGGCAGGCAAGCAAGAAATTTTACAAAAAATGTTACGAAAATTCTACATCTCAAATCGTCTTCCCAACAGATATTATTTGAAAATTGAGGTTGGGTGCCCGTGGTATACTGTGTCAATAAATCTTCATCCATCTTTTTGAGCCTTTTTTTAAATTTGTTAGAGTTTATTTCGTCGGTGAAAAGATGGTTTGGCAAACTGTTCCAGTCTTTGACGATTCTCAAAAAGAAGGAGTACTTAAAGGAGTTCACTTTGGCTAATTTAGTTTGTATTTTGTATGGATGGTTTGCTCCAGTGTTTTTACTTCTACAAAACTCGAAATAGTCATTGAAGTCAAGGCCATTTAGAATAAACACTGTCTTGTAGCATTCCACCACAGATAAGTATTCTCTCCGATGCTGAAGTGTGTTCCAGTTTAGCAATATACATCGTTCTTCATATGACATCTCGCGTGGTTTTTGACCGCGAGCGATTCTCGATGCTCTTCGTTTTACTTTTTCGATTGCCATCTTGTCTTTAACTAAATAGGGCGACCATACCGGGCATGCGTATTGTAGGAGTGGTCTAACCAAGGACTTGCGGAACATAGAGAAAATTTCCCCGTTCTTGCTACCAACTGTACGCTTTAGTAGGCCCACCACTTTCTTTGCTTTATTTACAATTACATCCACGTGACTCGACCAGGATACGTCTCTTGACACATGAACACTCCCCGGGGGGGTACTCCCTTATATAAGCCAATATGGGTATGTGCCGCCCCATCGGGTAGGGTTTATGCGCCGTTTTGGTCTACAATACAATACAATACAATACAATACAATAAGAGTTTATTGTGAAAATACACTTAGCTACAATAATGGTGTGCTTTCACAGACGGAAACGAAATCGGGGTCTGTGAAAGCACGCCAGCTAATTTACAGGTATTCCACAAACACAATAAAATTAAGAGTTAAAAAACTAGATATGGAATATTCTATAATTAAAATTATAACAATAAAATCTTAATAAGTATATCTTATATCTAAATAAATACTAAATTCAATAAAAAAGCGTCGAAATTATAAAAATTGCACTAGGTCGACTTGGCGAATGGATCTCTTAAAAGACTTAAAATTCGTTATATTTCTAAACATGTTCGGAATTGAATTCCAGAGTTTCGGACCAATATAACGGACTGAGTTCAAGCCATATGTAGTAGACTTTGGCTTGGGTAGCGAGAGGATATAGTCACCTCTTAAATTGTAGCTAACGTTCTTCCTATGAACTATCAGGTCTTGTATACTTTTGGGCGCTAAAGAATTGTGGACGGCATTAAAAATAGACAGTGTGATTTTAATTAATCTGATGAGAGGCCTAATGCGTTGAGAAGTTCCGAGTAGCTTGTGTACTTATCCCTGAAAACAAACCTGATCGCCCGCTCATTTAACCTTTCCAATTTGTCTGCAGCACTTTTATTACAAAAATTCTAGGTTTCACTGCAATAATTGAAGTGAGGAAGGATAAATGCTAAATATAGGTCGCGCTTTGTTTCGAAGGGAAGCATTTTCTTCATTCTTTTAAGAACAGCTATTTGCTGTGAAACTTTCCTACATATTTTAGCAACATGATTGTCAAACTTCAGTTTGTTATCTATCGTTATGCCAAGCATCTCAAATTCTGTAGTCACTGGGATACTGGAATTTTCACACTTGAAATCAAGTGTGGCGTCAGATTTTCCCATCACAATAGCTTGATACTTAGAATTGTTCCTTTTCAGACCGTTCTCATCATACCATTTATCCACAATCTCGAGATCAGAGTTTATAGCACTCTCAACTTCTCTATAGTCATTATGAGCAAAGACGATTTGCGTGTCGTCTGCGTAGCTAGAGAGTTTACATCTTTTCACGATGAACAGGAGATCGTTGATGAAAATATTAAATATCAAAGGCCCGAAGATTGATCCTTGGGCAATCCCTCCGGAAATATAATTCCAGCTCGAATATTCTTCAGCTCCTTGCACTCGTTGTTGGCGATCAGAGAAATAAGCCTCAATGATATTAGCAGTTCTCTGGTCAGCACCATATTCTTTGAACTTCTTCACAATGAGATCGTGTGGTAGAGAGTCGAAGGCCTTCGACAAGTCCATAGACACAAGGCCAATTATTTTCCGATCGTCCAGCTCCTTTCGCCATTCCTCCGTAAGACTGAGCAGGGTCTGAAAACGGTTATACACTTTTCCGATTTTGGTCTGAAATAGGGTGTGGTTTTCGAGGGAACTACGGGAGTGTATGAGCGTATTTTTCGTTTCAATTCCAAATGAGTAAGAAAGAAAGAGAAATATGCGAATTCGAAATGGATTTGAAGAATTTGTTTGTTTGCGCTCCAATCTAAGTTATGATAACATAATTTCCGCCTAAAGGCCAGGTCTGAAAACGGGTATGGATTTTAGAGGTCTGGTTTGAAAACGGGTGTGGAAAACAACACTTTTTGGTCTGAAATCGGGTCAGGATTTGGAGAACAGGGCGGCACACCCCCACCAAGAATTCCCAGGAGTACCTCCCCCTCCCCCGCCCCGGGATGAACACCCAGGTCCTTGCATGAATTAACTGATTTTAATTCTGTACTCTTAGCTAGCTAGCTAGCTAGGTAATAAGGATGTTTATTCTTGTCTTGCTTTTACGTAATTCTCATCACTTCGCATTTCTGAGGATTAAAGTTAACTTGTCAGCTTCTTGTCCAGTTTCCCGAGCAATCCAGATCCGACTATAGTGCTAATGTATCCTCAGCATTATTCATTTCACCATCAATCTTTGTATCGTGTAGCGAACATTTTAATAGCACAAGTAACAACATTTTGTATCTCGTCTACGTAGACTAAGAACAAAATTAACCGCCTTTCGACTTTTATTAGAATTTTATGTGTAAAGTCAACTCTCTCTTCAGTATCGGATCAGACCTCTATATGACGTCGAACGCCTGGCGGTTGGTCCCTGCCGTTTTCCAGTCATTTTACTGTAACTCGTCTCTCTGTAAGCCGGACACCTCACTATCAGGGACGGTCCCGAAGGTGTCCGTCTCAGAAAGAGTTGCTTTTATATATCTTATTCTTATGTTTGTTTGTGTGTGTGTGTTTCTGTCACGTGTTATTGTTATGGGCTAAAAATTATTAACATTTAAATAAAGTTGACCACTACAACTGGTACCCAAACTGTTATCGTATGGCTCAGCTGACATGCAACTCACCTTTATATGAACTCTCTCTCTCTCTAGCCAGTCTCGACCCACCTTGCCCGTGAATGACATCAAGAAAAAATCGCAGCAGGATAAAAAGGAAGTCTACTCGGTGTGAGTTTGACAAAAATCGAAATTGGATCCTGGGCTTACCTAACCCCTCACTAAATGAGAGCCAGCAGATTGAAAAAGCCAAGTGCTTTAAAACCAGGGGACCCAGTGGAGTTTTATTTTAGCCTCTATCGTGACAATGTTCTTCGTAGCTCGCTCCCCCTGGCCTTACGTCCAGCTCCCTCAGCACTCCCACATGGTCTAATAATGAAAACATCTTATTATTTCGTATCCTTACTCAAGCTTAAGATATTAACAACACATTTAGAAACCCAGGAGGCCATTTGGTAATTGGCTTTTTTTTAGAAATAATGATACAATGATAATTAAGGTAATGGCTCTATTATTCATGAAAAATAGCTACAGGGGAAGATTGACTATGTTGTTTGTTGACATTTTTTGCTCGCTACAAGCAGGTGCGTATTTGAGGACGTTTCCGTGATTCTAATTCTAATGAAGTCCAACTAAAATTTTGATGGAATGGTGAATAAAGTAAAAGGAGCTCGCGTGACGTACTGGGCTTACGCACAGGGAACTTGCGCAATGATGAAAACCAATCAAAAAGCTTCTTCTATTGACGCCGGTTCCCGCCGACCTTTGGACTAACTCGCCTGGGAGGCATTTTAACTGGCTTTTCGCGGCGACGTTTCCTAGGAAAATTACCGCGTACACGTTTACAATAAGCATCCACCGTATCTTGTATATATTTATTTCTGAAGTACTAACTACGATGTCATTTACGTCAGTTATCTCGCGGTAAGATGAAGACCATTCTCTCATGTTCTAATGTAAAAATTATCGTAGTCGAATGCTTGTTTGTGAGGTCATGTAATGTCATAACGTCTTTCTACGTTCTTATCATAAAGATAATGAATTTTCTTGTTTTTCCATTTTATTCACAAGATTTTCATCGTTAGCCGTTGCGCCTTCCTCTTGTTTTACGCTACGTCATTGCCTAGTTCTGCGGAGAATGGCTTCACAACTTCCAGCCGGTTGTACAGTTGTGCGAGGACAGTTCGAATCTTTACCCGCCAAAGTGCAAGAATACATTGCTGACAAAGCCGAACTGTGCAAGCCGGACAATATTTATATTTGTGATGGATCGAAAGAAGAGAACGAAACACTTGTCAACGAGCTGATCGAGTCTGGTGTAGTTCTGAAACTTCACAAATATGACAACTGGTAAGCTTTTAATAGATTGCGTTATTTTCATGGCAATGTTCCGCATGTAGTTAGTCTATCACGATTTGTTATTTTATCAAAAAAAGAAAAAGTTGCACTGTCAGTAATCTTGTGTTGATTTTACTTACACTGATTCACACCTTAAGTACTCAAGATGTCCCATAGAAATACTAAAACAAAGTTTCCTTCTGTTTTATCTTTTGACTAAAGCCAAAGTATTTTCACTTCTAATCCTACTCAGTTTTTTGATCGAAAACTCGTCTCTTCCCGTAGCATTTTGGCTCGAACTGATCCTCGCGACGTGGCGCGTGTCGAGTCTAAAACATACATCTGCACTGAAGACAAGCGAGAATCAGTACCACAGGTCAAAGAGGGAGTTAAAGGACAGTTGGGCAATTGGATGAGTATAGCGGCTATGAAGAAAGAGTTGGATAAAAGATTTCCTGCGTGTATGAAAGGTATGTGCCATGATTGTGATTCTCCAGTGATTCGTATGTGAAGTCATATTGTAAAATCATCGCATTTAAGCCTTCATATCACAATTTTGCTCTGTGTTACGTGGTTCCATTTGTATAAGCTGTTTTCGAACGACTTTTTCGTTTGCGAATTCAGAAAAATCCAAACTTCATAGTCGTGCTGTCATGATAATGGTTTGCTTGTCTTCTGTTTTGTGATTGGTTTAAGTTAGAAGGTGTGTCAAGGGGCACGCCACGTAAATAGAATATTGTTAAGTGCTTGTAATGATCAAAGGTCGTTTTGAGTCTTCTTGCGTTTAAAACATGTTGAAAATAGTGTTCCTTGTCTCATAAAGGTTCTCCTAATGTCTTACTTGTAGAAACAGATTTTTAGTAATGAAAAAAAATTGTGAGATCTTGGTGGATTTGTTTTTAATTTGGTTTCTGCTGAGTAGAGTTGAACATTTTTGTCAAATGCTGTGTCATGTTAATTTCTGATGCACTTCCTGAAATTAATATCATATCACGTTGAATCATTAGTTATATTTGACATGTTGTATTTCAAAGAGCTGATTGAAAACACTTAAAATGTTTGTTTGTTTTTTTGTGTGTCATATTCCTTTGTCATATTCCTTTTACTTTCTCAGTGGTTGCTCCCTTGTTATTGTACAGGGAAACCCTGTCTTACCCCACACTTCTTCCTGGTTTCTCTTATAGATCCACAAGCAGCACATACACTGTAGCTAGGATAATAAACATAAATTTCTTGTAAAGTGTGCATGCTGTGTGTTCATTACTTGTAGTTGCTTTATTTTGACTTTAAAAATACTAAGGGCTTGAAGTGCCTGGATGCCTGTCTCTTGTTAAGCCGTATAAGCTATACATATTATGTTTGCCTTCCTTCTTCAATCTGTAAGGGAGAAGGGATGGTGCATTAGCAAGAGCACTCCCCTCCAAATAACGTACCATGGGTTTGAATCCCAACATTGACATCATAATTATGCGAGATTAGTTTTGAGAGGTTTCTCTCAAGGGAGCATAGTTTTCCACTATAAAGTGTCCAAAATTCCAATGGAAGTGTCTCCAATCAGTTGGAGACAATTAGACTTGTCACAAGTCAACTGCGTGAGTGCCTAAGGCACAAGGGACGCTAGCAAAGTGAGCGAAAGCAAGCAACATAAGTTGCAAGTTGACTTATTCCATCTGCAGAAGATTGAATTTAATTTTAATAATGTTGGTGTGAAAGAATGGTTCGTTGTGTAAGTTTGACAGCCTGCTGAAATAAACAGTTCTCATGACTGGATGTTGACTGACTGGAGATTACCTGACCTAAAACAAAACTGTTTCTGCTTTCCACTTTCTTAAGTCAGTCCTGGGGTCAATCTTTAACCAAAATCAGGGCTTCTGATATTTCACGCGGTCGCGGAGCCGCGAAATTCAGGTAAATCCGCGAAATCCCGCGAAATTCACAAAAACACGCAAAATACTGTGAAATTCGGTACAAATCTTATCAAATACATGTCTGTACAGCAATTTTGAAACTTGTCTCCACTACTGGGGGTATTTACTTGCCGTAAACTCGCAAATTCATGTCAAAACTTCGTCACTGAAACGTGCAAAGAACGTTCCAAAACTACCAGGTGTAGATTATGTTGCAAAAAACTGGGCACTAGCCATGATGTTAAAGGCTTTGCCATTGGTTCATATCTGGAGCGTATTGTTGTTGAAAGAACAAATGATGACCTCTGTTAGAAAAACATTAAAAACGCTGGTCTGATCAGCGCAAAACCGATCGATTTCTAGCGAAATTTGCCCAGAAAATAACCACAAAATCCGCTGTTTTTTTACCGATTGCTTTCCAGCCAAGTTTGCCCCTAAAATTCCCGCGAAATCGGCCGATTTTCCACGAGTTTGTCCCTAAAAATCCTGCGAAATTGACTTTTTTTTCCGCGACCTATCAGAAGCCCTGCAAAATTGAATGAAGCAACTTGCATCTTGTGTGTAAAGTCTTTGAAATTTGAATTTTCACTGAAGTCTTCTTATGGACCAGTCTAAGACGTCAGCCCTCATGATCGTAGATTTAATAACGAAAACTGTTCGACTGAAATTATTTGTGAAAACTGTGCCAGAAGCAATGAAAATGTAGTGGAAAAGGTCCTTTGAATGAAGGAACAATATTTAATGCCTCGTTCAAAGAGAAGCTGGCAGCAGACGTTTCTGCTGTTGTATGCGATATGTTTTCAAACAGTGAGATGTGAAATGTCAGTCTTTTTCCTGGATTTGGCGATGCAACCATCAAGAAATTCAAAGAAATCTTGACCACTAACACACCCTTCTACCACTATGCTTTGATTCTCTCTAATTTATTTGAAGCCTTGTTTGAAGCTAAGTTTCCTTAGACCTGCTGGCGTTAAATCCCTTTGTGAATGTTCCTTTCTTACGCTTCCTTCACTTCAAAGCCAAGCGAGTGCCAAGCCAAGGAAGCGCCTGGATCAAGTTAAGTTTGCCAAGAACTAATGTCACAAGATCACACTGCCGACCAGAAAACTGGTCAGTCAAAAATAGCATGCTGCAGGCGAGAAAAGTCAGTTTCCCGACTGACCACCTAACCAGCAGAAACCGGAAACAACTTTGAGAAAGTCTAGGAGACAATATAATATTATCATTAGCAGGCCTCGCTTTTGTTACACACTAAATAAATCTTTGTTGTCGTTTTATTGTTCATCCACATTATTGTTGCCGTAGCACAGATGCAGTCAGTTTAATATAAACCACGATTCAGATCTAGGGGTCATATGTCTTGTAACCTGAGATCAGGCCCAATTTTAGCAGTTCTCATACATTCTCTCTAACGGCTACTGCTAAAATTGGGCCTGATACAAACTAGTTGTTTGCCTTCGCGTTTTGTAAAATATAAACCAGGAAAACTGGTGTCCTCACTCATTGGCTGTTTGCTTTTGTTTTTAAAGATTTATGTACTGAAAATCAGGGAAAATTGCCGAGGAAAATATTAAGGCAACAGAAAACTAGAAATTTCAGTATTTTAAGTTTGAGCGCGTCTAGCCAAAATAATAAAACTAGTAGAACATCGTGTCGCCGTCTTTTCGAAACTTTTTACCTTCTACGCCAACAGAAATAACCTTCGAGATCTCCCTTAATCTCGCAAGAAGTTAAATGTGATTGTGCTGACTGTTTTATTTTTAGATGAAAAAATTAACAGATAAAAGCTATTTTTAAAGTCAGCCAGTCTGTATTTTTCTCACGCGTGAAAAATTTGCCTACTAGAAAAACAAGCAACGAAAGTAATTTTGGTTGACTGATTCGGCAAATGTCAATCAATCAAAAAAGTGGGCGGCAGACGTTTCGTAGAAGGTTTGTATCAGGCTCTCTTTTCGTTTCGCCATGCCCGCCGGAACATAATTTTCAAAGTGAAATGAAAATAGAGCCTGATCTCAGGTTACATGTCTTGTGTTTCACTTGCATACTGAATGTAGGATCACAGTTTTCTTTGAAACTAACCCCTTATCTCATTTAGTCTGACTGAATGCAGTATTTGTTCATTCTTTTCAGGTCGCACTATGTATGTAATGGCATTCAGTATGGGACCTGTTGGATCACCAGTTTCTAAGATTGGCATTCAACTAACTGACTCTTCCTATGTTGTGTGTTCCATGCGTATTATGACGCGGATGGGTGCTGATGTGATGAAAGTTCTTGGTGATGGTGACTTTGTGAAGTGTCTTCATTCAGTTGGTGTACCTAAACCTGAACCACCTTCCCAGTACAAATGGCCTTGCAATCCAGACAAAACTATTATCTCACACTTTCCCCATGACCGTGAGATCAAGTCATTCGGTAGTGGTTATGGAGGAAACTCTCTTCTGGGAAAGAAGTGCTTTGCTCTCAGGATTGCAAGCACCATAGGTCGTGATGAAGGATGGCTTGCAGAGCACATGTTGGTATGATAAAGATTAATTTAAACAAATCTGAATTCCTTGATTATTATGTTGTTCTGGTAACTTTCATGTCTAATGTTCATCAAAATGATATAGTTTGTAATTAAGGGGAACTTTGAGACAGTCATCTGCTGGGTTCTTCCTTACTTGATAGTACAGCTTATGGAAACTTTTTCTTCATTTAGATATTAGCTCTTACAAGTCCCAAAGGAGAGAAGAAATATATTGCTGCTGCATTCCCCAGTGCTTGTGGTAAAACTAATTTAGCCATGATGACACCAACGTTACCTGGCTGGAAAGTTGATTGTGTTGGAGATGACATTGCTTGGATGTGGTTTGATGAAGAAGGTCAGCTGCGAGCTATCAATCCTGAATTTGGATTCTTTGGAGTTGCACCAGGGACATCAGACAAGACAAACCCAGTTGCCATGAAAAGTGTCACTAGTGGAACCATCTTTACAAATGTGGCTCTAACAAGTGATGGCGGCTTTTGGTGGGAAGGTAATCAGAAAAGTGCAGTGTACGAGCATACAGTAGTTTTCATGTTCCCTTCAATGTGCTTCTTAAAAACCTTCAATGATTGAAAATACATTAAGTAGCTGGTAGCTTAAACTATTGTTACTTTCTGCCTCCCATGGAACAAAGTTAAACATTTTGTGAAAGTTAGGTCTGTAAAGCCATACTTTCTGAAGGACAGCAGGAACATTATCATGAATTTCCAGAGAGGATGTTTTCTGGAATTGTACCCCACAATCCTGGTTTGTTGTGCTCTTATTCTTATTTATCAACTGATGTTGGTACACTCAGTACATGTAGTTTACTCCAAAGAATTTTGGGCTGATGTGGGATAATACCCAACAGGGTTCTCAGGGTTCCGGCAACCAGCTAAAAAATCAGTTTCTTTGAATATTGAGCCATCTACGTTTTGGGGATAAAGGGTAGTCTGTACATATCAGGTCAGAGAGTGAAAGTGTGAAATTGTCTTCAGTACTCAGCTGTCTAATTGCCTACTTTAACATCCTATGTAGCTGTTTACTCTAAAATTTAATGACAACCCTGACCCAAAGTTCTGTTTATCAGAGTACCTGCTAGCAAGGCTAAGATGTGAATTGTTGTTGTTTGTTGTACAGGTTTACCCGTACCAGAAAATGTTAGTATCACAAGCTGGTTAGCAGAGAAAGACTGGAAGCCTGGCAACACCAAGGGAGCACATCCAAACTCCAGGTTTTGTGCTCCAATCAGCAATTGCCCAGCCATGGACAAGGATTGGGAGAATCCTAAAGGTGTTCCTATCAGTGCAATTCTCTTTGGTGGCCGACGCCCTATGGGAGTTCCTCTGGTTTATGAAGCATTCAACTGGCAGCATGGCGTGTTTATTGCATCTGCCATGTCATCTGAAGCTACAGCTGCTGCTGAGCATACAGCAAAAACAGTAATGAGAGATCCTTTTGCAATGAGACCCTTCTTTGGATACAACTTTGGCAAATACATGGAGCACTGGCTGAGCATGCCAAAGACCAAAGGCCGAAAAATGCCAAAGATTTTCCACGTGAATTGGTTCCGTCTTGATGAAAATAGAAAGTTCTTGTGGCCAGGTTAGTACCTAAACAAACCAGTCTCATAATTATTGTACTGAACAGTTAGAGAGTAGTTTGTCATGGTCTGATCATTTAGCTCTTAAATGTTAGCTTCTTGACCAAATAATAGTCATCCTTTTTTGTCTGAGATTTTAAACTGAAAGCATTTTATGGTTTTGATGAAGCCAGGTCAAGATTAACACCTTTTACAAGAATCAAAGTGATATAATTTCACCAATATTATTACATTACCCAGGGCTTGATGTTGCGACCCGTGGGGTCGCCAATGTGACCAGCTTCTACTCAGTGGCGACTAAATTTTCACGCCTGGTCGCCAATCTGGCCCCCAAGATAGGTGACTTTCTTCTCTGGGAAAACGTACACTAATGATAATCTGTTATCCTTCACAAAACCAACAGATAGCAAACGGTTTTGCTAACGCTCTAACGTTTTGCCCAAATGCTCTAACGGGTTGTCAAAACGTTTTAATGATTTCTTCCAACACTCTAACATATTGTTCTTATAATCTAACAGTTGGTCCGTCTAATGTGCGACTTTTACTTGAAAGAGGATTGTGAAAATCACAAGTGATGAATTGTGTAGTTCCAGAAAATATCCATACCCCCCCCACGGAGGGTCACGGAATTTCCTAGGGGTAGGGGGGTCTAAAAGAGACAAATTTCTGAAGGGGAGGGGGGTACATAAAGAGTTTTTCTTTCCAGAGGGTTTGAAATGCGATCGAATGAACACTTACGTATTTTTCCAATTGATTCGGGGTAGCCAAGAAAAACCAAAAGTTCTATCCGTGGAAATAGACGTAGGATTCCTTGTCATATATTTTCTATTATTATCCCGGCGCCAGATGACACGTACAGCTCCGAGGCACACCTCTGAGCACGTTCGACGTCGAGTCAAACAAAATGGCTGACTAGAAATTTCCCGCGAATTTCAAAGCTTCAATAACTAGATTATCGCATAGTTTTATCGTTTTCTGTGTAGTTACGAGTTTGGAAACGTTAGCAAAGTCGATACGATGCCATTTGTTTTAAGCATAATTTTTTTGTAACCGTGAACAGCGATGAGAGACGGCGAAGATTTCATTTCGTTGTTTAGTTACCGGAATGAACTTGAAAAGTACGTTTTACACATGAAATTAAAAAAAGTTAAAAAAAACTGTAAGGCGTGAAATTTACTATCATTTACAAACTACAGAGATAAAGCGTACAACTTTATTGAAGTATTCCTGTTGAAAGACGAACTTAAGTTTTTAAAAAACATGTTGCGTGACGGATTATGATTCCCGCTGATAAGCGAAGTCACTTCACGGCTCCACACAGGAAAACAACATTTGTTAGCAGTACTGTTCGCACATTATACTACATGTAGATAAAATTACACCTGCAAAGTACAAAAAATATCATGGAGATTAGCATCGAGTCAATTCCTGAGTTTTGCTTCGACAGCAAAAACAAGAATGATGTTTAAAGTAATTCGATACGTTGTTTCGTCTATGCATAAATTACAAACTTCGACTAGGTTACAAAACGTTGATGATACCGTCAACTTTCAGTACTTTCTTAGATATTTTTGAATGAAATCTTCTGTCAATTAAGCAGACGAAAGGTCAGCTGCCAGAACTATAGTGTTAATAAGCTCAGTTGTTAGAGTTTGAACATTTCCAAATAGAGGAAGCGAGAGGCGCGTCTATTCATACGTCTAGAATTTTCCACGGTCATTTTTAAGAAAATTAAATCTCATAGCCTCCTCCAGCAATTTTGTACCTTACCTAGCGAATATCTCCATAAATAATGTTCCATGAAATAGCAAGTGTGGTATGGCCAAATCGCTTACGTGAAAATTATGCCGCTTTACGTCTTCATCTGAATTGTAACTATAATTGGCTGCGGCTAAATTTTATTTCGGCACTAAGTAGACCAAAATAAATCAATGAAGTCTTTTTATTTGTGGATTTGGAATTTCCTAGGGGTAGGGGCGACCAAGTGAAAAAATCATGGAAATTCCAGGGGGTAGGGGGGAGCAACCTGAAGCCCTCTGGAACGGAAAATCCGGGGGGGTGGGGGCTCAAACTGTAAACAACCCTCCGTGGGGGGGGTATGGATATTTTCTGGAACTACACATTTGACGGAAGTCCTATAGACTTTTAGGCAGATCGATCGCAATTCTCAACAGGTCGTCCGGTGTTTCTCTGGGAATGACTTTTAGCGCATCGATTTCAAACAATCTTTTAATTTCGAACATGTATCTCGATTGTGGACTTGATGGCCGATTAATCTGATAAAAGCTTAAGCTAATTGAGAACGAACGGCTCTTATTTCTCGAGCTTCTTATTGAATTTCTGTTGAGCTTGATGACCCCAATAAAAGCTCTGCCCTATTTTATTGACTTCTAGTGAAGTACCGTTGAACTCATGCTGTTTGTCTCACAGACTTCTTGCGAAATCAACTTCTTTGCCCGATGCATTAGCGACGTTTCCTCTTTGTGGAGACTTTTGATCATGTGCTAGGCAACCGCGAAATAGATCAAGTTTCACCTATGTTCATTTCTGATCATGCAAATGCATGGGATGCAAAACAAACTTTGCAGATTTTGTTCTTTAATAACCCAAATAAGTTTTTTTGTGATTTCCAAAGTTTTCTTATGTAAATGTGTATTCCATTGCTTGAATACTTGTTTGAGTAGATTAACACTAGAGTGCGGGTTCATTTTCCCGAACACCAGCTGGTAATCGAGCCTCTAGCGAAAACTGTTCGAAGGAAAGTTCAAAGGAAGTCTAAAGAATTCTTTATCTGGCAAGGCTAAGTAAAAGTTGTTAAGTTTATTGTATGCCATTAGTTCTTACAATAATATAATTTTTGGCGACTAGGAATACTTGTTCTGGCGACCAAAAATGAAAACTTGGGGGCCAGCTGGCCCCAAGATTTTTTTTCTGAAAGTCGAGCACTGTTACCTGAATATTTCAGTCTTATATGTATCTATAAACTTGATGTAATTCTTTTTTATGCAAAGTGCTGACAACATTATCTTAAACTCCATTGTTGCTTTTATTTTGAAGGATTTGGAGAAAACAGCCGTGTTTTGGAATGGGTTATTAGACGTTGTAATGGAGAGGATATTGTTGATGTTAGTCCCATTGGATTCATCCCAAAGAGTGGTACAATAAACACAGAGGGCCTGGGAGACATAAACATGGAAGAGTTGTTTAGCATTCCTAAAGACTACTGGCTGGAGGAGTGTCAGTCTGTCCGTCAATACTATGATGAACAGCTAGGAGAAGATTTACCACAAGCTATTTTAGATGAATTAAATGCCCTTGAATCAAGGCTAAATGCACTTTAAAAGGCTCTCTTGAGAGTAATAGAAAATAATGAGCATTGTGCTGTTGAAAAATCTAAATTATATTCATTTTTTTATTTACTGTACATCCAGCAACTATGAAAATCCTGGTGAAGACTGAGTTAATATTGACAGGAAAAAGAACAAGGAATCGTGAAAAAAAGTGAAATTCCTTGCTGGCTGTGCAATGGTCTGGATTATTTACAATTGTTTGATCCTTGCGGAGGGAGGGTCAAAAAGTGCTTAGTTTAGTATGTCTGAAATTCCTTGTGTCGTCAAACAAATAGCATGGTTCATGACTCACAGATTCTGAAATCACCAAGCTGCTGTGAAGAAGACTTAAAAATCATTATGCAGGATTTTTAAATGCTTGGAGCTCTGTTACAGCGCACCCTACATGTAAAGCAAATTATCTTGAAAATGCTGCAGTGTTTTTAACAGGTTAGGTGTCCAGTTTTTGTAGCTTGTCATTTCATGCACAGACTCTACTTTTGTGCTAGTGAGCACTTAAAGGTAATGCAATCCTCCGTAATCCCAAAAATCTTATTATTTTTGCTAGTTCTAAGATAATATTGTAATATTTCATAATTAAATATGATAGTACTAGGTGCAAATTTAGGCGTAATTGAATGATGATTTGGCAAGTTAATTATCACCGACATTTAGTTAGCACTTCTTCAATGTATTTTGAAAAACACTGATATTATGTAAATCAGAACAAAAACAAAAAGAATACACACTGTAGTTCCTTTCATGGACAGAGGACTTTTTGAATGGCCCAAGCTGTTTTGAGATAGGTGATCATAATAGAAAAATAAAATGTATGGAACAACCCCAGAAGGAGCTCATGGTTTCCTTCGGCATTTGCGGGAGATCTGAGAAAATGGCACAAGACAGCATGTAGATATGTTTGCAAGTGTTAAAGACAGCAGCAAAAGTAGATTTGACAGCTACAGGGTCAAAATTGAAGCAATACTGTGTGCTGGTGTCATCGTAGCTAAGTGACTTCATTTCTTAATTTCTAATTCTGATATTTCAGTGAAAAGTTGTTTCCCAAGTGTTAACAAAAATTATTAGTAGTAATTAGTATTGCACGTGAACTCTATTCAGACTGAAGTAGACAGTATTTCTAGCTAATATTATTATATACAACAAGTTGACTTTGATATAATTAATGAAAAGTTTTCTTTGCTGTTGTAGTGGTTGTTTTAATTTTACCTTTCCCAAGAATTGACTTCATCTCTGTAAAAACTAGGCACCACCACAAAGATGTTTGTATTTATTTGACTTATTAAAATTAATTGATCATGTCCCAAATTACATTTCAGGATAGTAGTGTGCATTTTTCTGCTTTTTTGACAACCCCTCTCTAAACAACCTTGTATATCTTTTTTGTGTCATCAATAACATTATTTTATTGTTAAGCATTTGGTAGAGTGGTGCACGGGGTAACAAATTTTTTAGGTTGCTAGTAAAATTCATCTCTACAATAAGAACTGGTAAAGGAAGATTTACTTGTCAATAAAAATGTTCTCTTTGCTTCAAAATATGAGTAGTGTCGGTTGTTACAGCCCTGTCTGGATCTGTCCATGGTAGCCAAACAAAAGTGTGTGGCTGGTTCACCGTAGATCCATCCTTTCCTCTTGTAGCATTGTATTTCCCAGTTTTGCCCACCTAACAACCTAGTCTGTTTTCTAGCCTGCGAAAACATCCGTTTCTCCTCGCTCTTCGCCGCTGGGGACGTTTCGCGAGGAGGAAACGTCCCCAACGGCGAAGAGCGAGGAGAAACGGATGTTTTCGCAGGCTAGTCTGTTTTCATATGCACAGAGTTTTAAAGAGAAAAAGAAATGAACTGACAAAAGATTGGTGGTCATCAAGGCTAACAATGAACAGTTTAGGGATATACCAGTGCAACTGTTACTTAACAAAAAAAGAAAAATATACTCCAATAGAGTATGACATCTACCCTTACACAAGATGTTGAGCATCCTCTCATTTTCATATGAGTTCCCCCTAGAAAAAAACTAAGGCCTACTGGTAGTTGAAATTATGTCACATTTCACATGTGCCAAATTTAATGCTTATGAGAAAAACCTATTGCTCTCACTCATTGCATCAGATTTTCCTCTTTGAACTTGGTCTTAGTATTTTTAGATGAAAAAAGAACTTTAAACTTAAACAACTTTGAATAATGAATCATTCCTATGCGCAGAGTGCCATTTCTGAACAAGAAAATGGAAAAGAAACTAATACTAATAAAAATAATTAGACTACAATGCAAGCATATTTTCTACGTGGCAAAAGCTGCTTGTTTATGTTGCTTGTACTGCCATCTTTGATTATAACAGGACTAGAGGAAGATTGGCGAGGAATAGCTACCCTCGGGGTAGGTGTTGCTAGGGTGAAAAGAAGGAGGTAGGAGATGAGAAAGGTTCTCTCTCTCTCTCTCTCTCTCTCTCCTTCCTTTCTGCCTTTGACTCAGCCCAACTCCTTGGCGATCCTAGACTTTCCTTGAATAATTTCACATGGCAGCTGAATACATGAGCAGAACTTTTATTCATCCAAAGAAAGTGCATTCAATGCAGGCTGGAGAAAAATTAACAGAAGTAACCAAATCACCACTCGCTACTTCAAAACAAGAATGCTATTAACAGCAGCAGTTAGTCTCGCTTGCTTGGAGATTAGATAAGACATGAGGCGGTGATTAATAATATTCTACACGAAACAGGATTTACTTGCCAAAGGTTTTTCACTTCCTACTTTATCAACGGTAGAGTATTCTTCAGGATATTTACTTTTCATGTCTTATTCAAGGATTTGTTTCTATGGTCGCAGAGCTTGCCAGAGATCAAAAACGTGCAATGAGCATGGTGCCTCATCTCAATCATCGCCAAAAATATTCCGCATGCTCATCACCAGACTCATTTGTATACAATGAAAGTTTACAACACTCACCATCGAAGTGTTGCTAATTAAGATTCTTCTGTTTTTTTCGACCACTGAAAAAAGTGGTCACTTGTTCCAAAGTAATCAACATGTTCAGGCGATAGAATTCGTGGACCGTCCCGTTCCGGAAAAGCTCTAAATTGCATTAATCTTCACAAAACATGCGTGGTTTCAGTCACGTAATGATTCTTATCCCAGTTTCCACGGTCTCCGCTAGGAACACTGACCTCCTTTTTGTGTCCTAAATACTAAGAAGAAAAACAGCTTGAAGATTATGACTCTCAGTGCTAGGCAACCTCGAGTAGTAACGTTAATGTTGGAAGATTTCAATCTTTGATTCTAAAGAGGAATTTGGATTCTAATTATGCAATCGTGAGTTCCCAATTACTGAAAGTAATGGAAGACTGAGTATTTTGACTGTGGTTAGGGTTATACTCTGGTAGTATAATTCTTGTCTCTAATAAATCCTAAAAAGAGAAGATTTAAAACAAAATCATCTTGCACCTTTATTGAGACACAAAGTGTTATTTAAAACAGTATAAAAATAAAGGTAACTTGTTTTGCTACGAACATCATAACCACATTTTCCAACAGTTCCTTGAACTTAGCACAAGTTGACTTTCCTTCTCATAAGTCAGGACGTTGTGTTAGCAAAGAAACTTCAGAAAATCTACCAAACTCTGGCATCAACAACCCAAAACTTAAACATTTTTGCTCAAAACATGCATAATTGATGATTTAAATATTCCTTTTAACAACACCTTCAAATCTGTACAAATTTATACTAATTAATAGTAAAAACAGGAACAGCTTTAAAATTGAATCTGAATTGATTGCCAGATATCCAAAAATGTACATGTGAGAAGTCATGAGTCTTGGACTGTGGAACTCTGAAGTAACATTTTGCTAAAAAGTGTTTGTTTCAATAATCATACTGTGATCTTTGTAATAAAGAATTATTCCACGGCACTGCATTGTCTATTGTGGGCTGCAGGGCTCAACTTATTGTATATAAAAATTACTGTTCAGTTGAATTTGGCTCTGAACTGGCAACATGACTTCACTCAAGGTACTCTGATGATCAAGAAGCCAAGTATTTAAATGTAACATACACCACTGAACACACTGCCACAGCAATCAAAGTCCTCTTCAGTCTTGATTTCCAAACTTTTGCATCTTCCTCTCGTTTCACATTTTTCTTTATATTTTCTACAAGGCCTGTTATTTTTTGCTTTCTTTCTTCCCTCTTTCGTCTGCGTAGTTCTGTTGCACTGTTGAGAGGGAAAGACAAAGACTCTTGTCTTTATTTAAGTAAAGGTAAAGAGAGCTTATTCTATGCTGGTACCTTGAAATAGTCATTATCTGACTAACAGCCTTGAGGCTGACGCTGCACTTATTTTATTTCCTCTCTCCATAAACCTGTGCCACAGAAAAAACTAAACCTGTGGTTAGGTCTGTCTATGAAACAATGCCAATATCCTTGTTCTGGCCCCCACCTGGGTACCAGGATTTGAGTATGCCCCATGATTGCCCTGTTAAAAAAGCCTTGTCCATTTGCCAATCAGGTTGAAGGAAAATTTGAAACACACTTTCAGTATTTTATTGACTCCATCGAGGACTCAGAATAAGGATCTTGGTACTGTTACATGGATGTTATAAACCAGGGTATGACTACGTCTGCAACACAGACTCCACCACTGCTCAGTTTTACGGGTATTTAATGTTACTTGAAGCTACACAGAAAGGAAAGAAGTCAAAAAAGTATATAAGGTCAGGACTGGGAATTGAACCCATAACCTATCACATGTACACTAACCAACTGAGTTGGTCCTCAGTTTCAATGCTCAAGCAAACCTTTTCCAGAAGTTTCCAGAAAAGTGTCAATACAGGGCAAACATGCGATAAACAAAAGGCGCATAAGGAGAACATGTGAAAGCTGAGTCCATATATTCCACTAAAATCGAGTTAACACAAGAGCAAATTTTCTAAAAACAATTACAGACAGCATTTTCTTTAATCACCTGTCTTTTTCCTTTGTTTCCCCTTCATCCGAATGCTGTAAAACTTCATTTGTTTCTGTTTCTTGAAATGCTTGCTCTGTCTGTTGAAGTCCTTCATCATCTTGCTGTTTATCTTTTTCCGTCTGATCTGTTTGTTGAAGTGACTTTTCTCCTTCATTTTCTTTCTAGGAAAAAAGAAGCTGCATAGTTAAAGGGGTCAGCGGATTAAATACCTGCATCAGCCATTAATTTTAAATACCATAATATTACAACTCTTAGCTTCCCTTTTCTTTCTTTGCAGGAAAATGTGACTGCCACTGTTATTCTACTACAGGTTTTAGCAAAATGTCATAGTGATGGAAACAAGTTTTCAAATGTTAAAAGTTTTATCATTTGGCAACCTAAAGCGGGGCTTGACCTCCTGCAATAAAAATAAACAGTTTTAATTTTTCTAGTGAAAAAAGTAAAATGAATCTTTCTCGGGTGCCTTTTTTTTGGAGAATTAGGCAAAAAAAATTAAGTCTTGTTTTGTCCTTGTAGCTGTCCTCGTTCTTGAATCTAAAGGTCTCTTTCACTTTCATATTCCAACCAACATCACTTAGTAACATCTTTTAACAACAAAGAGGAAATGATTTCGTGGTAAAGTTGCACAACAAGCCAATGACCAGCTCGCTTCACTAATAGCCCGATCTTTTCCCAGAACTTAGTCCAGTTAGAGTACTAGTATTATCCTGGTTCCCATTGATTTGTACACTGTGGCAAACAGGGATAAATTGTAACAGAAATTCTTTCATGTATAAGGAAACAACAAACTTGCAAGGATCAAACTCAGATCTACTGGTCCTTAGTTTGACCATGAGTTAACCACTTGGCCAACATGAATCCCAAAAACTGAACATGTAAGTACTGAGTACCACTATGTTACCTCAAGCTCTTTACTGCTAGGCTCATGGGCTACAGGCTCCTCAAGTTTACTGTCAACATCTTCCTCATTGACCTGGACAGACTCTTGTTCAGGTTCTGAGTCTGATATCGAAGATAAGTCAATGATTTCATCTGAACCATCACTGCTGTCTGAAAATACATCTTTTTCAGGTTCTGGCTCTGTAACATTACCCAACAACAAACTGTCATTAGCTTTAAGTATTGATCATGTGCAGTCAGAAGCCATAAATTTAATATGTAAAAAAGCATAGCTGACCAAGCCTTATTTAAGCAAAACTGATGTTAGTTTTGTTAACAAGCTCCAGCATACTTTGAAGAGATAAATATCCCATAATAGACAATAGTGCACTAATATGGACACAAGGAAAATAACTCAGTTTCTTCAACTTAAGTAGATAATCTAAAGATGCAATATGTCAGGGTGTGCAGCACTGAAAAAATTATGCAGGATTTTGATATAAAATGCTTAGAACTAAACATCTCTGAAAATAACCAGACCCAAAGCTATAAATGTTGCACAAGTGGAGTCCGCTCTGTGGAAGCCGACAGCCTTGCACATTTTGAGCTCAGAAGAGAAATAAGAAAGGTGTCAGTAGCAAGTGTGGGTAAAAAATAGAGTTACAAAATATTATTTCCAATGGGATTTTTCCAGAACCTGTGCCTGCACAATCTGTCTGCTGAGCAAAACTAATGCCAATTAATTTGTCCAGCCACATGTATAATAATAATTATGTTAATTGTCTCATATAAGCAATAAACATTATTATTATTATCATTATTATAATACATCATTATCATAATAATAATAATAATTATTATTATTATTATGGTGAGCAAGACCATGAAAGGCTAAATATCTGTTTCAAGGGGATAACTGTTAATTGTCAATTTGAACACTTCCAAACATCCATCAATTGATAGGCAGCATTTGCAATATGTTTGAATGTTTTATTCATCTGTTTGAATGGCTGACTGAACCATTTGAGCAGTTCAGTAACCAAACAGTTCAGAGAGTGAGTCACTCTGTTCAAGCAGTCAGCCAAACAGTAATTATTATCCCAATGTCTTGAAAACGGTTTGTTAACCTTTCACCATTTCATTAAATATTTTTTTGCTGTTCATATGGTTTTCCATTAGTGCCTGGTTTGTCTGTCACAGTCAATGACAAATGGTTAGTTAGCTAATGGACAGACTCACCCCAGAGTGGGAGGCTAATTGCCATTGATCATGTTGGGGGCTATAAAAAGTAGACTGTTGGAGCAGAGCCAATGGTCTTGAACATTAATTGCTACTCACAGTTTCATGCTTTTTGTGAAGCAATCATCATAATTTATACTAGTGTACATTACAAATATATAATATATTTATTAATTACTGGTAATATAAATATTAATATATTTAGCTGATTTTTATCATCAGCTGCACATTTATAATTGAATATTTCAACAACTACCCTGACAATTTCTGGTCATCTGTCTATCAGCTTTACTATCTGCCTTCATCTTCCTCTTTCTTTTCAAGTAATGGAATAAACTTTGTGACTTGCTCTTGCGTTTGTCCATTTTCTGGGTGGATGCCACAGTTTTTGACATACCATGCTCAACTGGACGGCTTCTCTTTGTTTCTGGTTCATCTGCAGCAGCAGCCTCAAGCCTGCGACGTGGTGGCAAGGGAGGAGGTGTCTCCTCTCCAGAATCCTCTTGGTTTGTAGATGCTCGACTGTTCTGCTCTACAGTCTCTTCATGACTTTCATTTTCCCCTAAAAACAAAGTAAATGATTCAGCTAGCTCATGGCCATAAACTTCTGGATAAATACTTATCATGCTTACACAAGAAAAACTCTCTTAAAATTTTCATAATTTTTTGGTTTTCACTGATCAGCCAAAGTAAATTGGAGATGGAAAATGAATTATTCCACATAAATCATTTTACAATCTGATGTTCTAACCAACTTGCAAAGAGAAAGACCACATTTACAATTTCATAATAACTATTAAAACATACCAGTGGCACTGCTCTGTAAGTGGTGATTCACAGCTCTCTTAAATATTTCAGGCATCAGAACCCTTGCACCCTCTAGAATTGCCAGATATGTAAAGCGTAGCTGATCTGGTGTTTGGATAAGACCTGCTCTGTACTGACGCACTTCTAACAACACATCAGTGATGCTGATCTGTTCCATATCTTCTGCGTATTCAATCTGCCCAACAAATGCACAGAATTGCAGGTATATATATTCAATAAGATTAGAAAGTTTGGAATTGCTCTTATTTAAGTTAACCAAATCCTCCTCCTCACCATCATCCGGTTGCTAATTAATTAATTAATTTTAATTACGTAATCAACTTTAAGGACAATGGTAAACTTGACTCTGTCTGCAAGTCACAGTGCTTTCTTTTAAAAACTAGAAACAAAAATCTGATAGAGAAAGCGTTTTTGTAGAATAACATTTTAAATTTCCAATGATGCAAAAAATTAATATTATCTATAGCTACCTCCTTTAAAATAGAGTCCACCATGACAAATGTTCCTGACCTCCCAATTCCAGCACTAAATGTAAAGATAAACAGTTAGTGCAACAAAATGAAAAAACATATAGGGATATATTCCTCTAAAATTTATAAATACCTCTGTGCAGAAAATTGAGGGAAATGCCAGGAAAATATTTGCCGAGGCTACAGTAAAATACAGCATTTTTACTTTTTTCTCAAAATTATCAGGGCACCTTTAAAAATGATCAACAGAGTTCAACTGCTGATTACGTTATAAAAAGCTGAGTCCATCTAACACACCTGCAGTGAATTACACAAGGCCCTACATCTGATGATAACACTCCTGCCTTGCGCACTTCAAAAAGGAATGCTAGAAAAGTAGCAGGTGATGTTGGCACTCCAAAGTCTGGCCAGGTAAAATAATGAAAGTGATATATGACACGTTTCTCTCCTGACTATAAAAAAAAAGAAAGGAAAACATCAGCAACATACAGCAGGTAGCAACTCTGACATGAAGCACTCAACACTACATATCACAGGTTATAGTGCTTCTCATCCTGCTGCCATCCTTAATGTTCCACATGTTTCATTGTTACTATCCCAGAAGCATAGTGCCGTGACAAACCTCTCAAAGAATACTAACTGAATTGGTCAATTTTATCCTAAACCTGAATATAAGCTTATTTTAAGATATTTTTTGTATATTTGTTATGCATACTGATTAAAAATTAGAACTGTTTCTTTTTTACCAGCAATGATCTTGTTATTTTGAACTTTTTTATAGTAAAGTGGTCTGCTTGTAAAAGGGGACTTTAGCCTTTATTACAGACAATCCTTTTGGAATTAATCTCTTGTTTTCTTATGGTAATAAATAAATAAATAAATAATTGTAAAGTAAATATCTCAAGGAATAAATTTTGTCCTAGTTACAAACTGTCAGAAAATAAGATTTCACTGATGGTTTAATGCAAAATTTAACATTGGTCACTGTGTTCATTACGTCCTATAAAAGAATGTAGCTCACAAAGACTCACCTGCACACTTTCTAGTTCCAGTGTTCTGATAGTAAAGAACTCGTCCCCTTTTTCCTGAATGTAATAGATTCTAAAATTTCCAAACTCCATTTGATCAACATGACCATATACTTCCCCACAAGGCCAATACTGGAAACACTTTTTCTGTAACACAGCAAAAAGGAATTTATATAAATGGTTGATTAAGGAACAAGTGAGCATTTATTTTAAAATAATTCTTGTTTTCATCATCCACATACAGTAACTTGCAGCTTTTGTGTCCCAAGTTGACCACAATAACAGTATGCCTGGTCAACTTAGAGCATGAAAGCTACAAGTTACTGTAAGTATATGTATGATCAAAAAAGTTATTATATTAAAACAATTAATGTTTTTTCTCCAAGCCTTTTCCAACAATATTGTTCCAAACACAATTCCATTTAAAAATGTACTTCTCCTTTTAAAAATGTACTTGTGATCTCTAGGATCTTAGTGGACCTGAATCAACCAATGAGACTCCAGATATATTTAAGATGATTTTTTCGCAAACTTAGTCCCTGTTTTGACCAATAAGATTGTACGTGTAATCTAATCCAGTCTCTACAAAAACTTAGTCCGCAAGCAAGCCAATCAGAGCGAAGGATATTTACGACCGTTTGAGATGGAAATCATCATGCGCCAAAACGCAATTCAAATAAAGGTTCATCTGCTTTTCGTTTGATGTGCCATTACTAACACTAACTACACTTAGTTAGTCCTTTATAGAGGATAGCAAATTATCTGAACTGCAATTATACCACTTGTGCCATGTTCAGATGTACCGTACACAAACTAACCTGATTTTTCTCAACCACCTTGTTCAACATTACAACAGCTGCACTGTTTTGCTCCCATATCATCTGCCAGAAGTGTTCTACGGTATGCGGCAAGGGTCCCTGGATACACAATAAAAACAGTCAATAAACCATCCATCACTTATCCATAATGGAGTTACCTCAATGCAATATAAACAGAATAAATGTAATTTAGTTTAAAGCCAGTTGACAAAGATGTGTTTTAATGCAACGTTTGTCACCTTGACTTAAGATTGCCTACATTCAAAAACATACTAGAGACAATTTCTGTTTTATTTGCTCCGACATTTGCTACTATTTCTTTCAATTTCTGTTGTAAAAGCTCAAAGGAGGAAGTTGGAGTATACTACTCAAATTCCCCACTCCCTTTTAAGAAGAGTAAGGATAAATTAAATTAACCATGTGTATTATCTGTCTTATTTTATGATAGTTTAAGTTATTTTCACTTACCTGAGTAAGAATATAGGATTGGTTTAACCTTGGAACCTGTAAATACAAACTAAGTTAACTATTGACTTGAAGGAAAAGCTGAAAATATCTTGACTGGGAAAAGAAAGGTGGTAACAAACTAACAGAATTGAATTTTCAATATTGTAAGTCTTACTTCGACAAGGTTGGCATTGATGTAGTCTGGAGATTGCTCCTTTAAAATGATCCGACTGTGGTCATCTGAAACAAAAAATTGAAATATATCACCATGACAAAGGATACACTTTATAAATGGCCTAGCTGATGGGATGATAGAACATTCGACACCTTAAACCAGATACAGAAAAATCTGGCTTCAAGTGTAATTTACCAGTGTAGGCACTGTTTTAGAGTCTGAAAACAATAGCTACACTAAATTACACTGGTAAAAGTTTTATTATTGCAAATGATCACTTAAGCACTGCGGCGCTTATTTCATTTTCCCTGTTATAGGTGCAGCACCTATTTGTGACCGACGCTTATTGAAGAGCCGCGCTTATTTCAACTATGGGTAAAACACTGAGGGGAATATAGAGAGAATTAAGTGAGGTGCATACTTGATGTGCACAATTTTATACTAAAAGTATAAAATATGTACACCTCGAACTGTTATTTGAACCTGGTTTCAAGAGTTTCCCTACATTAAAACTTTAGAACTCATGAGATGGTCGAGGTCTTATTTCTCAAGCGATATCAAGTGCCATAGCAAAGATGGGGCATTAATTTGAAAATACCCAAATTAGCGCCGCAGCGCTTATTCGAGAGCGGCAATTATTAAATTATTTTCAGTAAAGGTGCTGCACTTATTCAAGAGCGGTGCTTAATCGAGTGGCGGTGCTTAATCAATCATTCACGGTAAATTAACCCTTGGTAGACTTTTAAGGTCGGGTAAATTTACCTCCAAAAATATACATAATTACATGGGTAAATGTTTATCTGCATCAATTCGCTGGTTTCTGCCTTCATCAAAAATAGTCTGGACAACCCTCGGAATGGGCACACGTAGGGGGGAGGGGAAAAAATACACAAACGAAGCACAGTCATGTGAAATAAACAGCAAAAGTAATATAGTACATAAATTTGTAAGTGTGCACTACGATATCCTGTAAAATGTATTTTAATTGACATTCGTTTAGCATCCTGTATAGTTGTAAGACTACGGGGATTTAAATATAAGTATGTAAGTAAGTAAGTACTGCGGCTGTCAGGACATCCAACAGGCCTGTGTTTTACTGTTTATTACAAAAATGATCAAATGTAAAATTTTCATTAGATAGCTATGACCATACTATGCTTTATAAAGAGCAGTTGTGCCTACATTTTATCATCCTATTATTTTCTAGTCATTGCTCAACATTAGTACAATGGTGTGCAATTATGTCTCAAGTTTGTGTTTGTTTTGAACTTGTGAACTTGCACTGAACAGTATATGCCACCCAGAATATAAACAGTGAGAACACAATGTCATTACCTTACGTTTTATAAAGCAGTTTGAGGAAAGAAATGCAAGAAGTTCACCAAAAATGTTTTCTCTAGCTACATAGACTACATAATCACTGAGGCTGCAGTTAGACTTCAATAACTTCCTGCAACTACGGTTTTGATTATCTTAAGCAGCGGAGAAGTTTATGAGGACTACAACACCAAATTTAACGAAAAGAAATGGTGATCAGAAAGGGAGGGTCCAATATATTTCACCACAGACATACACTGTAGTAAAAAGTACTTACATGGCAAAACATCTCTGTAGCGATTAAGTTGTCTGTTTTCCGGAAGTTTTGCCGCTGTCACAGCTCCAGCTTTCTGACTAGCTTCCCAATTAAGTCGCTTGATCGGATAAAATAAAAAAGGAACGATAGAGAAACAACAAACACAACAGCAATCAGTTAACCAGCAAGCAAGTAAGCATTAGACACTGGTGGATGCTCAAGTTTTGGCGAAAATTAAGAAACAAACAAGGACATCTTACTTGAAACAAACGTGGCCATGCTCTTGACTTGTCTAATTCTTCTAGTTCTGCCAACATGTCGCAGAAAATAACAGAAAACGAAACACTTAAGCATACCACATAAGACAAAACACGACAAACTTCCAACATAAAGCCATGTTCAGCGGAAAAAAGCGTCCTCGATGTAAGTGGTACGCAGTGTAAGCGTACAGGCCGTAGGTTGTGCAAGAGAGAGGTACTGGGGCAGGGTTGAACATCTGGCAGGGAAGCAGGACCTGAACATCTGGATATAAAATACCGCACTAAAATGTTTCTTATATGAATAAGTTAAAAGCCGGTACAACATACAAAAGCCGACTTAACGTAATTATCAAGTAAAAAGATAGGTTGGGAGGGGGGTACTCCCTATGATGGTCTACAGGGGGAGGGTCCGTCCGAAAGGGGTGCCTTTTAAGAACCAAGAACGAGAAGTCCAAAGACTACTGCAAAGCTGATTTAAAACAACGTGTATTGTTTTTTATAACAATATTTCGGCTGGCCATACCAGCCTTCTTCAGGTTTACAGATGTTACTGAACTTATGGAGCAATCACAATATTATATAGATGGAGAATGTCGCAATAAAAGGGAGAGGCGGAAATGACGTACAACATAAAAACTGGAAAGGAAAAATACTAAGGATATGGTTATGACATGAGGTTCAAGAGTCATGGTCTTACCTATTAAAAGCGACTCCCTGGCCTTACGAACTGAGTCACGTGAAGAATGAATTTTCTCTAGTGGGATTAACTACATGTCAGATATTTAATAGTTGAAGTACATGAAAGCGTAGAAAAATCTGTCGTTTCAGTCTGCAAACGGACCAAAAATAGCTAACAGGCAAATTTTAATGATGATGATTAGATAGATTTTTGCAAGAACCATCAATTGTTGTGATAGAGGCGAATAAATGGCAGATAGATAGATGTGAAGGAGAAAAGAAATTTTAAAGAGACAGGCATTTAAAGCTGTTATGAAAAGGGATCCAGTGTTCAAGGGGGACCTTTTCCGTTAAAAATGGTATATAAAAGGGGCTGGACATCGGGCAACCTGGTAATAAATCCGTGTTCTCCTACACCAATATAAAAAATGCAACTAAAATATCTTCATGTTAGGTGAACACGGATTTATTACCCGCAACCTCCTCCCCAGGGCTTTTCCCTTTTCCCATTTTTTGAGGGAAAAGCCTTGGGGACGAGGCTGGGACCTCGGGGCGGAGCCCCCCGTATAAAACTTCCTTGAGCCCCCCCGGGGGAGAAATAGGTGTCTTTGTGAAAGCTTTCATCATTGTGATTAGTGCACACTAAACTTATCAGCCTTCTTTGTGGTCAATCACGTTTTGAGAACCAAGGTGTCCCCTGAATGACGGTTAAAACCAGGTTTTGGGATCCAGAAATAGTGTCCCGTTCCGCTGAATTGAGGTCTCCCTTCAACAGAGGTAACAGATACAAAGAGTATGAGAACAAATTTTGTGTCTCCTGAATGGAGGTGTCCCTTGAATAGAGGTTTCCCAAAGGAGAGGTTGCACAAATGGGATCGGACTGGGTGTTTTAGCCTACATGTGGCCACACTGAATTCTGCAAAGCTGATCTTCTGCGTGAAAATTAACTTTGTATAACATCAACACGACACTGAAAGAACCAAAACGGAGCGGGGTCGTAGCCGTAGGCAGCTGTTTGGCCCTTTTGGGGGCTCGTCAGTACGGCGCAACAAACGGAGAGGCTCTGGTGTAAAATTCCCGCACAAAGGTCCTTTGCAGTTGAAACGTCAATTTATTATTTCTTGGGGGCCGTAGGTCTTTTATAGATCCGATATGCCGTTCATTTTTGCATGGTTTTGCCCATATTTCTAAGGTTGGTTTTGTCCATCCTATATTTTCTTTATGAGACATCAACGTGACACTTGGACTCTTGTCCTCTCGGTGACACGTGATATGGCGTGATTCTGTGAGTGTTTGAGTTCATGTCAGGCCTGAGTTCATGTCAGGGCTTTAAAACAGAGTGTGCGGGAATTTTACGGTAGAGCCTCTCTGTTCGTTGCGCCATACTGACGAGCCCCAAAAAGGGCAAAACAGCTGTCTACGGCTACGAACCCGCTATGTTTTGGTTCTTTCAGTGTTGTGTTGATGTCTTACAAACTTAATTTTCACGCTGAGTAAGATCAGCTTTGCAGAATTCAGTGTGTCTACTCAGTGTATATTTTTGCTGGTCAGGTCTTTTATAGATCCTACGTTTTGCGGCATATTCGCTTGCGGTCCTTTGCAATACAAATGTCAATTTACATGTGGCCGTACCCTCCCCTCCCTTCCATTTTCTCGGCGGGGTAGAGTACAGCTACACGTGGGCCCCCTAGGGTGCATTCACACTTTGTTTACTTTTTTGGGCGGGGTTACCTAATTAAAATTGCCATAACCTTCCACAAGGTGTTTGCCGATAATCGAGGTCTTAGTTCAACACTGCTCAAAAGGCCGGACACCTCCACGTCCAAACGTGGTCTTCTTTTTATCTGTTCACTTTTTAAAAATTGAAACTCAACAGAAGTGCTGCTGTGGCTCGTCGGCTGTACCCTACCCAAACCTCCCGTTGTAATCAGTCAAACTGGGACCTCTTTTCCGTAGTCTTAGTAGTCTGGTAGCCTGCGAAAACATCCGTTTCTCCTCGCTCTTCGCCGCTGGGGACGTTTCGCGAAACGTCACCGATGTTTTCGTAGGCTATAGTCTTAGATACAAGAACAAACCCCATCTCGTCGCCATTAATTTCACAGAAAAAAAGGTCCACGTTTGTGTTTTGAAACGTCGCTTAGTCGGTCGTCAAAGGGTGTCCATCTTGCAGCATTGTTAGCTTATAAGTTGAATTTGTGATCCAGGTAGAAATAGGTGAATGGGCGGTCAAGACCCCACTCATAACACAGCCGGTATATAGAAGTAATAACAAATACTACGGCACAAATACAAAAAAGGGAAAGAAACACCTTACAAAAAAATCATGTTTATTTACAGCAAACGTTCTCATGTCAACAATAAAAAGTCATTTTCACATAAGCGCCTAATTAAAACCTTTTACCGACAGGGCTTCTATATTTTTAATAGACTTTAATGGAGCCGAAACCAATTGTGGAATTGCACACATTTTAGGCATCCTACTGGTGATTACAGTTACGACGTTTAGATATTTCAAGCAACAACAATTTGCCATCTGTAAATAGGGAAATCATTTGTTTCACTGGAATTCAAAAATGAGACTCAAATACTCTTTATTAAACAATCTTGCGCTGAATCCAGCGGATTCAAAACTCCAGATGAAAAAGAAGTGACCGGCGGCTTGTAATAAATGCTACCGTTCCTGGTCAGAATCCAGCGCGCGTTTCGTTTATATTAGGGACTTTAAGAACCCAGGACGCGGTGAGTAGGAGACGCGACCGGAAGTGACTTTTCCAGTTTCGGATGAAGAGCGCATGCGCTTGGCGTTTTCTCCCGCTCTCGAGAACGCGGCCTGAAGAGATTTGGCGTCGTCTGGAAAACGTGAGTATTTAGCCTTGTTACTTAAAGCAAATCACTATAATTACCAGTCTATCACAACTATTCTGTCAATTGGAATTTAAAATTTATTGCTTCTTCAAAGGTTAGGCATCATTTTTGAAACGAAAAGGACCAAAGTTGAATAGTTTAAAACGTTTTGTTCCCTCCAGGTGAGCAAGCACATGGCGTCGAGCAGATCTTCAAAGTAAGTCATCTAATTATCCTTGAAATGTTTCCCAAAATCTCATTTTCCTTCACAGTCGAGGGAAATTATCACTACATTCATGCGGCTATTCTCATGCTTGATACAATTTAGTTGTCAGGCGTCCTAGCATTCTACTTGGTCTTCTTTCTGTTTTTGATTAATCCAACGAGCTCCGATGTGAAATATCAGAATAAAACTTTATCGGTTGTTCCATCAATTGATGACCGATTTTAGCTTCATAAATAATTTAGCTAAGACTATTCCGTTTTTCTAGTTGAGTCTCTACTAGATCCAGGCTTGATATTTCATGATGATCTGAAATTGCGTTTCCTGATATTGAGTGTGATTAAAACTCAACTAAAGAAAGCTTACTAAAGCTAACTTTCAAAAATCGCCCACTATAAGAGGAAACATAAGTTCATTACCTTGACTACTGTCATAAAGCGTAGCATTTCAAAAGCTAAGACTCTGACATTTCTGCTATTGTGTTATGTCCATTTATTTATTTCTTTGAAATTGTTACTAATGAGCCATGTTTTAGATAATACTCTGAAGCGAAAACAAACCAAGAAAAATTAGAACTAAAGAGAGATTGTATTTGAAGTTAGATGATGTTGCCTATCTCATTTGAAGTTTTGATAATGTGAATCTTTTAAATTATCAACGTTAGGCTTTGAATGCATTATTCCACTGCTGTTATTCGTAAAAGCGTAAGTTATGGGTGAGGTCTCTTTCCCTCAGCAAGGCCGCTTTTTAAATTTGTGAGCTTTAAACGTCATTAAAGAAAAAATCTCACTATTTTGAACAAGCATAAAATTAGCTGTAAGATTGACAACAGCATTTAGTTTCAATTCAAAAGAAAGGGTTTTTTTGGAGTGAATTTTATTCTAATATTCTCTTTGTTTTTGTTTTCACACAGCAATGTTATGTACTGGACTGAACAGCACAATATTATACTGTGCAGAGAAGTAGTGTTTGAAAATCCCTACTTATACAAAAAGGGGTCTCCCCAGCGCAGTGAAACTTGGAAGAAAATTGTAGATGTTCTAAACAAATGTGCTTCTCCGCAATTTAACGTTGACCAGAGAGCCATCCGGGACCACATCAATGTCTTGGTAAACAAGTACAAGAAAAAAATTAGAGCTGAAGAAAGAGCGTCAGGAATATCCCCAGATGAGCCAAGTGAACTAGATGAGCTAATACAGCAAATTATTGCACTTGAAGAGAGTGCTCCCACAGATACATGTAGTAAGGATAAAGCTGACAAAGCTAAAGCAGAGGATGTAAGAATGAAAGCTATGGAAAGGCTTTCCCAAACCAAAAAAAGGGCGTCAGAGGAAGCCGAAGAGGGTGAGGACAAACCAAAACGAACAAGAAGAAAAACTGGAGATGCCATGGAGTTTCTAAAGGAAAGAGCACAGCAGAGTGCAGAAATTAGAGAAAAGGAACTTGAGCTGGAAAAGGGAAGACAGGAACAACAACTTAAAGTCCAACAACAACAGGCTGATATGCTGAAGCTAATGCACCAGCAACAACTGCAAAATCAACAGCAACAGCAGCAGTTTCAGCAACAACAGCAACAGTTCCAGCAGCAACAAATGCTCATGATGCAGCAGGTCATGGGCGTCATGAGTAAAATGCTTAACAAGTAGATGTTAAATTTCTATTTCTAGATGTTTATACGTTTAAGATTTACATTTTTACAAAATGTTGAACTCAGAGTATTATTTGCCACCCCTTTGCTTAGATCTGCTTGTTGTTACAATCCCTGCAAATAACACACAACAACTGTTCCATCAGGATTTTATGCAAGATTTTACGTAAACTTAGGCATTGACAGGTGTTTTTTTTTACAGTATTTTAGCTAAAGTAATCGACTAGTGATGGTGGGTCAAGGCCAAAGTAGTCAGCAGTCGTATTGCGGTAGAGACATGTTAAAGCATTCCGCAAAAAGTGCACAAACAATGTACATTTTTCCTACATGGCTAAGGCCAATTTTGAGATTCTTTTTTGTAATCGAGAAACTTGAAATAATTTATAAGGTCTCCAAACAACCATTCCACACTTGTACGTACAGAACTCATAGATGCATTAAACTCTTCCATTTGTCTTGTTAACACCCCATTTCTGAAGGGGCACTGCAGATGGGTACGTAGAGGATATGCCGGATCCCCGTAGATACACATCTCCTGTCCAGCAGGGGAAAAGGCGAACTGTGCCAGGTCAACATAGAGGCCAGATGTGTCCAGCATTCTCGCATCATGCATTCGTCCCTCTGAACAAGAGCCAAAAAAATTAATTTTGAACCACAATCAGTCACACATTGGCTGACTGACAAACTGTTACCTATATAGACCATTGATTACCTTAGTAATTGAGTAGGCAAAAAACATAGGATTCGCTGGCTATTATTCTTACAGTCCAGGTACTTATGGCCTATAAGTCAGAAAATTATTTATAATTTATTTGTCTGTGGTGACAGGACAACCATTTCCTCTAATAACAATTGAAAGTGGGAGCTACTGAAAATACCTCTGATTTGAGAGACCAGGAGGGAGTCATCAAGAAACGTCAGATTAACATTATGAGAAAAAAAATCAATCTAACTTTTAAGTTCACATAAGTGATAAAAATGTCTCTCCAAGTAAAAACATAAAAAATGAATTAATATACCCTTACCTACTGGTCCAAACAGATGGCCAATCAATCCATTTGGTAGGGCCAAGGATTGAAATTTAAGGGCGTGAACGCGCTTGTGGCCATTGTAAACAGCTCTCTGATTGACTCCTGGTTTTGATATGGGACGAACCGTTCCATCAACAAAGCCGAAACAGTTTTCAAGGCGGCACCTTTGTCATGAATTGCTTCAGAGTACGTTTGCAGTAGGTTAGGAGACATAATGAAATGATTCCATTCGGTAATCCTATGGCCATGAACATTGTACATCCATTCAGTGACTTCATTGCTAATCATGCTGAGCTCGGGTACTGATCGACCAAAAGTAGAAATCATATCAGACAACCTACATGGATAGCTAAAGCGCTTTAGTATAACACAAAGTCCTTCTGTTGAATCACAAACGGTACCATTCGGACATGTGAAGGTATCAGGCATCTGTAAAACATGCACCAGCAATGAGATGTCACTCTTTTCAAATCTGAAGTCTGCCTTACACTCTGCTGGGTCTTTGTTTTCGAGGGAAAATTTTTCGTAATCCCAGTGGCGAAACGGAAGGTTTTGTGGAGTGAATTCTTCATACAGCACGGCAAATTCTTCGTCATCTATTAGCTTTTTTTCCAGACTAAGGAGCAAAGCTTCCTGTAAAGTCTTAAATGAGTTTTGAGTCATTCTTGTAGGGAAAGGTGAAAAGCGTTTTACTGTTTTGCAGACGATGACTAGTCTAAATGATCGCGTTCTTGATCTTAACTACATATTTCCCGCGCTTAGTACGCGGTGCTCGCCCCAGCCCCACTCTCGGTCCTCGCGTTTTCCAGACCACCGCGTTGTCAGTTCTTAAAGTCCCTATTGTATCAGAAGGAAAACCTCCGAAGACGTAGTGGTTGAGTTGAAGGCTACGTGAAGGCTCCAGGCAGAATTCCATACGATAGTTCGATACTACTGTACTGCCAATTCACATTTTTTCTGTTGTTGATGTTTTCTATTCATTTTCATTCATTTACTTGTAATATAGTAACTGGCGTTTGGCATCTTCTAAAAACCTCTCCTTAGATGAATCCCTCTTCCAACGCTAATCTTAGCAATGGATTGATCGCACGACTCTAACACTACCTACATCAACTATAACTTTGATATTTCAATTCTTTTCCCACGCTAATGTGGAAGGACTTTGTAAGGATTCATAATTCCCTGCGGAGACAAAACAAAACAATAACATAATATTTCTACAAGGAAAAGAGAAAGTGCCACAAATACAGAAAACACAACGATTAACTAGTGTTTTTAGGACTATCTTTGTTTCACCATGATCATAAAATAACTAATAAAGATATTGTGTCATTTGCTCAACTAAGGTCAAACAATCTTTCTTTTTTAATAAAGAGTACTGGATTAATATATGTCTGTTGGTTCTTATATCACAACTACACGATAAACTATCAGTTGTTAAATATCCAAACGTTTTGGGCTTCGCACTTCTGGGGGGCCTGCTGGCACCCCATAACGACTATCATAAATGACAGTTTTATCATGGTATTATTTTGTTGTTTCCAGCTTTTGTACCTTGGGATCAAGAAGTCCTTTTATCTCTTTCATGAGTGCAACTGAGGAAGGCGACTTGGAGAAATGAATGTAGTTTGCTTTCTTGAATCCTAAACCATGCTCGGCACTTATACTTCCATGGTGTTTTGCTGAGAGAGAATATCACAGTAAGATCGCCACCCGTCCTTTTCCCACCCAAAATCAGTTTCATCTGTGCGTCCCTTAGCTACCATTAAAATCTGGGAACTCGTTTAGTGTCGAGGGAATTCTCTGTGAGCATACATATTGGACCGTTAACAGCGTTAACTTTGTCACTAAATTTGTTAAATAGTAACTACATAAGTCAATTAACTCCAACCTCGTTCCCAGGGAGCGAGGTTGAATGAACTCTTCCTTTTCAAAAATCATGGTAACTCATGTTTATACATATTACTTTTATCATCTAGTTTGGGTTATTAATATGTAATAAAACACAAACGAAATTGTAAATAAAATATGGCCAAACCTGTCCACTCAAAAACATATGGCTCAATTTCATTAAGCACTTCATCACTGTGGTCTGGTGTCATTATGTTCAGGTGCAAGTTACCTGTGAAAAGTGTTGAAAATATCATAAATAAGTTGTATCAACTTAAACTCTTGTGGTGTACTCAGGGGGGGGGGGCACATCTAGGTCCCAGGGGGAGGTACTCCCTTACAAGAGCCTAATGGGGATGTGCCGCTGGATGGGGTCGCATTTTCACGACTGGAGTGACTATAATGGGGTCGCATTTTCAACAGAGTTACTAGAATGGGGTCGCAAATTCTCGAATTTTGGGGGTAAGTAGGGAATCAAAATGGGAAGATTCTCAGTTAAAAAGATCAGAAAGTTGTTTATTAAATTGAACAATAAGCTTGCATTGACCGCATTGCATTCCGTTCTTGAAACCACAACTTAAATATTAACCAGTTAGATAAAAAATAAATATATATTTATATTTATAAATATTTACGGTTAGCAAACGTACCAGAATGCTTGTGTTGTAGGTGAAAGTAAAGTATTCTTTATTCAGTTTAAAAATTGTGTCAATTCGTTTTTGGATGACCCGGCTTTTTAAAGGATTGGCAAGGTAGATGCATAAATAGAAAGTGACTAAGTTGGGATCGCAAAAATTACATTTTCCAAAAAGTGACTAAGATGGGGTCTATAATTGGCCAAAAAATAGACTAAAATGGGGTGGGGGCTCTGAGAGGCCAGCGGCACATACCCAGCAAACATTAACCCAAGTACCCCCCCCGGGATCTAGGTGGTGCTTTTCTTTTCAAACCTGTAAATCCGGCACTTATTTCACTAGCAGTTTTTATTCAATTGTCAAAGTCGAAGCTTAGAAAGGCTAACCAACTCCTTTGCGTTTTTTCGTTTTCAAGTCTGTTGGTCATACATTAAGTCCAGTTCTTAGTTTCCCAATTGTGTACAGTCAAACCTCTTTAATACGGAGACCAAAGGGACACAACCAAGTGTCCGCTTTACAGAAGTGTCTGTATTATAGAGGTAGGGAATGTATGATTTTTGGCATTTCTGGGACCAAACGAACTGTCCGTAATAGAGAGGTGTCCGTATTAAAGAGGTGTCTATAACGTGAGGTTAGACTGTACCTTGTGACAACTTTCAATTCAGTGTTTTAGCATAAACTACTAAGTACAAGTTCTTCTCTCTCACAAGTAGGAATTAACAGAATAATCCTATCTGTAAACATTTTTATTTTCTAGAACATAGCTTCATTAGTTTTAGGTTTCTTGGTAATATAAAGCAGGCAGGTTCACTGCTCATACCGGCAAAGATTCAGTATGAGCTAGCTGCCCACGGCAGATGAGTTTTTTTCCTAATACAGGTGGAATAGGGGTGGGTGAGTGGAATGAGATTCCACTACTTACCATCCCCTAGGTGACCATATCCAACAACATTAGTGACCTGCATGTCACTGAGTCGTTCTCTCATGTGCAACACAAGCTCATACATCTTTGGCAAAGGCAGTGACAGATCATACTACCAGCATAAAAAACATTGAAACATTGTGTAAAAAGGCATTTTCATAAACAGCATCATATTTTGACTTAAAGCCATTCTTAACTATGTGATCAGACAAACATCTTTTAACACACAATTTATTTTTATCTAATATTTTATTATTAAATCTAATGACTGCTTACTAACCTCTTGTGAATGAGTAAGTCAAGTTATATTTTTCACTTACAGGTCTGTTTTTAGTACTTGAATTTAATAGAATGTATATGTTACACCACCCACTGATTAACAAACCATTTGAGGGGGTGGAAAAGGTCAGTGTCTTGTTAACTACCAGCTAGTTCTTTAAAGTCAGTACCAGTTACCATAATCTCCCATGTATCTAGTTACAGCTATAATCTTGAAAATGTACTGGTGTTTACCACTCATATTAATTACCTTATAGACTGTACCACAAAACATCAAAGCCTCTGGTATTCTTTCACGTAAAGCCCAAACTGCTTTTATCTTCAAGAAAAAAAATTATACTTTTGAACAAAACTATGTCACAACTCCTTTATTGTTATTAAATTTATTTGATATTGCCAAAGACATACAACAACAACAACAAGTTTAAATGAGGAACACACCTTAGTTAAGTCTGTTGCTAAAGTGCCATCTTGAGCTATGTTGTCAGATATTACTTTTTCAAGGAAAAGACTCATTTTCTACAAAAAGATTACAAAAACTTCCAGGTTGGTTATACAATTCAAGAAACTTACAAATTTGACCAAACATTAAAAAATGTCGTAATATGATTGTCCAGGTGAGCATAGTCCCAGATAGGACTGTTAGTGACAGTCACTGACATAATTTTCAACAACCTGTATGGTAGTCATCTCTAGAGTTAAAGTAAGTTTTATCATTGTGTCACATCAGTGCACAGTAATAAACGGTGGTTATTGATCTGACTGGTCATAAGTTGCAAAATTATTGGTCATCTGTCAGTAAAGCCATGATGTTATTGGCTATGAAGACTCTAATTGATGCTTGTCAACTATCCTGTCAAGACTTTCTTTTCTACTTGCAAACTATTTTTAAACATGTGATGAATCACAGCTGTTGCACATCTTAGAAATATATGTATAACACAAGAAAAGTTTTAGAATGATAATATTTTAATTCAATATTTATAAACATTTGAAAAGAAAGTGATCTATGGCATAATCAGTAGACTCTAGGTGGTAGCTGATCTGTAAGCATATTACAAACCTCTTCATCATGGCTGCTATTAGAACCAAAGGTCTCAATAAGCACATAAAATGGCCATTTATTGATTGGATTGTGTAAACCAAGTTTACTTTCCACAAGATGCATAGAGGAACAATCGATGAATTCAAATGCTGAAGTAAAAAATTAGGTCCTTCATGAACATGCCATAAGAAAAAGAAATTTGTCAAGTTATGTTAGTATGTGGGATTCATCATTAATAATTATTAATTAGAATAAAGGTAAAAATCAAATAAATTTAAAGAAATATTTTGGCATGATTCATGCCATCATCAGTTTAATCCAATAACTTTTGTTTGGTTACCTTCTGCTTATCGATAATGACAATTATTCACATTAACTGTTTGCAACCAGAACTAAATGTGTAGTTGAAACATAAAAATAATTTTTGTTTTCTGTAGTTTAAATTCATAATTTTTAAATAATATTGTAGAAGTCCATGTGCCCATGTTATGTTGCATGACTTTTACATGTCATCATTTTCAGTTATTATTAGATGAATCCAGAGTATTTATTCAAAAACTAAAATAATACCTGACAAAATTTCTCCCAACATGGTTCCTGCCAGTTTAAAAGAGCTAAGAACATCTGTGAACCTCTCACAACCAAGGAAAGCAACATTGATGGACTGCAAACAGGTGGAAATTATTTTACTATAATTGTCATTATTAAGTAATTTTATTATTATTAATTATTATTATTATCATCATCATCATCATCAATATTATTGTAGAAATGGCAAGTATACTCAAATTATAGGACCAGAGGAGTATGAACTCCAAAGATTTTCTTCTTGAGATTGCTGTACTGATGGCTGATAAGAGGCTGTGAAAAGATCTAGTGGTTGCCCGCCTTTGGGCGACCAAGTGAGTGTGAGTGTGTCTAGGGAAATATATATAATGCTGTGTGATTATGAACAGAAGCTGAGAGGAAAACTTTCAAAGAAACAATTATTTATCTTAAGTAATCATTACAGTGCTGTGAAGAAACATTCTGCCACAATGTGATATTCTTATGATGTGTGGCAGTAAGCAGATGAAGCACTAGAGTGAAGCAATAAACATTAAAATATTCCTTACAAGTCTTGTTGTGAATAGAAATTGAATAGCTTATATGTTTTCATGCACACTATTTTTTATAGACAGTCAATGTACTTGTACCATTATTCTTTTCTCAATAAAAAAGATATTGAAATTTACACACAACCTTTGGTCTCCTTGGTACTGAGATTGATGCGGCTGTTATAACACCCAAAGAACCTTCTGATCCAATGAACAGCTGTTTTAAATCATATCCTAAAAAGAGAACATGACAACAAGGAAAAGTGATGGTAAAAACTACAAATAGGCAAAGCCAACTTAGGGTCATAAGATTAGGTTCAACTATTTTAAAGCAGGCACTCAAGTAAGGCATACAGTTACTAGCCTCTAGCTTGCAGCAATAAAGAGACCAGGGACAAGGGAAGAAAAAATACTACAAGACATTGAAAGCCCTAACAAACCTGTGTTGTCTTTTCTCATTGATGAAAGACAGTCAAGTATATTTCCATTTGGAAGAACCTGTAAAGTAGCAGAAAATAAAACCAACAGACTAAACGATTGATGTCCACATGATTTGTTACAGCTGGGTTAGACAACCATGGAAAATTTTCAAAAACATGACATTGACTAAAGAAAAAATATGTCATCATTGTTCATGCCTTTTTAGCTGCCTCTTTTGTTATAGAAGGTTCTGATCAATGATACAAAATACCAGTAATATTTTATCACCTTGAACAGTTGAAATCTATTTTATAAGTTGGTAGAAATACTCTACAGTTAATCCTCACAGCATAATTTCAAAAGTAGTTTGAGTTTGATCGTCCGGGGAACGTAGTCCTGAATAGGACTGTTGTTGTTGACAGTGACAGACATTTCAACAACCTGTGCAGCAGTCACCTTGACTCTGGAGTCACTGTCAATAACAACAGTCCTATTGAGGACTACGTTTACCCGGACGATCAAACTCAACCTACTTATAGATGAGATTAGAAGGCTAATGAGGGCCTAAGCATCTCATGCTTTACTATCAATGCTGCCAAGTGAAGTTACAGTGTATTTTATAGAGTACATGTATTATCAACAATAACGCCTGTCTCTAAGCTATAAACTGAACAACAGCAGTGTCTTTCTAGATGTCTCTAAAATTTGATGCTAACTGACAGCAGGTCTGTGTTACAGGTGGGAGGAGGATGGGGACTGCATTTCTACATATGACATACCACTTCTAATCCAAGCACATTGCCATGCAAAGAGCCATATCTCAGCAACCTTAGACCTGCAGCATTAGTGGCAATGTTTCCACCTATATGGCAACTACATAATATGTATTACAAAAACAACATTGTCAATCATCAAAATATACTGCCAGTAGAATTATGTACCCACCTTTCATGAGTCATATTCAAACTTGTTATTTTTACTTTAAAAAAAATTGGCCGGTGTACACCACAGTGGTGCAATTAACAATAACAGCATTTATTTAAACACGATTAAAAATTCACCAAAGCTGATGTGGTCGTATAAAAAAAATAAAATACACTTCAGTGACTTTTTAAAAGTGTCAATGTCATGAATTGATCTCATTCGGTTTTCCAGGGCGTTCCACCGAATACTGAATTGACTTGTATGAGCATGATTTCTTTACCACTTAATTCACTTTTAATTCACTTTTAAATTTAGGGGCAGCACCTCATAAAGGACTTCCAAGAGGAAAAGTGATACCATTTGATAGCCATACTTTTAAACAAAAATGTTTGAGTAAAACCAAAGCCAAAACTCTTAGTTTGAAAGCTTTGTTCTTAGCTTGACCAGTTGACAAGAGGACTACAAACCTTCCTTTTGCACCCAAGTCCAGGGGCATTATGAAACCACGCTCCTCCATTATATTGTCCAGAGACTCCAAAATACAACCAGCTTGACACACAAGGATGCCTAATTTAATGGAGGCAATATTTATCATGATTAGTGTACAGTACAGTACAGTTAAATCCCCCAGTCAGTAATCATGCAACCGTGGAGTTGCATTGGCGACTACATGGTCAACCAATGTGGGGAAATCACTCTAGACTTATCTCGCGTGGACCTTTTTGCCTGCGCAATAGAGACATTTAATAGTTTAGCAATATTTATCCAAGGGTCCCATTGGTATGGACACTTTGACTTTGCAAACAGGATCTTCTTTGTCAGCAAACATGACCAATATAAATTTTAAATATTGGCTCCTGATCACATTTCTGAGACTGTTGTTTTTTGTGTATTTCTCCCAACATCAATCCTACAACACACGTTATATTATTTAGCTTGCCATAAACATTCTTCAAATTGTTCATTAACAACACCATCAAGTTTCTTTGATGCTAATAATTGTGCAGATACCTTATGTTGCAACAATCCTAAACACATTATATTGATTGTAAGTTAAGTTAAGGTTGTTTCCCTTTCCATTGGCAACAAACAAGATCAACAGTAGTGTTCATTCACCTGAAACATCATCAAAGCTTAACACCTGGTTCATTAAAGACATGGAAATGATTATCTCATCAAATACTGGAACACTCCCACCTACAAGAAAGTCATGGAAAATATTGGTAAAGCTTTGATTTATTTTACAAATTAAAGATTTATTTATATTGGAAGTGGACACAGTTTTCCAGCTACATGTAGATTACTGGAAAACTATCTACTCTAAATAATTTTAAAAAAAAAATCTAAATAGAACATAACAGGATAAACAACCTTACTGGCAGAAGACAACGAGCAGTTGGCTATATACAAGCATGGCTAAGGATTCAAATTTCAGGATGCCCAAGAACAAATCCAGCAAGTGATCAGAGCAGGACTTGATGGAACCCAGGGTTAATGCAAGGGACTGTGAGTGTAACATGCTGACCACTCACCCATGACTGCCTCCCCAAAGACTTTTGAAAATTTATTGACCCCTTGATTTTAAACTAATAATTTAGACTTCATGAACAATTGTCATTCATCGAAGTGAAAGAATCCTTTTGATTCAACTTACCAACCAATCCAGTATTTCCACCCTGAGGGAGCACAGCTAATCTAACAACAAACAAGATAATGAAGAGTTGTGTGCTTTATACCAAATATTTGGCAATGAAAGTGCACAATCAGAAATATGCACAAAACACGATAAATGTTGTTACTTTCTGATGGCCTATGTATAAACATCACACTAGAATTGTACATGTTACAGGGAGATGGTCATAATATCCAGCAATAATGTACTTATTAATATAAGCTGTATTTATAAGTTCCAGCAAATGAATTACAAATGTACCCTTTAATCATATTATTCAAATTTAAAACAACTATCAAAATAAAAGCTACAAACAAAAAAACTAACCTCCTTGAATTACAATATGCTAAAATTTCTGAAACTTCTTGGGTAGTTTGTGGTCTAAGGAGTACTTTACTGGCTCCTCTGGAAAAGGAAAACACTGTTATTACATAAGCTTTTTGATTTTGTAGTTCTAAATCACAAAGGAAAGCAACATTGTTTATCATGCACTTTGCACTTTTATAGGACAGTATTATTTTTACATCAGAGGGAGATAAATAGACTAAAACCATTAGTTTTATAGTTGCCTACAGCTCAAGTTATTGTAGTAGCAACATTCCTTTCTATTGTTCTTGTGGATTTTATAGCAGAAAAAGATGTTTTGCTTGTCGTTTAAATATCAGACATACCTGACCATTTTAAGCCAGTCTACATTGTAGGCTGCTATTTCTTCTACATCTGTTACTACTCTAGAAGGTAATAAACCTTCAAAAACTTTTATATCTTCATCTGTGACCTACAAAAATAATGCTAATTTTGTTCATTGTTTACAGAATCCCGGTTACTGCTAGTACAGTGCTTATAGTCAATTATCGGTCACCTGTGATGAGGTTACTACAGGTTTCTAATGACACTAGAATCTTTCTCATTGGACTAAATTAAGGTTTGAATACTGATAATAATAGTATTATTATTTTTATTATCATTAAATAATAATAATAATAAAAATAACTACCATAACAAAAACAACAACAACAACAATAATAATAATAATAGTAATAATAATAATAATCTTTTTAATACAAGAAATCATGCATGAATTTTAACCAAACAGAAAGGGAGAAGAGGAAGACTAAATGCAAGGGCCAGATTTCAAGGCAGTATGAGTAAGCTCGTACCTGTGAATACTGTCCTCTCTTGACGTAAGGGTATCGAGTACTTGTTAGTTGAACTTCATTGCACCTTGCTGCAGTGAATGAGATGCTGTACCTTGATATCAACTGCACTTTTACAGCTTTAGTGAGCCGAGATCCCACCTCACGAATACGCCACATTTTGAACCATTCACTCCATTTTCCCTACTCACATAAGTGGAAGCGTTTAAAAATTCCCTCTT